AATTATCTCAATGTTGAGTAATTTGTCTTATTAAAATAAAAAGTTAACAAAAAATTTATAAGAAAAAAGAAAATTTTAATCAAAAAATATTTCAAATCCAATTTTTCCTTATTTTTCTCGGAGAAATTTTTTAAGTTAGTTCAAACGACAATTTTTAATTGATTTATCTTTTTTTTCACAAAAAAAAAACGTCAAAAGCTTTAAGCTTTTATAAAAGAAATGACTCAAATTTTAAATGAAATTGAAGCTTTGAATATTTATTAAGAAGAATCTCAAAATATTTCGTTTCATTCTTAATTTTGAGTCATCATTCAGAATTAAGAACAAAATTCAAACAAAATATATGAAAGGAGAAACAAAAACGTGTTTCACTCAATAAATTTAAGAAGACTTTGAAATTATCTTCAGCACATACCTGTTATCGAACACAAAAGACGCAGTGTTGGTGCATTTCCGGAATATTGATTAATCATTCCTTGGCTATGAGCGCGCGGTGTTGGGATACTCAAAGTGATAGCTTTGTGGAACTTACGACGTCGTGGCTCAACAGTTACCACAGGTGAGACTGCAACACCACGCCCTAATAATTTCGCTGTTAAATCGGGATCAATTGGTTGCGCCTATGAAAGTTTAAACGGATTGTTATGTCAGTAAAAGAAAATCAAAAAGGTTCGAAATTGCTAAACTAAAATATATATAAATTATAATTAAATTAACTTAAGTGTAAAATACAAGTCTAGGGTCAACAAGGAGAAGCAAAAATAAAATAATCAAAAAATGAATTAAACATAAATCATAATCATAAATAATAATTAATAAATGAAACCAACAATGTGAAGCAAGGCTCGAACAATTTAAATTATATTAGAACTTTTATCATTGAGTTTCTTTAACTGCTGCGTAATTTCAACAATTAGCAGAATTTATAAAATCAGCTTAAATAATTGTCTGTCATTGTGTGCAATGTTTCAGAGTAAAATGATTTTTCAAAAAAAAATTAAGGAAAAATTATAAAGAAATTGATTGAAATTTAAAAGAAACTCTTTAGCTCAACTTTTCATCATTTTTAATCGAGGAAATGACTAAAATTAGTGTTAATTTTATAATTTTTTCTTCAATTTAAAAAATAAGTTTTTTTGAAGACTTCTATAGTCGCAAAAGAAAAATTATGAGCTTCTTTCAGCCCAATAAATTTAGTATTTTTCAACTCTACTACTTTCTACTTTAATCATCTAATTTTAATATAATTTTAAATCTATCGAACCCTGTTTCCTATGAGAGTGGATTAGCTTAGCATGGTCAATGATTAGTGGACAGTAGAAAGACAAAGTTCATTTTTGTTAGTTTAATTAACTTATATTTTATTTTAGTTTTCTTCTCTCGAGATTATATTGCAAAAATGTGTTGAATGTTGTAAACTAAATTTATTGGGCACTCATAAATTGATTATCATTTGTAAAATTACTTATTTAGTAAAATGCCAGTGACTTGTTTTGTAATTTGTAAAAAAATGTTAATTGTATAAAGTTTGTTTGATAGTAAAGCTTTTGAAATGAAAACTAATTAAAAGTTTGAATTATTAAAGTCATTTCAAAAGCTTTACTTTCCATTGTTAATTTTTTTGGCTTTAATTTTATAAATTTTGCAACTTCCTGAATATTCTTTCTTTCTGTTTTGTGTAAATACTGTTAATTGGCTATTTGATAACTGAGAAGAATTTTTATCAATAAGAAACTACTGAAATTACTTAAATAATCTTACTATGATTATGATTATCATTGATAATTGAAATAAATTGAAATTCTTTTCTGACTAGAAAGTTTAATTTACTTATTTTCGATTCTTTCATCACTTTTAATTTTAATCTCTTATATTGATTCTAATTCTTTTATCAAACATTAAAACATGAAAATTTCAAATAAAATCGAGTTTTCGAAACCAAGTTTTTCAGTTTTATACTTCAATTAGTTGGACAAGGCAAGTCTTCCTGTCTTAAGTAAGCTTTAATTTGTATACACAAACTTTTACATCACTAAATATCATCGTAGATAAATAAAATCATTTTTATATTCAAGTTTCAAAACAATTCTCTTAAATTTCAGATTGAGTATTAAAAGTTTCAAAGGAGCAAAACCTCTTGAGAAGAATGTTGACGAGAAATTATTGTCAAAGAAAACTCAAACAACAAAAGAAAAATTCAAGTCAACGTCAGCTTCTTGGAGGGAGAAATTGTTAGTTGATGAAATAAATATCGTTTAATTAAAGTGCACTGGTTTCTCGTCTATTCAATCTAAAATTCTAGCAGCATAAACTAGAAAGATGAACCATTTCGGCATTGCAATTTTTAATCTGTTCTAGATCCAAGATTGACTCAAAATCTTATAAATTTCTTTTTCAATCTTAGATAAAGCATTGGAAGTTGACGATATTTCTTATTTCATTAGTTAGATTACAATACAGAGTAAAATATTAGTACAAAGTAAGTAAATGCGCTAGCAAGAGATCTTCAAAAGATTTTTTTTTCATTTTCAGTGGGATTGAAAAGTTAACTTTGATAATTTACCAAATTAAAGAAAATCTCTTCTTTTTCGGTACATGATTAACACTAATTTTACGCAATTTTTCCGGTGCGACACCTTTTCTTGGTTTAAACAAATTTACCTGCAATCCAACTTTAATTTTCTTCGTGAGTGCGCCTTGTGGGAAGACGGCTTGGACTTGTGGCACGACTGTGCTCGAGACCATACCGCCTTCAGGTCCAATTGCGTGGACTTCTTGATGAATACGCGAAATAACTGCAAAGTATTGTGGGAAATCATAAGTGACAAAACGACAGATGCGACCGCCACCTAATTCATCCATTTGAGCGATGTCTAAAAATAAATTGTTAATTAAAAATTTCAAATCTTTCATTGTCAGAAAATTCACCTTCTGGCTCAAAGCAATCGTTCAAGATTTCACTAATAATTTCATCAGAATTCTCAATTGTATGTTCACGCCATGTTTCGCCATTGTCAGATCGTAAAATGACAATTTCACGTTCTTTTCCACGAAGTGATGCAAAATGTGGAACCTCCATAATGACTGGTCCCAAAAATTTCGATCCAACTGGTCCAAGTTCCAAGACGCGACTTGCCAAAGCTTCGCCTTCCATTAAAGGCGGTGGATGCATAGTTCGTTGCGGTTTAACATACCGACAAGTAATTCGTGTTGGTTGTGCTGCTGAACGTGCTGGAACAATAATGCGAACACCACTGTGACGACATCCACGCATCGCTCCACCGCGTGCATCAACCAGGAAGGAAACCAAGAAGCTGTAATCATTCAAAAATTGCCTTAAATGTTCAATGACATCCCGAACTGTTCAGTTTTAAGTGAATCAGCTAATAAAAAAAATTGCAATCTACTCTACTTATGTACACGCACACACACACAAATTGTGTGCATCACACAGTGGATGAAAAATCAGAAATCAACAATCATCGTTGATCTTGATACTCACTTCTTCCAATGTAATTTACTGTTTTGTTTTATGTTAAGAGGAATGATTGGGAAAATGTTAATTTATCCAAAAGTCAATGCAGCGTTAAGGAAAGGTTTAAGAGCGAAAATCATCATGAAATAAATTTAAGAGATTTTTAATGAACTTTCAAACATACCCGATTTGTTGTGGATGACGATCAATGACAACGTTATCAGTTGCTGTTGTGTAATCTGTGACAATGCGAGCACTTGTTTGTTGCATTGTAACGTGTTGGGGACTGATGGAATCTTCCAAAGCTTGTGGTGGATGTGATGTTGCCATTGCTGAATCAGTTGAATGAACCATTTTGTTATCAACACGTTCATCACGTGTAACATCAATTGGAAGTGAATCATCACCCAATGACTTCATTTCATCGACTGTTAAGTAGCGATAAGGTTGATCAGACAAAGCAGTGTCTTCTCCTGTTAAATAAAATTGACAAATTAAGCATCAGTTGATTGAAATTAAGAATATTTAGAAGAAAATTGTAAAACACAAAGCAAATGAACTTAGAAAAAAAATTTGCGGTTTGCTTTTTCCTCCATCGATTCAGTTAAATAACAAAAAGCATTGCGCAACAAGATATCAAAGCACTTACGTATCATACTATCACCATTATGATAAGGAAGGTAGATGTGACTACCATTTGATTGCTGATCTAAATTAAAGCCAATGGATGTGCCTAAGACTAATTCATTTGCATCGCCTTTCATTTTTTGCAATGTTTTGTTTGTTAATTATATCAAAACAAAATTGGTGAAGAAAAAATCGGGAAGACAGACAAGAACAAAGATAGAAAAGATAGAGAAAAAAGATTTCGAGACAAATTGACGATATTGGTGGTAGTAGCGAGCTTAAAAATGATTCATGAATCATGATCGTGATATTTGTTCAGCCAATCAAATGGTGATAAATATTTTGAGATAAATTTTGATTCATGCAAAGTGTCACAATGTTGAGCGAAATTATAAAACTAATTCAATTATTCACAATTTCTTACTGACCTTCTTCTTCCGAGTCTGACATGAATGTCTCATGCATGGCTTCGGGTGCAACGACACGATATTTCTCATCGGTCATTGATGTTGACATTGTTGATTCTTCTTTAGTGACAGGTTTCAATGAATCAAACACGCTGATATAGCCGAGCTTCTGTGCAATGTGCAAAGGAGTTTGTCCACTCTATAATTTAAAAAGAAGAAGAATAAACTTTAATAAACTTTCCTCAATAAACAAGTGACGTAAATAATATTTGAAACTGTTAACAACTTACAGATGTGGTAGCATTTGGATCAGCTTTATGTTCAATCAGAGTATGAACAATGTGTAAATGTCCTTGTTGTGCTGCTTGATGCAAAGGCGTGTATCCAATGCTTGTAGCAGCGTTTGGTTGAGCTCCTTGTTCAATCAAGTAGCGAACCATGTTATTTTGTCCGAAATGAGATGCGACATGTAATGGAGTGTAACCAGCTTTGGTTTGTGCTTCAATGTTTGCACCGTGTTTGACGAGAATTTGGGCGACTTGAACCTTGTCTTCCTGTGCACATAAGTGTAATGGTGTCAAGCCGTTGCGTGCTTGTTGATCGGGATTTGCTTTATGTTCCAATAATAAGCTTGACATGTCGGTGTGACCTTCTTGCGAGCTTAAATGCAAAGGAGTGAAGCCAGCCTTGCTTTCGGCATTAGCTTGCGCTCCATACTGCAACAAAGTAGTTGCGATGTCCATTTGATTCTTGCGAGCGGCAATATGCAACGGAGTATGACCGTTCTTGGCAGTGGCATGTGGACTCGCACCTTTCTCAAGCAACAGCAATGCAACATTCTGATGATCATAGTGACTTGCGACATGCAACGGTGTGACGCCATTCTTGCCTTGCGCATCAACTGGCGCATCCTTTGCCAACAATAATTGGGCGACTTTAATGTTTCCATATTTTGCTGTCAAATGCAATGGAGTGAAGCCTTTCTTAGTAGTTGCATCGATCTGAGCTCCATTGTCTAATAAAACACCAGCAACCTAAAAGAAATTAAAACAAATTTGTTGTAAAATTCAATGTAAACAAATAAAAATTTTCCGCAATCACTGAACAAAAAATTCACAAAACGAAACGAAAAAGTTTTTAAGTAAATGTTAGTAAAGATTAAAAGCTTTCCTGACATTAAAATTTTGAAAAGATAAAAGGGAAATGAAAGAAGAACACAAAAACTTATTCAGTGACTGCATCAATGTTTAGAATGATTTAAAAGTTTTCAATCAAACAAATTTTCACGACTTTCACAAAATGCACTTTTCCTTTGAAATTTCCCTTTCATCTTGTTTTGATTTTAAATTAATTAATTTCTGATGGAATATTAACAAGATTGGAAAAAAGAAAAGTCTTGTGGTTTTCCATGAAAACCTTTTCACAAGTTACTTTTCCTTACGAAAGCTCAAACATAAATAAAAATAAATTCAAGTCAAATGTTCGTCTAATGCAAAAGTTATGGAAATGGGTTTAGAAAATTAAGATGACATGGAATCAATCTTGTTATTGAAGGCTTTAAATTATTTGGAAAAATGAGTTTCTAGCAACTTTTTCTATTTACCCGACTTTCATTTTCTTTTAACATCGCAATGATTGCGATCACCTTGTAATTAAATTCACTAACTTTGAAGGTCACAAAATAAATTAAATTAAACTTTTAACATAAAAGGGACATTTCGTTGGATTTTATACAATCAAAGTGCATTATTCATCACATTCACTTATCATCAAATCAAATTAAAAGTTTTTGAAGGAAAATCCGAAAAATTATAAATCGAAAAAAATTAAAATGAAAGTTTTTTGATTTTATTTTCATGACAAGAAAAAATTTGTGAAAACTTTTCGATGACAAAACATTCTTGTAATTTAAGAATAAACAGATTTCCTGACAACATGACAACTCAAACACATTCAATCAATAACTTTATGAATAACATTCGATTGTTTACCAATAACACAATAAATAATAAAATAATTTTCTTAAAATGACGACAATCAAATAAAATATTCTTGATGTCGAATCCAAAACAATTGCATAAGATAAACAGTATCGATATGATCCATCAACTTTTTCGCAACGAGATCTTTTACCTCATCTTGTCCTTCTTTCGCTGCAATGTGCAGTGCGCTGTACATGTCCTTAGTGACAGCATCAACTTGAGCGCCATGTTGAAGCAACAACATGACAATGTCAACGTTACCCAATCGTGATGCAATGTGTAATGGTGTTTGTTGTTCACGTGCACGAGCATCGACTTGAGCACCATTACGTAGGAGAATACGGATGATGTCAGTCTAAAGAAGGAAAAACATTCAAATTGATGAACAATTAAAGAATTTTGATGAGAATTTCTCACTTGATTAGCTCTTGCCGCCAAATGCAATGGCGTTTCCCCACGAACAGTTGGAACATCGGGACTAGCTTCGTGTTGCAATAAATAGATGACAATGTTCATGCATCCCATAAATGATGCAACATGTAAAGGTGTCAGACCACTTTCAGTGGTTGCACTGATGCTTGCGCCATGTTTCAAAAGCAATTCAACGACTTTTATGCGATTTTTCTTGCAAGCAATATGCAATGGAGTAAAACCATTTAATGCACGAGCATTCGCATCAGCATTGCGATCAAGAAGAAGTTTAGCGACTCGTACATGTCCACAGTGGGCAGCAACATGAAGAGCTGTCAAATAGTCGACAGTGACTTCATCGACTGGCGCACGATGGTAAAGAAGAATTCTTGCAGCATCGACGTGTTCACCTTGTGCTGCCATATGCAACGGTGCCAGACCATTCTTTGTCTTCGAGCTGATTGGAGCGCCTCGTTCCAAAAGCATATCAACGACTTGTTCATGTCCCGAACGTGCTGCACAATGTAACGGCGTCAAACCGTCTCGTGTTTTGCTTTCAATGTTGGCGCCTTTCTCCAACAACAATCCAACCATATTCGTTTTTCCCCACTTAGCAGCGACATGAAGTGGACTAATGTTATGTTTTGCAGCATAATTAACGTCAGCGCCTTTTTGAATCAATAAATTAGCGATCGCTTCATTGCCATAATGAGATGCAATGTGTAAAGGAGTAAATCCTGATTTTGATGTCACGTCGGGATTGTGATCGTTCTTTGTTTAAAAGAAAATTTAATAAAGTTTAATAAGTGATAGAAAAATATTTTTTGAAATTAAGCAGCTCAACATTTGCAGAAGATTTTTGTGTATTGATTGCAGTTGGTGAAGATTTTCTTCAATAAAATGGTTATTGACATAGATTTAAAAAGAACTTCTGTTTAAACCAGCGGAGTTGATTGGAGAAATTTCGTGGCAATAAACTCATCATTGCATCTTTTGCACAGCAAGAAACTTCATTTGTAAGAAAATTAGCTTCGAAGAGTAAATAACCAGTGGGAATACAGCGAACACTGATTTGGAAGCTAAGAAGATTTACTTGAATGCTTTGATTTGTCTTCATGTTGTGCCGCTCAAGGGATAAAAATAAATTAAAATTGTTACAAGAAATTCTTTAAATTTATAAAGACGAAATTCTTGTAGCAATTTTCATCATGATAAAACTTTCAAACTTACTTCTAACAACAATGTTGCTGCTTTCACATCGTCCTTCTTTGCAGCGATGTGCAACGCAGGTAACCGAACTTTACCGCGAGTGTCACTTTCGAGTAGTACGGCAACGACTTTATCATGACCTTGCTGCATAGCAACAGCTAATGGTGTGAAGCCATCTTCAGTAGCCAAGCTTTGATTGGCGCCATTCGCAAGCAAAAGTTTAACGACACTATCGTGATTCTCTTGCGCTGCCATGTACAAAGGCGTGAATCCATTTTGCGATTGAACATTCACTGACGCGCTGTGTTGAATCAGAAGCTTTACAACTTCTTCCTGTCCCGCCAATGAAGCGATGTGTAATGCTGTATTTCCCTTTTTAGTTGCAGCATCGACAAGCGCACCACGACTTAATAGTTCGGAAACGACGGTTACATGTCCGTCTTTAGACGCCAAATGTAGTGCATTAAAGCCATTCTATCGAGAGGAAATTTCCCTTCGTAATTAAAATTGCTTTTATCGTTGTTTGTTCTTTCAATTAACTCTCTTTTCCCATGTATCTTCGCTACCAATTAAAATAAATATTTTTTTTGTCTTCTTTTTAAAATGAGTATCATGTTTGCTTATGTGATTAAGTGGCAAGATGAACGAGCAAATTTGTCGTCATATGATAATGTAAAAGTGCGATCATGAGAAGCCGAAGAAAACAAAAGAAGGAAGGAAAGAAAATCTCCATAAAATTAAACGACAAATTCAACACCAAAAACGTGTTTTCTTGATATTAAATGCTCAAACATCCTACATCAATTTTTACTGTGCATAAGCAATTTAATAAAAGGCGTTGTCATCGACACTTCAAGACTAAAAAATATTGAAATTTATTTCTCTTCGATCTTTTCCTTCTCTTTCTTTATGGACTTCAATGAATCTCGCATTGTTATTGTCGACTTTTGGAAATTATGTAAGCAAATGATCATAAATCATGTGATTATTTAAATTAATTGAAGATAACAAAACGTAAACGACGTTGGTTTAACGATCGTTATGAATTAACTGAGATTGTTGAGAGTTAATTGAACAGACAATTTTCTCCACTTACAGCATTGCATGTATTAATATCAATATTGTTCTTAAGATGCTCCAAAACTTTCTCGAGATTTCCGGCACGTGCAGCTCGGAGAAATGATGTGTTGCCATCGGACTGTAAAGAAACAAAAATAAAAACAATTAAAGATTAAATTTTTGTCAGCGAAATTTCCACTAATTGAGTTTGTAAAAAAATATGTGCCACTTCATATCTTGTCATAGTCATAGTCGAAATAAATTATCGATGATACCAAGAGTATTGAATTTCTCTTCGACATTGTGTTCATTTCCGTTTTTGGAACGCACAGCATAGGCTCGTCCGAAGCCGAATGTCAGTAAGGTTAAAGCTAATTTAGGTCATATCAGACAAACAGCGTACATTTCAACAACGTGCTAGGAGCTACATATACGACAGCACGCATAGCAACCTTTAACCGGATTATAAATATCGTTAAATAGAAATTCGTAACAAGGACACAATTTCACTTTATTTTTAATGACGTTTCTTACGCCCCCGCACATTCTTATGATTTGAATCAATCATACAGGAAAGGAAACATATCGCGAGTGGCAATCATTAAATTTAATCGACATAAACATATATTACATTTGTATACATCTTAGAAATAAAACATTTTTAGTTTTTTTGATTCTCAGATTTCCACTCATTTCCACAAGTTCTAAAAATATCCAATTTTTTGTGAAGCTATTGTTAGTTAAACTTTGCTTCTCATTTTATACAATTTTCATTTATTTTTCTTCTCCAGATCGAGCGGATGAACAAGGAGGAAAAGAAGAAAAATGGAAAAAGGAAAAAAAATCAATATTTCGCATTTACGATTTCGCTCCGAATGTTTGGCGGCAATGTTCGAAGCGACATGAAAAATATTAATCAAAAGCTGTTTAAGCTTTCGTATAAAGAATCAGAAGCCAAATAGACGACTTGAAAATAAATATGTTTGTGATTTTTTTATAGCAAAACTTATAAAGTTTTAATTTCCTATTTAAGTTAATACAAACTTTGAAATGAGTGCATTCTCGTCAAACTCATTCATTTGCCAATTAACCTCCTCTGACTTACTTCAATTCATCAATATTTTCTTTCTTTTTTGCACGATAAAATTTTCTTGCACAATTCATGATTGTAAATATTTTTTATCAACAAACATTTGTGAGTAATTTAAGAATTATAATTCCAGTTTTTAATCACGATATTAAATTTTGTAGTACAGAGCAAATCATCAATGATGATGATGATGATGATGATGATGAGATTATCATCTATGCTGGATTGAATAAATCATCAATTTGGAATGTGTGATTAAAACGCTTTCTCAAGACGCTCATAAATCTTATTTAAAAAACTTGATGTTCGTAATGGGAACCATAAATTCTTTTTTCTAGTTTAATCGATAAAATGTAAGAACAAAAGAAATCAAATTTATGTGAACTTGAGGCGCGATCGTTAATTGTTGACTATCTTAGTTCTAAATATATTTTTTGTAGTTGAATTCCATTCATTTTCTTATTCAAAGACAGTTGACAAGAAAGCTCTCGAAAACATACCAACTTAAAACAATTCAACATTCTTTAGAAGGTTCTTGGAAGTATTTTGACTTTAATTTTATTGAAGACGAAAATCACTTTAAGAAAGTTTTCCTTCAATTATGGAGGCGGCTTGGGAACCGCCTCACTATGGTTTTTGTCAGTTTCAACTGCTTAAAAATCACTTTTCTTCGCTTCACTTTTAATAATTTTCTTTTAAACTCAAACTAAATGAATTTTCTTGATCAATTACATATGAAAGTTATTTTTTTAACGCGCTTTAAGAGTTTTTTCTCACTCGCTTCTGATCTGGAAAACTGTCGGAGAAATAATGAAAAGAAAAAGCGAATTCGCCCACATCTTCAACAGTTTTTTCTTCTCCATCGTTTGTTCGTTCGTGCGCATGATCTTCAAAGCTGTTATGCTTAGGAAAAGTTTGATGTTATTTTTATGTAGTATTATTACATTGGAGCAAAGTGAGAGATGTAAGCCAGAAGGTGAATAGTGCCTGATGTAACCCGGCAAGCGGTTAATGGATTTCAATTCTCTTCTTTCAATTTTTTTTGCTGATTGAACAAAACCAAAAGCACAGAAAGCGAATCCACGGATTGTCATTTTTCACCAATTACTGTGTCAAATATACTCCGCTATAAAGCCAAATGTTTTGCTATGTCAGTTGCTCGCCACACCCCAAGCAATGCGTGCAAAGCTTTTCTTCGTTTTCCTTTAAATATTCTGAAAATATCCTTGAAACCTTGAAGCTATCGCTAGAGAACAACAACAATAAGCGAAACAATACAAAGCTTTACCAAAAAAAACATAAGTTGTATGATATAATAGAATTACATCAGCAAGCGAGGTGAATGTTTATCGATTTTCCATTTTCTTTTAACTTAAGTATGACTTACGAATCGTAATGTCAATCTTAGTGGTTCAAGTGCATTGAATGTCAGAATCAAGATTGAAACCATTAAAATGAATCTTCAGAAAGATTATTTAATGTTCGAAAGTGACAATGTAGACATTGTTATAGAATTCTCTTATAACAATAAACTTTCATCATCAACAAAATATGAGAAATCTCATTTCAAATTTATAACATCATTGGAGCTTACATTGAATAGCTTTTCACGACTAAGAACAGAAAGGAAAACAATCAAAAGTCAGTCTTTCAGGCGACACTATTGTCAGTTTATTGTTTTTGGCATTTATTATGAAACTAGCAGAAAGGAAATGTGTCAATGACGGTTCCTGAAGATCGAGTGACTTGTACGTAACAAGTGAATATTTCCAAAATAATTTTTTTCTATTTTTCTGGGTGCGCTTTAGAAAGCAACTAATAGGGGATGGAGTTTTTCATTCACACCCTCTGACATTCATCGAAGTTTTCTCTTCAGTTATTTCCTTCTGCTTTAGCTCACTCTATGATGAGTAATAAAAAATAACAGAAACGTTAATATTTGCAAGTGAAAGTCATTAAAAAACTTTTTCAGTTGCCCTTCGCTTTATGTTGCATTTTGTGAAACAAATTGAGGTCGTTTTAATGTCGTTTTCTGTTCAGAAGCATGCACTTGATTAATGCATGTTGTGATTATAAATAATCTTGCTTAGGGGATGTTGTTGAATAAGCGCGATTGCAAAATGAAGATAAAATCGATATTTCAAAAGCCAGACAAGCATTTCACTTCGGTTTAATATCCAATTAATTTAAATTCAACTCAGAAGCTATCAAATGTCAATCAATTTCACTGTTAACTGTCGTGTTAATTTTATATTTTACAAATTAATATTCGCGAGTTTTGTTTTCTATGAATCAAATTAAATTAGAAACTTTTATTGAATCATTTTTCTCATTTCTAACTATGCATATTTAGGCTGAAATTACCGTCTGAAAAAATCATAAACGGAAGTGTTGAGGAAATGAGAAAAGAAAGAAGAAGAATTTTCATAAAAGCAGAGAGTTTCCTTGAAAAGAAAATCAATAATTTTCGCATAAAATTTCGTTAGATATCTTGGACCATCGCAACTTGTTCTTATTCGTATGAACATAAATAAATAAGTCGAATATGAAATACATAAAAGATTTGGAAAGCGATTTCGCTATATGGAAGAAAAATAAGAAAAATCGATATTTGAGTCGTGAGGCAGTGTAAACACATGAAATTCTCCCAGAAATTCTACAAACTAATGAGAGCAAAATATTTGCAAAAGAAAAAAGAAGAATGAAAATGTTTCGTGCATGAAACTCAAACTTCCCCTTCTTGATTGTCTGTCGATAGAATGTTGACACGAATAGACTTAAAAGTTTCATTAATTCAATTTTCTATTTAAATTTTTTTTTGAATTATTGTAAATATTTATCATTTGACCAATTTATGTAACATTTTATAAATATTTCCCCATTTTCAAGCACGATTTTTCTTTTTTTCTGAAAGTGAAAATTATTTGTTCGTTTTTCACCCTTCCACCGGCGCCAGTCTCCAGTAAAATATTCAGAGGGTTTTATACCGTGCATGTATAGCCGAAGAAAATTTATTAACAAAACTTCTCTCTAGGAAGCAAGAAAGGAAAAAAAATATCGATCGCGATGCGGTATAAAATAAGAGCCGACATATTGGAGGAAAATTATTTGGAAAATTTATTTCAGGAGATTTGTGAAATGTATTTCTGTAATATTAAGAAAATATCTCCGAGACCTTTCGTGAATTGAATAATTTGATGCTACAAAAACATCGCTGGATTTGTGGAAAAGTCAATTTTCCACCCTTAAAGAGAAAAAAAAAATGGTGGACAGTTGAAGAAAATGTCTGATGAAAAAGTGAAATTTCACCTTCAAAAGCGATTTAAAAAACCTTTCATGACCAAAAATGGCTTTTCTTATCGTTTATCAATGCATTTTGATATTTTTTATCCAAGTCTTATCATGTTTACCTGAATTCCATTTTCAGTGACCATTTCAAGGTCGCTTTAGTCAACTAATCCCATAAAAACTTGCAAGAAAATTAAGGATATTTTTCCCTCAGCACTTAGAGCACTTTTTATTAGCTTATTGAACACTTTCACACTATATCTTACTAAGCTTAGATATAAATTATTAATTATAATTAAGGAGTATAAAGGTTTTCTTTAGGTTTTTCCAACTGTCACCCTTGAGGTCTCGTCGAAGACTGAAGTCGACTCTCCCTAAGAAGAAAATCATTTCTCTTCATGTGACGTCATCACTTTTCAATGCAATCTATGCGCCGAATCACCTCACCCTCCCTTTAATCGTTTTGTACCCTCTTTTTTCTGTGAATTTGACGAGCACATGGAATTGTTTTCTGTTTATCAACAATCGTGGTAGAGATCACGAGGGTTTTTGTTTGGGTTTAAGAAATTCCATGTGGCACGCTGTCGTGTCGTCATTATAAGTTTTATCAGCATGCTGCCGGCTTTGACTCCTGCGCATTATCGCATTTGTTTCGTTTATTGTTAAGCAATAAAAAAGAATTCAATTTGTCAGCGCTACTTTTGAAATGAAACGGGGTTCAATAATTGGAAATCTTTCAACAATTGCCAATTGTTTGATCCACACAAAAGGTGTAAATGGAACAAGCAATCTTGTCAGCAATTAACGAAAAAAAAGTTTCTTTCATTGTAAAAATTTGCAAAGTGTGAAGGCGAAGAAAAGAACGAGAAAACGTCTGTTTAATTGTTCGCAAATCGCGATTTGTTCGGTCATGCTAAACGCTTTTCTTAATTCAATTCTTTCACTGTAACATATCCGCTTTGACAGTTGACACAAATTTTAAGTTTTTCATGAAAACTTTTCATGTTGAGACATAAACAAAGTTTTTTATGTATCTCGGCCTATCTCTGGATAATTTAAATTACGTTTTCAAAACATATGGAAAATATTTAAGAAATTCAAAGGGAAAAACTTCATTAAGCATTCCAAATGTTTATCTCCATTAAGCATGAAAAACATCGAATTAATGGTTGAAGAAAAAAATGCACAACATGCTAGAAACTTCAAAAAATAAATTTATGGACTACGAATGTTGTTATCGATCATTGCATGAGTATAAAAATAAATCTTCGAGGGTTATTACATTTCAGACTTCGTGGCTTGTTTAGATTATTCAATCTTTACGACCGGGGTCAACAAAAAATTAATCGACGCTAACCAGAATGCACCTTTTAGTCACGAGACCATGACTTATGCGGATGCATTTCACTTATTAAACATTTCTATTACGATAATGAAGCTCATTTCTCTTTAATTTCACGCTACCGACTTATAATGTAAATTATGGCAGAAAAAAGCCTTAAACATGTTTCAATCTGACAGAAAAGTCTTCATTATGATGTGAAAACTTGATAATGATCTTTTAAAGAAACTGAGACGAGATAATTGCGAAAGATCTACATTCTTAAGTAAATCAAGTGTGAGAGGAAGGCTAATGAGATGAAAATTGTTATTGCATAATTCCGCAGTATTTTTCAATCTTCATTATTATGACATGATCGAGCATAACGTAAACAAAGTCATGTTAATAATTAACTTAATTATTTTTCAATTTTGTTGCAATTTTGCTTCTTTCTTTATCGATTTTTTATTGCTTTCAAACCAGTTCCTTCGAATGAAAACAAAGTGAATAATTTAACTGCTGATTCTTCGAATGAAAAAAGAAACATTAAAGCCATGCACGTGCATATCTTTAAGGATTATTGTGCGCATGTCCTGAACCGTTCCAGTTGAGTTTTCATGTTTGGGGTTTGAACATCCCTTCCTCTCTCAAAAATATTTCAAACTCTCTTTAACTTTTCTCTCAAATATTTTTTAACGTAACATTAATGACGTCACATCGTAAATTTCTCTTTTTCTCTATAAATCATAAAACGTAGTCTTTTTTATTGCAAAACATTCTTCACCATGTGAATAAAAAAAAAATAGCCGAAGGAAAGAAGAGACACCAAAAATAAATATTTCTTTTCTTTTCTTTAGCTTCTGTTTAATAATTAAAACTTTGAGAAAAACATGTTGTTAGGGCTTGGTTATCGCAAAAATGGAACGAAATCGTTTGCCAATCGATCAGCACATGATCGCTTAAAAGTTTAAACATCGACGAAATCTTTCAAGAGTTTAAGAAACAAAAAAATGTTTATTGAAATGAGAGAAGCGAGGGAATATTATTCAAAATGCGTTAAAAAAGATAATTCAACGAAAGACGAGTCAACATTTTAGATAAAAATTCTTTAGAAATCTATTCACAATTTAAGACTTAGATAAGTTATTCAGCACACTGACGTAGAATTGTTTGTAAATAATTTTTTGCTGACGAATGAGTATGCACGCACTCTAAAACACCGACTCAATGTAATATTTAGAACGAGAACGACATGATCGTGTCGCCGCAAATGAACATTCACTTTATATTTATTTGATTCAACATGTATAAACAGAGAGAACGCAGAGTTATTACAGCATATGAACACACTTTTCCTGGCTTCTTCTTCATCAATTCCCCCAATTGAATGCTAAAAATAAAATGTTCTTCGCCAGTTGGAAAAAAAATTCAACGCTTATTGGCTTGAGAAAAAAAATTCTTCTCATAACTTTTTGTTTTTCTCATCACAAAGTTTTCACTCATATAAAGATAAAAATTCAAATTATTTGTAACTATTTGAATGTGTCAATAAAAATTGTGGATATAATGAACAACAAAAATATTTGAAACACTTACGCCAAGTGAGGAAAGTGATGGAAATCTTTTCTTTAATGAATTCATTCTTCAATAATATTTTTTTCACTTTGATTTTTCCTTGAAAATTTTCACTTCAATAATTAATTTCTTAGAAGTTAAAATTTCATTGCAAACTTTCTTTGATTTCAATTGAACCAGATTTCTTCACAACACAATTCGATTTACAGAAATTCCAAAAGAAATTACAACTCGGAAAACTTTTCAACTTTTACGAGATATTCAAGCAATGAGAAATTTTCAAACTATTTTTATCCACGGCAAGCGAGCACATCAAAACAATATCATCGACTAGACTGAGACTGACTGAATAAAATTTCCTCTTAAACCGTTGAATATTCGGGAAATGCCGTTCGTTGCCAGAAGTCGGGATAATATATTTGGTGAAAAAAATATATCACGAGATGAAAAGCGTGGAAAATTCGCTCGCAAATCTTAGAAAAGAGTTTCAAAAAATGTTATATGAAGTTGATTTTTGTTTATTGTTATAACATCTTGAGATGTTTCCTTATCTAAACTCTTGAAAAAAAAACGACATAACTTAACGAAACATTCTCAGACGGAAAATTCTCTCAATAAAATTTTCCTCTCAATTTTCATATTCAAGGGACAAAGCAAAAGTCATTATATGCAACGTGGTTTTGAAATAGTCACGAGAAGTGAAATATTTATCTGCTGATGTTTGAGCAAGTGAACAGAATAAATTAGATCGATGCAAACTAGAAAAATGCACGCTTTGAAGTTCGGAATTAATGTCACAAATGTTCATTTTTATGCTTGAGACAAGTACACAAGAAAAATGTTTTCAACTTCAAGATTTCCAATACTCTTTAGACAGAACGTTACGAAAGCATCTGTAGGTTAATGTAATATCTCTTATGGTAATCACAATTAAGTACTCAAACAATGTTAAACGTGTTGGTAAACATTGACCTAGTGAAAGTGTTAAATTACAATTTTCTCGTGCAATTCATTTTGCAGCGTTTAATTTTATCAGCAATTGTTTCAATGTTGTTCTCTGTTTAAGCTTCTTCGCCTCGGGTTTCGTAAATGGGTAAATGAACTTTGAATCGTGAGATGCACAAACGCATGAGTAAGTCGAAATAGAAATACTTGATTAAGCATTACATCATCGTTAGATACACCAAGCGTTACTTGCTTCTGTTTACGTATTTGATTTACTTTATGAGTAAGTAAATATTTGTCACGTTGATATCTTTTTTCAGTGATTTTATTTGACATTGCATGGTAACATGTTTATTAGCCACCTCGTGTGTTGATCATCATCAATTATTGGTCAACGTTCATTACGTTTTTATGTCTACAGCCAATAAAATATTCACACTGAAGTATTAAAATGAAATATTTTCTTGTTACTAAACTTGTCAACAATATCCGACAGCTTTAACTGAAACAATGAGAACAATAGCGACATTTATTCATATATCATAATTTTGGTCGTCACAAGACAACGATTTGAATAAATTCTTAATACTTCTTAAACCATCACGAACTCCACTACGCATCAAAATCAATTAAGACGTTCTTTTCAGACTCCGAAAATTACTCATCGGAATCTACTTGAACAGCCATCACGTAAATAATAAGAATTGGATGAAAAATTCTTTTCAACTTTTCAAGCGCCTCAAATAGCAGCTACAAGATGAAGAAGAATAGAAGAATTGAGAATCACTTATATCGATATTAGTTATGCTTCGATTTTCCATTCTGCTTTTTAATCTGACATGAATTCAACTTTAACATTAATCATAAAAAGAAGTTTCATCATAAAATCAACTGTGCATTAAATGATGACAATTTCCTTTGATTTTATTCTAAAGAACTCAAGAATAAGCTCTGCTCATAAAACGAAACCTTTTAGAACAATAAAAAATAATGTTTAAGCTCATTTAAAAGAATGTTTGTGCAAACGTTTCATGGACACATTTAAAGGTGTTTTGAACATTCTAGCGTGTTAACTGACAGTGTATTGCGAAAAAAGCTCGTCAATTTATTCGGCAATATATTCATTCGACTGCTCGCTTGTTAACTTCACAAATACACACATGATTGTGATGATTATGTCATCATTTAGAATTATCTAGTGCCGGTGAATATGTTATTCTCATTTTCGCATGTGATGGCACAATTGGCGATTCTACAGTCCACATTCACAGCTTTAAGTGCCGGGCCGTGGAAGAAGAAAAGAGAAGAATTTATGGGCATGAGATGGAAGTATCCAAGTTCATGGTGAAACTTTGTATGTGTGGAATATAAATGTTAGATTCACTTTGAGCTGAATAACGTAATTAAAGTCAAAGAGTCTGACTTCTGATTGATTAATGGCACTAAGCAAACATGTGGTGCAATAGAAGATTTCGATTTCAAACCATCAACCTATTTTCAATTATTTACATTCTAATGTTTGGTTTGATTTCCAAATTGAATCAATTTAAGAGCGTTTCTTATTCTCATTACAATGGTAACGGTTAATATAGTTGATTAACTACTAATCGCCGAGAAAACTGCAAAAACGTGATGGAACTGATGTTTCTCCAACTACTTAATTTCAAACATTAGTGTGCTACATAAATTAATGACAAGGAAATTAAAGAAGAATTTATTGAAATTTCTTCTTCTTTTATGATGAGATTTGCTTTTATGGGAAGGTTTATTTTGTCATTGTTTTGAGACATTCTCATAACGATATCAGGAAGCAAAAAAGATGTGAACGTTAATGACATTCAAATCGAAATGAATTTCCTTATGTTGGGAATTGGATTTTTTTTTAATTTTCCGACTGACGAGGTTTATTTCTTCGCTTTCTGAGTAATGAGTATCGATCTGAGTGAAAGTTATCAGATATCTAACTTATGACTCAATTGTTTGCAACATTAAAGCTCTTAATTAAGTTGCTGACTTTTGTTTCCCTGTCGATCTTGATATTTAACTTGTCTTTCGTTTCTGATTGCCATCGTCAAAGTAAAGAAACAGTTAACGTCTTAATTGGTTCAGTTGAACTTCTTTTATTCTCCTGATATAAATAAATAACATTCAATGTTTTATTCCAAGTTTATTTTTGTGACTGGCCTTCAAGTAATGAACAACAATGAAATTACTCCAAATTTTCCGCTCCATCGGGTAGCAGTAAATATTTTGTTGATAGAGAGAGAAAAATAATCTCAACAACTTTAAGAGATTTTCTAGAAATTTTCCTTGACATAGTCTACTTGAATAAAAAACAATAAAAAAATCTTTTCGCTCTTGAACTGAACAGAAACTTGCATAACAAGTAAAATTAAGTCACAAACGATGATCTCATCATTTTTATTACTTACGAGATGATTTAATTTTACTTCTATGCGTAATCGAATGAATTTTATTCTTCTGTTTTAATTTGATAAAGTTGAAGAACATTAAAATAAAGGCGGAGATGTCAGCATCTTTCACTTAATCTTTAAAAACCGCAAAATTATCAAAATAATGTTTATGAAATTCAAATTTGTTAGCATTAAATATTTGACATGATGAAATTTAAACGTTCTTAATGGCAATATTTGAATTTTATGGCAAGTGCGGCATTATCATTTTGTACAGTTTTGCTTATGGCAAGAGCTCAGATGTTTGCTGTTGGATCTGGGCTTCATTTTCATTTTAAATATTTATTTATGTTAAGATAAGGAAGAATCGCTTTTGAAGGTGCTTTAGGGATGGATTTATATTTCATATGAAAGCCTTTAGGCATTCTTACGCTTCTGCCTTTCACATTTATGTCAGAAATTTGATTGTAAAATGAACAAGACTTTCGTCATCTCTTCCATAAAGAAGAACAACGAAATTTCTCATTTCATTCTATGAAAATATTTTCTTAAAGCTTTTGGTATGCTTTGATCTAATTGAAAGATGATTACGTTTAACTTGAGTTTAATCACGCATTGGAAATTAATTTTCCCGTTTCACGTCAGTAGCTTCAACAAGTTGTAATAAATTTTCTTAATGTATCAGAGAAAAGCATTCAACTTGAAAGTTTACAATTATTTTCTAATGGAATTAATGAGATAAGTTCTTCAATTCCTTTTCCCTTCTTAAGCTCAACGATAATCTTCTTAAAAGTCAAACGGCACCGTTACAGAGAGCAATCTCGTTTAATTCTAATGTCGGTTTGCTTTCTCTCACTCACTGGGTCGCTAGAGCACCGCTGTCAAGTATTATCTAAGGCATAATAATCATCGAAAAATTCAAAGTTGACTGGTCAATTAAAGATTAAAAGAAGAGCTTTTTTTCGTGTTGGTGTATGTTACGACCGGTATCATCATCTTGTTGTTTTTGACTCACGGACAAATCCAATTTACCGAAAATTATGATTTTTTTCTGAGCTTACAACAATGAAATGCGGGGCTTCCGCTTTTTTATCTGTTGCTTCTCATTTCGTTTTTTCCAGTGCGGTGAAACGACCAAATAAACATTGTATAAATGGAGCACCGACTGTTGTCAATTAGGAACCTTCAATTTAAATACAACAAGCTATTATATAATTATTTAAATGACCTCGTAACGATAAGCTTGAACTTGTTCTTTGATGACTCTGAGTTTCTATTTCTATTCTTTTCTCGAGATGATAGCTGGGCAGCAAATTGAATGGCGCCTTAAATAATACTTTTCAATTGAATGAGATTAGAACGTAAATCCAAACATTGTCGCTTAATAAAGCGATAAAATGGTTAAATCTAAATTACTCAAAGCAATCATAAAATGAAATGTCGACATTAGAACTTAGTAGAGAGACGTACTAATGCATCAGACTTATGGAGCCTATAAATAAATAAACTTTCGTGCTATCCAAAGCTCTTTTATCAAAGAGAACTGTTGTGACTGACATTTGCGTCGTTGGCTTGATTCCAAGCAATTACTAATAAAGCACTTAATTGACATTGAGTGATTTGAAGCTTTGAAATGTAATACGTTGTTGTTCGGAAGTGTGAAGAAGTCGAAATATCAATTTCTCAGTCACACGTGACACCAGTGTTGATATTAATCACTTGACTTAACCAAATTACTTTTATAATTTTCTGTAATAAATTCCAGTTAACGATCAATCATCTGAGGTTTTTAAAATGAATTGACGTAATGCATTTCATTAATTTTGAGAAATCTTCTCTCTCTAAAAGAAATTTGATGACCTTAAAGACCCGAATTTCAAATATTAAACTCCATAAAGTCGTATTCAGTGACATCATCGCAGATCATTCGAAAAATATTTTTCTTTCCATTTCGATTAATTAAAAAGTAATAAAAGATTCATTCGAAATACTCTAGCGGTTTTGATGTTGAATTTTTGAGTACATTTGTAGGCGGAAGAATATTAAAACCGTTGAATGAATGCCTCGGAGATATTTAGAAAAAATATTTTCTTTATTAGATAAATATAAAAAATATTTCGCGAGTTGTGTTTTCTATCCGCTGTTTCAATTTCTTTCTCTTTTTTGGGAAATATTTTGGCGCTTCCTGTTGAGAACAAGTTTTTGTTTCACTTGAAAGGTGTATCAGATTTCTCTAAGAAGTATTACAGAAATTAAGCCTTGAATTGATGCTATGAAAGTGACACCATTCATAAATCTCCCCAGAGATAATCTTCATCATAATTCCATTCAAGTTTCATTTGAGAAATGACTTTGTCAGTCAACGGATTATCCAAATAATTTCATATGCACAAACACGCATGGACATGGCTGATTCAACAAAGAATTCCAACATTTGCTATTCTTTCACGCTATATTAAAGTAAATCGTTTTCGATATATGTGATTATGTTTCTTAATTCGACCTCAAATTGCGATAATGAAATCCAGGAAACATCAAACCAAGATAATGAAAATTCGTGCATTTGGATACTTCGGTAATGAAAATATGAAGTGCAATGAACTCAACTCACATAAAAATGCAACATAATCGGACAGTTTTCAGTTCCATCACGTAAATCTAACACTTGATTTCTCTTTTTATATTATTTTCGGAGTTGGATGAGTATTGTGAGCCGTACCCCATACTGTGACGACAAAACTCATAATTATTTCCCCCAACAATAGCATTATAAATTGCTGTACAAACAGATTGACAAGAATTACTTTATGCCTGCAGTTAAAAGAATAAAATCATAAAAAAACTTTATGGTAAGAAATCAGAAAAGGTCAACATTTACAAAAAGATTTCTCCATGTTGCGATTTCTTTTTATCGCGCGAGAAACTCGCGACTGAAGTTGTCAAATCTTACAACAAATTGAAAAAGATTAAAAGTTCTCATATACGAATTCAGCAAATGTTGCTCGATGAAGATCTTTCCAAAAAAAAATTCAACTTTTGTGTTGGTTGGGTAAACAACACATACGAACGAATATGCCACACCATGACGTTATCATGCTGAATGAAAACCGGTTGCGAATGTATTTTTGGCTTAAGTTGAATTCTCATTGAGTGATTTTTTGGAAAATAAAGCAAAATCAGAATAAAATGCCAGCTTTAAATGCCAGAAAAATGTTCAAGTGGTGAATGGTAAATGATGAGAAAAATTTGTAAGTTTTATGAAGATTGTTGATTCATCAATCAAATATTAAATTAAAAGCCAGCTATGCTTGCTCATAAAATTATCACTTACTGATACTAAAAGACAACAAAGCTTTTAACTAATAATCATGAAAAAGGAATTTTCACATCATCAATTAACATCTAAGACCTCAGAATTCATTCTCGAATTGGCGAAAATCTTTCAAACTAAAATACTTTTCGGATTCTAAACGATAAAATGTCTCCATCGTTATTATTTAAGCTACAGACAACTTTAACATGCTAGATGAACTCAGATGAGTCAGAATTAAAATTTGGTTCGGCTTCTATTAAAGGAAACTTGTTTGTCATTCTAAAGAATAAAAAGATTTCATACAATATTGAATAAAATAATATTTTTTGAACGATTTGAGTCAAAGAAAAACTTCAACACATCGTTTGTTATCGAATTCTTGTTATCAGCTTACGCAATCACGGGCGTAAATTGATAAGATTCCAATTGAGTCTCTCAAGTCTATGAATCTCGTAGCATTGCGGCAAAAAAAACTCTATCGATTGAATCACAATTTATCATAATTATGCTAATAGTTTAGAAGCCATAAATACAACTTCCATAGATAAGCATGACGTTGTTGTAACTAAATACAGAAATAAACGGAAATTGTCCTAACTTGAAGACAAAACATGGAAGCTGAAAATATGCAAAAACAATTTTTTTCATAGCATGCGGTATGCTTATTCAAAATGTGGAGACTTAATGTCGGTGATCGTTTTTTATGTTTCTTTGTTGGCGGAAATTTCATGTCGAGGTCAGAAAGAATTAAAAACTCAATGAAGAAGAAAGAAATTGTATTAATTTCTGAGACGCCATCGGCATCGCAAGTGTAGTTTAATTACAGTTGTTGACACAATTAAACTTTTACTGTCGCAAATTTCTCCATTCTTAAATTATTCTGCATGTCACAAATTCTCACAATTTTATTTTCCATTTGGGTTGTGATTTTAAATGAAAACTTTTGACTGAAAATGTTGGCAATTTTATTGCAGACGAAAGCGAAGATTTCAATGATTTATGATGTGGATCAAAATAGATGAAAATCATATCAATAATTCATGATCCAATTCAGGTCATTGATCGACATTTTTTCACTCGATTAGCTTGATAAAAAAATAACACAACAAACATGGAACAAATTCAAATTGTCAGCCGTCATTTGACTTTGAAGTTTTGTATATTTCCGAACAGTTTTGAAAGATGCGATGACGAGTGCATTTCTCAAAGAATTGTGTTGTTTCGTTCCATCTGTCGTTTAATAACATTTCAAGCGCACGCACACTCACACATACGACAGCTTCTTATTAATTACCAGCAGAAAAAGAATTTGTCAATGAAGAACAAGATAAAGAAGCAACGAGAAATTCCAATAGTTTCCTTTACTGTCAATATAAGAAACGTGAGGGGAACGACGATTAAAATTTTCTAGCGTTGTTGCTGAGATAACGAGTAAGGGAAATGTGTGAGCTATTGAAATGTTTGTACATTATCATAGCTCATTCAATATGTTTTTCTATTTAATAATATAAACTCAATTATTGCGTAAGCGATTGATGAATAAATTTACTCACAAGTTTTGGTGATATTTCAGCCATTTGGAGGGAATTTCTGCTATAAATGATATCTTTGTAGCAAAAAAAACTCTTCACAAAAGCAAATTCTTTTCACTTTAAAACTATTTCGTAAGTCTGTTAAGTTAAAGCTTAGATTTTCATTGGAAATCTTGGAATGATTTCTGATGCAATTGCAGAATTTTCACTATTGCACACACTCCAGATTTTTTTCTCTTCTTTTTTGTGTTCTTTGATGCGCTTCTGGAAGTTATTCCACCCTTAATGTGACCTCCATTTCATTCCCGTATCCAAAAATGTTTCAATCGATAAAGTAGAAAATTTTTTGTTATCTTTTGGAAACAAGATTAACTTCTTATCACAATTGAAGGTGCTTAACCTTTTTTTCCCAAGAGAATAGTTCTTTAATTTTATGACGTTTCACATTTAACATAAATTGAATATTTCTAAGAATATCGCCTGAATAATAATTGATGACTCCCGTTTTTTCTGTACTACATAAAATCAATGTTCTTTGGATGTGAAATTCCTTCAGTTTCTAAATTTATCAACTTTTTCTTTCTTTCGTTCTTTTTCTCGTTTTTGTTCTTCGCTAAGCATGAAGAATCTTATTGGATTCTTTTTCCTTTCCACAACAAAATTATTCTTCTTCTTTGCCTCTTGTTTCACTTAAATTTAATTTAATTTTCCCTCGCTTCCCCGTCTTCACATCTGTGCTGCAATTCAATGAAACTCCGACTGCAGTTCGTCGTTTTATGGAAAACGAGAGAAAAAAATTAGTTTTGGAATTGAATTGAAAAGTATGAAGCGAAACTATATTCCAAAATGATATTATCTAAAAGTAAGCTCAGAAAGCAACCCGAAATTCATCCAACTGGAACTCGCTGTTCACTTTTCTACTCGAAAGTGATATCTTGGAATTCTATGAGTTGCCAGAGACAATTAATAATTTTGCTGATGAGTTAAGGTGAATTATTGGAAACTAAATCTATTTCCCCTTTCCTGTCTTATTGGAATGCATAGAACATCAAATGACGGAATCAAATTACGGAAAGAAACATTTTAAATGTGTTTTTGTAATTCGATATAAGTAATTGAAATCGCTTAATCTGCTTTGCACTCGACAAACGACTTAATACAATTCATTTACTCAATGCAACTCTTCATTTTTCTAATGAAGTTCTTTTAGTTGGAAATTGTTAACCAAGTTTAGATTTTCTTAAATGTTTACTAATCCTTTTCCTTTTGACTTCCTCATGTCTGGTTTCAAGTGACTTTTAAACCAATTTTATAAACAAACTTTACATTTCTTCTTCCGTTGCTAATAAATGTGTTTTACTTAGAAACAAACACTGAGAATGTTTAATTTGTTGCAGACCTGAGAAGCCTTATAGGGGTTTCCTTTCATTAAAAAAAATAAAAACTACGCAAGAGTAACGAAATACATTAAATAACATCGCTAGAGGTCATCAATTTGTTATGACTCATTCGATCTTGAAACTAACATTCCATCATTTCGTCGACGATTACTCAAACGCAACCGGAGAACGATCGAAAGAGTTTTGTTTGTAATCAACAATTTCTTTTCTTTTCCTCCAATTTATGTTTCAGTTTCTCTTTCTTTGTGTTCCTTCCATCGTCAGTTTTTATTTTGCTCGCGTTTTCTTCTTCGCTTAAGTCTCGCGATAAATGCTTGTGATCGAAAGAAAAAATGGTGTAGCAATGTTATTAACGAAATGTAAGAATCAAGCAGCAACAGCAGTAATTACTAGAGAACGTTTTTCTTTCATTCTTTTCGTGGAAAATGCGAAGCAATTTTTCAATTGAGCTCTAACTTTAATGACTTTGGTGAGATTCATGGAGTGATTCTCATGAGAATGAGCGCTACTAACTTTTTAACTTCTTTGTTAAATATTGTTACAACGCAAAAACATTCTTATGCTAATGAGTTGAAGATATTTTTATGTAGCGTTCCATATGGATTCGACACTTTCTCATAGAAAGCTGCGCAATTTGCTGTGGTTTTGGAAAACACTTTAAATGGGATCAAAGCTATGTTGTTACATCAACATGAAATCTGTTTGACTGCGGTGATCCATGAATGGCTCGATTGAGTAATTAACACAGCTATATGACAAATCACGATGCGCATCTATTTTCAAAAAGAACTTAGAGCTAAAGCTTTGAAAATATCTACTTACAATCTGATCAACTGCTATTCCATTTCCATTATGTTCATGTCGATTGTTGTTTTCGATTATTAAACTCATTTTGCTTGATTTATCATAAAAAATATTTATATTTTTGCTTTGTTGTCGAACTTTCTTTTGCAATTAAATTAATAATTTTACTTGTTAATGCACTTTTAGCTTCTTTCGGTAGATAACTTAATTCCACAATATTTTCATAACATCGGAAAAAATAATTTTGCTGTGGATATTAAAATTATTTTTTTTATTTAAAAATTTGAGCGCGCGATCACAAGTCACCGGTTTGAGGTTTGCCGACGGACTAAACTTCAACTGAATTTGGAGCTCATATTGTACTAGATTCATATGGAGTTGAACGTACTAGAGTTTTAAATTCCAGCAAACTTCAAGCTAACGTTAATTTGTTGAAGACTTTGAGGACTTAAATTAATTAAACGAATATCTATTGTTTTAAAGTCTATAAAATTCTTGTAAAAATTTTTCAAACCGGAAAAATATAAAAAATTGAGGTCAAATTTCGCTTTACATACTGAGAAAACTCAATTAAAATTCTCATCTTTTCTCAAAGTTATATTCATCAATTTTACGAAAACTTAACACCGTCATTAAAACAAATTCCAAGTGATATTGTGTTACCGAAAGTCAAAACATCTATATTTTCCATTAATATGTTATTTCAACATTGCGCAATCTCATAAAAAGCTTTTGAACTTCCAATCGTAACATTCTTTCTGTCATATTTTGAAACCCGGACATGAATATGTTTTCAAATGTAACTTTCACCCTTAAAGTTCCATTTCACAAAGTGACACTTTTAAGAAACAATTTTGTACTCACATGATGATGGTGGTGGTGGGACGTGTGATGACTTGAGTGATGTGTCTTATGCGCTTCCGTCGATTCTGTATTTTTCTGTTTAGAATGCGAATGATGATGTGATGAATGTTGATGGTGGTGTGGATGATTATCCAGATTGATCTGATGATTAACATTTCCACCAACGTGAATGTTATGTGGCAATGTCGAATTATGTGGGGCTGAATGACCATGATGTCCAGGATGGTGTCCGCTTTGAGACTCCATCAAACTAAACCAAGCAAAATAGAAATAAAAGTCATTGCAAATTAAATAATTCTTTAATTTTTATGTTATCAATGTTATAAAATCTAGGAACGTTTCGTGGCCTGGTCACGAAAATGTCTGAAAGGTGTGAAAATATTCATGCATGAAAAATTTTGTTACAACACACGCCTGTCAACTGAATTTCAACTGTAAATTTTTATTGCCGGTTTAAAGCAAATAAAATAAAATGCTTTTCTATCCTCAGGCAATCTTGGTCAATATCAAATAGAAATATTTTCACATCCTAAGTATGATAAAATGATGCAACAATTCGATAACAAAAAATCATGAATTTTTCTTTAATATTCATCAAAGTCAAAATAAACGTAAATGAAAGGAAAAAGGAGCAATAAAATCAATAATCTACCTCGGATTAATATGTGTAACGAACTGCATGATGATTTATAAATATTATTTCCAGATGCGACGAAATGAACGAAAATATCGATTCAGTGATAATAAATCAACAGTAAGATGTTAACGCAATTTTTATTCCTTTATACGACCTTCATATTATCACTTTAAGCTTTCATTCCCATCTCACTTTTCACTTGACTTTTTTCTGCCACCTCACAAACTTTTAATGCGATTTTCCTGGCTCATAAAATAAATTATTTTATTTTTATTCCTTCGCTGACATACAAAGATATTTCTTAATATCTTCTTTAAAACTTTGCCACAACACCCAGCATATCAAACAGTATGTAGTGGAATGTTGTGAAAAAGCAAAAGAAAAAGGTAAGAAAATTCATTGCTAAACATCGTGACTGCCTTGTCTGATCGGAAGGAAATTGCGAATAATTTTCATTCTTTCATTCTTTCATTGAAGTATGTTATGGATTTACAAAATCCAAACACATCACCAATGCGACTTTTAACATTTATAAACTTATAAACGAGGGGAGAAAAGAAGATTTTCAGGGCGTGAAAAATAAGCTCCCCATGTTCATTGAAACAAACAACACAGTGGAAAGCGAAGGCTATAAAGAAAAATTCCTTCGAGTTCCGTCTTTTCTAGGTAGTTATTTTTATGACTTCCTTTGAGCGATTTCCACATGAAGTTCTTTCTTTTTCTTTATTATTTCAACTTCGTTAAGCGAATGGAAAACCCGTGAAAAGTTCATTGACAGTTTTTAAAACAATTTCATGCTCATGTTTTAAAATTGAGTAGATAACAATTTTTAGTCTTTTCAACACATTTGTTATCCTTTTCTGCTTTTGCAAACAACTTATGAACAATTTGTGTTTTTCCTTTTAATATTGTTAAGTAGAATGATGAATCATTCGCTTTTTTGTTTCATCCATTACATCACATGAGATTACATCACAAAGGATGAGAAGGGTAAAGTTTTGTTTCAGCTGTAATTAGATGATAAAGAGTGCCAATTAAAATAATTTCATTCTATGTTCTTTCTGCCGCACTCTACATTTGTGAATGGCAAAGTTTAAAACCTTGTTTCCCTTCTCATCACGCCCTTTTCTGTGGTGAAAGGCTTTTAATTTTCTTTTTTCCAATAACCCGGGGACTTCAATTTCATTTTCGAATACTATTCACTCAATTTTCAATGACCCAAATAAGAATAAAATACTATTTTTAAAACTCAAATACTGATGAAAACCATGTGATAAAAGCATTTCAATGACATTTATCACGAAAAGGAAAATTATAAAAGTCAATTCCAACACGCATAAATTTGTTTTATTAGAATCTAACGATGAACTGAAATTCTCAATTTCCATCTTTTCTTTTGATCACGAGCATAATATTTCTTTAGAAGTTTATTTTGTTTATCTAATACCCGAAATCACTGTGAGTGTTAAATTCTAATAATCATAAATTTTCATCTTTTCATAGAAGTTTAAGGGAAAGTTATAAAATAGCAGTTTTCGCACGCTATCATTAAAGACGTTGAATATTTTAATTTCTTTTGTTCTATTTATAAAAGAATTCTCGTTCATCCATTTTCAATCTATTTTTAAAATGCAAATTCATACACTTCCAGAACGGCGATGACCTCTTTAGAAATGTTTTAAGCCTAAGAGAATATTTTACATTCTTGTGTCAATGCAAAGATCTTTGCAGTATTTTCAGAAGCAAAACCTTTTCAAGATTCACCTCTTGGGGAAAAAAAAGAAGTAAACTGAGCGAATAACTAATCTGGGTAATGGAAAAACATTTCCCTGTCCATGATATTTAATGTTTTGCAAACAATTTTTCAAGCAAAAGTTTTCACTCCCTAATTTACATGAACAAGCACGGAAAAGTTTGAGACAGAATGTTAGAAACGAAGAAATATTATTTTATGAAGTTGAGCATCGCTTGGGAAGAGGAAAAGCTCTTTCAGTTTATTAACATAAAGAATTCGTCGTAATAGCGTTGAAGTTCCCATTTCAATGAACTTTTATCACTTGATAATTGAGGGTTGGTTGAAAAAGCTTTAAAAATTTGCCACAATTGCCGTGCTCAACTCACATCAATCATAAACTAAATCGAGTGTAATGAAATTTAATTTCTTTTAATTACTTTTAAAACTTTATGAACTTTTCAATTTTCTACTTTTTTTTCTTAAAACACTGAAAGTTTTTCTTCTTTTGCGCAACGGATTGGAAGAAAGTTTTCCACAGTTCAACACTTTTCCAACACTCGAACAAAACGCGACCGATTTCAAAGAATTTTCCTTGTCGACTGAGGAAAATATTTTCGTACTTTTCGCAAAGCTGTGGAAAGACTCACGAACACATTCGTGTAGCCGAGGAGTTCTTCTTTGAGTTTTTCTTTTAACATTGGTTTGTTGTGAAAGCTTTCGGTAGTTTGGGGGTGGTGTTTGAGTTACCATAGCTGAGTTCATCTAGATTTGGTTTAGTATTATTTCCTACCTTTAGGCAACACGCAAAGTGCTTTTGCATGATGAAAATATAAATCAAAATATGGTTGTGTTTGTGTAAATAAATATTGGAAGACGAGATGAGCTTTGAAAGTTTAATCAAAAGCAGAAATGTTTGTCGTCGTCATATACATAAGTTACGATTATTAGAGTTGTGTTAAAATTGATAGTTTAAATGTAATAAAGAGACACAATTAAGTTTAATAAAAGCGATAATTGATTCGTGAAGATATAAACACATATTCAACAAGTTTCCACTTAGTTACTCTTACACTCGTGAGCTTCCACTTATGTACATAACAAACTTATGTTACGAATTGGTCACGAAGAAGGGCTCATAAATGAAAATGCGGTTTATACGCAAAAATATTCATTTGCTGATTTTGCGCAAAATTCATTCGTTTATTTTATGGTTGAAAGCTTCCCATGTGAGCATTATTTTGATTATTCAATTTTAACTCACTTAACAGTCCTTTGAATAAGGGAAAGAACTCAACGAGCACAACATGATGCCAAAGCAAGGAACATTAACGATTTTCACTTACAAAAGCAATTATTCAAGTCACAAATGGAGAAAGAAAACTTTTCTGTCGACTAATTACAATCGATTTTGTCTACAATTTGATATATTTCAACAACCTTTTCACTCTCTTTCCTTTATCCTACAATGATTTGTTTCCTTACCTTTCTTCGGTTTTTGTAGCCAAAAGTTTGTCGAGCATCGAATTGAAGTGATGACAAATCTACTTTTTCAATCTCCCTTGTTATTATTTTATTACAACTTGAAGCTTTTCTTCTTAACTCAATCTGACATTCTTCTTAGCGACAAAGACAATTCATTTGAAATGGAAATCTACTCATAGGCACAAATGGCGCCAAATGAATTCTTCTTATCTAGATCATCTTTTTCATAATAAAAAAATCAACATGCTTAACTTTCATAAAAAGAAAAAACTTTATTGCACAAAATATTGGATAGATATTGCCAAGTTTTATTTGTCAAACATAAAAATTGCTTTCAACTTCCTGTTATTACTTAAAACTTTGTACCGAAAAACAAAGGCATTTATTAAATAAGTTATGATAAAGTTGAAAGTGAATATAAATTTTCTCGTTCATGAACCTTCTTTTCACTTCTTTTTCTCGTGGGTGGTGATGTTACAGCTTAACGTGAAGTTTTTGATAACTTTTGGCACAAGGGGAAAGCCGAATGAAAATTTTTGTAGGTCAAAAGCAGAGAAAAATCAGATTTGGTATGAGTAGAGAGACTGGATGGCTTAGAGAATCTACTTCTTTGTTATGTAATTATATTTAATAATTTGGTGACAATCTGATGAATCACCAGCGAGCGATTTCTTTAATGTTTAACTCATTGTCATGACAGAATTGTGGGATGAGAATGTTAAACTGCTTGTCATCTCAAATTGAATATCGATTTATCGTGACGGAATGCTGATGTTGTAATTGAAGATGTGGGTGGGGTATTTGAACGATTAAACCTCGGAATAAATTTTGTGAAAATGTCTTATCTAAGTATCGAATGACCAAATCTATTAATTTAATGTTTTTCTTCGACTAAGAGAGTTCTCTAAATTACTGTCAATTATGATACATTCGCATAAGGCAAACGTTCATAACATTCATAAAGCGATCCCAAAGGCATCGAATCTCAGCACCGCTTGTCTGTCCATGTCCAAAAGATTGAAGATCTAAGATGCATTTGGTGAGTGCTGATAAGAAATCTTTTACTTGCTCTTCATTCCAATTGTTCATCTTCCAAGGCTCGATAAGTTTCTCAACAAGTTCAAGAAAGAAATTACGTAATTCACGTGATCGATGAATTGATGTAGCAATTGTAATGATTGAACGATAATAATTACGAAAATTCATGTCAAGTTCTTGGTAAGAACGTTCAAGAAGTGAATCCTTCAGACGAAACAAAACGAGGCTGTGAAATTAATTTAATTAAAATTCAGAAACATCTAAAATGAAAATTCTGCTCTTACTGTTTGATTTCACGATCCTTCTCAAATAAGCAACGTAATTCTCGAAGGTCTAACAGAAACTCTTTGTCAAACTCCTCTTCAATCTCTTGCGAGTGCTGATAGCAATACGTCCAAAAATGCATAATCGAGTTTGAACAGTCAAAAACGTCTTTGAAATTTAAATAAGCAACTTTCTTCTTTGAGAGCTCAAAACGTTGGCAAGCGATGAATACGATAGTACAATATTTTCTTGCAAGCTCTTCAGACAAAAGAAATTCTCTTTGAATGATTTTAAGGAATGAACCAGCTGGTGGACTTTCATCGATGCACTTTTGGATTCGTTTGATGTTGTCGAATTGTCTTCGACAACTTTTAAGTTTTATTGTTGTTCTTTCACTTATTTCGTCTAAATCTTTACGATATTTAGATGACAACTTTTTTCCTAATAGCTCACGACAAACAGCATCATCAAGAGAGTAATATTGGTCAATAATGTGCATTTTCGATGCCTTTTCTAACTGGAAGCTCAACGACGAGTCAAGTTTTTGAGGTGCATCAAGAAACTTCTCGAGATGAGAATAGGTACGGTAATGATCCAAGACATCAGATGCTATCAACTCCAATGGAATATTACTGGCAACTTTTTTACGTTGTCTTATGACCGCTTCAGAACTAAAGAGAAAATTGTAAACAAAACCTGAACTTATTAAAATTCATAACTCTCTCACCTGGTTAGACCTTCAAGCCAGCAAGAAAATATTTCTGGATCAACATATATATAATTTGTTATAAAAACATCAACATCCATTGCTTATTACTTGCTTGCTTGCTGATTTACTTTTTTAAACGAAAATTCAGAAATTTTTTGTTGTTGACAAAATTATTCTAGTACTTCAATTCCTTTATTTTTGTCAAATTTGGCAACATAGCAAAATGTAATAAAAACCATTTTATTTAGTATTGTGCGAATTAACAACTTATAAAAAATGCGTTATGCCATTGAAAGAAAACTTTCGAGTGGATTTAAGTGAATTAATTTGATTTCACTCAGTTATTTTGAGTATAAAAAGAAAAAACAATTTTTAAAATTTTCTTACCCCTCGTGTTGTATATTTCTTTCTTATCAATTTTATTGAAAAATTGAAAATGGATGAGGATTACACCATCTATCATGAAGAAAGCTTGTTTGCCGAGTCTTTAAGCACACTACGCGAAATAAGAAGGCAAGGACGACTTTGTGATGTGATCTTAAAAGTAATTATTGAAGTTTCTTCATAAAGAATTGAAGTTTAATTGAAAAATAATATTTTGTTATTCTCAGGTCGATAACGAGTCATTTTCAGCTCATCGTGTGATCCTTGCCGCTCAAATTCCTTTCTTCAACGCAATGTTTTCTCAAGATTATGCAGAATATTCACAAAAAGAAATCGAGCTGAGGGAAATTGACGCAACAGCTTTAGAACATTTAATTAATTTCGCTTATAGTGGTTCTATTCGAATAGATACAGCAAATTGTCAATCAATTATGATTGGGGCTTCATTCCTTCAACTTAATAAAGTTCGTGATGCTTGTGCTCAGTTTTTGATTCAAAAGTAAGTGAATGAAAAGAAATTTTAAAACCACTTGTTTAAAACTAACAATGACCTTCGTATTATTTATAGATTCCATCCACAAAATGTGTTAGGAATACGTAATTTCGCTGACTCACTAGGACATGCTCATCTCTTCTCATCTGCTGATAAATTCATCAACTTTAAGTTCGCAAGTATTTCAACTTCGGAAGAATTCCTCCAATTGCCATTTGCAGATCTCATTGAGATCATCAGAAGAGACGAAATCAATTGTTCAAGTGAAGAAGTTGTTTTCGAAGCAGTGATGCGTTGGGTCAAATATAATGAAGTTGAACGTATTGAAATGTTTCCTGAAATCTTATCAAAAGTCAGACTTCCCTTACTTTCACCACAATTTCTTGCTGATTCTGTTGCAACAGAAGAACTTGTAAAGACATCACATCAATGTCGAGATTTGTTAGACGAAGCTAAAGATTACCATTTAATGCCAGAACGTAGAGAACTATTACAGAGCTACCGTACAAGACCACGAGGAAATGATTTTGTACGTGGACAAATTTATGCTGTTGGAGGTCTCACTAAGTCAGGCGATGCTGTGTCAACTGTTGAAATTTATGATCCAAAAAAAGATGAATGGCAAATGGGACAAGCAATGTCAATGCTTCGTTCCCGTGTAGGTGTTGCAGTGCTTCATGGCCGTTTATTTGCTTTTGGTGGATTTAATGGACAGGAACGTTTAAGTACAGTGGAAGTGTTCGATCCTGAAACAATGAAATGGAGTCAAGGGAAGACAATGATGTGCAAAAGATCAGCAGTTGGTGTTGCTGCTTTAGATGAGTTTATTTATGTCTGTGGTGGATATGACGGAATCACATCGCTTTCAACTGTTGAATGCTACTGTCCCAAGACCGACGTATGGAAAAAAGTTGCTCCAATGATGCGATACCGTTCAGCAGGTGGCGTGTCAGCTTTGAGAGGTTTTGTCTACGCTTTAGGTGGACATGATGGATTAAGCATCTTTGATTCAGTTGAACGATATGATCCAAGCACTGACACTTGGACAAAAGTTAAACCGATGCTTAATCGACGGTGTCGATTAGGCGTTGCAACTTTAAATGGAAAATTATACGCTTGTGGTGGATATGATGGTTCATCATTTTTAAGATCTGTTGAAGTTTACGACCCAAATTATGATACTTGGAAGACGATAGCACCAATGAATGTGAAAAGATCACGAGTTGCATTAACAGCGAATATGGGAAAATTGTATGCAATTGGTGGATACGATGGTGAATCAAATCTTTCAACAGTTGAAGTCTATGATCCAGCACAAGATTCTTGGACGTTTGTATCATCTATGAAATGGCACGGTGGTGGTGTCGGTGCAGCAGTCTTACCAAATTAAATTAAGCTTGTGTCATGGACAGTTTCTCATTTTAGGTCAAGGGACTTATCGAGGTATATTAAAATTAGATTTTAGTCATGTCCATTACTTTGCATATTATGAAATTTATTTTGAATTTCCTGAAACTCGAAAAATAAAAAATAATAAAATCATTGATATTGAGAAAGTTTATTAAACTCTATTCTTCATCGTTCTCAAGATAAATGTTCTTCTGTCCGAACTTTCCATAAAGCTCTGCTTTTAATTTTGTCATGACAGCTTGGATTTCGGTAATTTTAGTTTCAATATTTTTGATTTCTTGTTCTTTCTTTTCCTTGGTTTCTTTAAGCAGAAGTTGTGTTTTCTCAACATTATTGTAAATGAATACTTCTCCAATTAAGAATTGTATCTGGTCTTCATCCACTAATTCTATCTCCTCAATTGCTTCTTCGATGTTTGTCAATTCATTTTTCTTGAACTTCAAATCTTCCTTAAGATCTTCAATTTTCGCAACATGATTTGCAAATTGGTTAATTCTCATCTGATCATCAAATGTTATTTGTACATCAGCATCGGGATCCTAGAAATAAGAATTGGAGGCTTAAATTAATATTTTTATGTTATTATTCATCGAAAGCGTGTTAAAGCAAAATATGTTTTTATTAAAATCTGTTTCTCATTCATTTTGAGGAGTAAACTCGCTGAATAATATTTAATGAATTACTTACAGGTTGAAAGTTTGTTTTTCCTTTCTGTTCTACTTTGGCCATGGTCTATTTCTTACGATAACTTATTTGAAAAATAAATAGATTTTTGAAGAAAAATAAGTTCACAACTGATGACAGTCGGTCATGAAAAGCTAAGATCAATAAACTTTGAGAAACAAAACACGAATTGATCTGAAATTTTGAGGCGAATCTTGGTGTGAAGTTTTATAAAGTTCGTGATACGTAATTTGGTAAATTATAGTGCTTTTGCATCCGATTTCAAGTTAAAAAGCAAATGTAGGTGTTATTTCATGCACATTTCTAAACATAGCGCTGAGATAATCCGGAAGCAGCTAATTTTTAAGTCATTTTTAATCAACTTAATTTTCATGTTTCTTTCAATTCATGTTTTCAGAAAAAAATGGATCAAATTTTAGTATCTGCTGCAAAGCAGTTGGAAAAACAATTGGATAGTGAAATTGAGCGATTGGATAACCTTGGTGCTGATGATATCGAAGCAATTCGTGAACGACGACTGAAAGAAATGAAGCAACGTCAAGAAAAAATCATTAAATGGAAACAAAATGTAAGAAACACATGAAATGATGAGTAATGAGTTTATATTCTAATTTTTTATTCATCTTATAGGGACATGGAGAATATTCAGAGTTAGTTGATGAAAAAGAGTTTTTTGAGGTGTCGAAAAAGTCGGAAAATATCGTCTGTCACTTTTATCGTGATGGCGCTGAACGGTGCAAGATCGTCGATAAACATTTGAGGATTCTCGCTGCAAAACACATTGAAGCTCGATTCTGTAAAGTCAATGCTGAAAAATGTCCTTTCCTTACCACACGCCTTAGGATCAAAGTAATTCCAAGTATAGCATTAATTGCTGACAACAAAACAAAAGATTACATCGTAGGATTCACCGATCTCGGCAACTGTGATGATTTTAGCACAGACATGATGGAGTGGAGAATTGCCCAATCAGGTGCAATTGAATATAACGGTGATTTGTTGACCCCACCAGATGTTAAAAAGCGTCAAACATATGAAAACAAAAACAAGACAATTAAATCTTCAAGAGCTTACGATAGCGATTCAAGTGATGGCTTGGATGACTAAAAAGACACAAAAATATTCCTCAAAAATTCACAATCAAAAAATTAAACCAGTGCTTTGCTTTGCTAATTCTAAGACACTTCTTCTTTTTATTATATTATTTTTCTTCATTTCTTTCGTCACTAACTCAACCACATTAATTCATTTCTGTCTTTAGTTCAATGATTTTGTATGTGAACTTTAAAATAAAAAAAGAACAAAATAATTGAAAAGTTTTCTTTTTATATTTGCTAAAAGAAACTAATGACGATTTTATTAGAAATCTCAATGGTCATTGAACTTTCAGATGATGTTTGACATTTTTCGCAGGTGACGAATCTGAATGTGTCAATAAATCTTTTAAAGACCGAAAATTTGTGATGTTCCTCAATGGTGCTTCTAAGATGAGATAAACTACAACTCCAAGTGCATAACTTATTATCATTATCGCACATGAATATGCAAACTAAAATTGAAATAAATTCATTAATATAAATGAATTGCGACAATAACTTAAATACTTACCATATTAATGAAACTCATTTCCAATAAAACATTTGTCGTCGAAATGAAAAATTTAGTAACCACCGAACTGCATAAATAAGAAACAAAGAATAATTTGTCACTTAATACAAAGAATTTTTCCTTTGAAAATTTTCTTATGAGTTCATTTTTGATTACAAATCGGTTGATAAAGATGCACAGGAAGATTCCATGGTGATGTTTAATGTAACTACCAATTACAGATGTCAACCTTGTAACGCTCAAAAGCGTATCAAAATTAATAAAGAAACTTTTAATTAAATTCGTTAAAAGAATGTAAATGACCATTATTAGGATTGATCTTGATTTCATGGTTTTCCTTTGATACACCAATGAACCAAATAAAGTTCCAATAATGAAATTTCCACAATTCATGTGCGATGCATAAAAACCTTCAGTAAATTTTCTATCACCTCCTTTCGGAAAGTTCCTTAAAATCTCTGGCACTACGAAAGAATATATATTGAGCTTTCTAAAGGAGATTAAAGTTGCAACAAAAGCTAACGACATTAAAATTATGAAGAAAGATTTCAATTTTTGCCACTTTGGGAATTTCACTAAGAAGCAAATTATGAAAAATCCTAAAATGCTTAAATGAAAATCTGCTGATAGAATCCAACTTGATTCTAAACACATTTCACCATGCTTTGCATAATTATTGAAAGTCAAAATACTCAAAAGCCCACTTTCTCGACAATTCTTCTGTTCTTTCAAAGCATGATTATTCCAAAAAGGGCTTTCGACCATCGATTGAAGAAATGATGAATGAAAAAGCACAAAGCCAGAATAAAGTGCCAAAAGCTTTCGAAATTTAGAACCGACCAACTTTTTCAGCAAGTGCCACACACTTGAAGAAGTTTCAATCAGTGGGATCAAAAAGAAACTTAATTGAATCCCACATGTCACTAAAAATAAATTCGTAACAAATTCATGATCTAAGAACAACATCCAATTGTTAAGAAAACTCTGAAAAAACAAATTTTTTAGTTATTTAAAAAACTGTTTTATCAAACAAATTACAATGACTCACTTCTTCAATGTATATTGGATTAGCGAATGGCATTGAAGCAATGTGTCGATACACATAACTGAACACAAGCATGAATAAAATGACACATTTAAATGGTTCAAGAGCTGTGTAATCTTCATTTTTCGTAACTCTCGTGAGTTGATTCCAATTTTCTTGTATTGAAAAAGCTTTAAAAAGTGCTTTAAAGCTTTTTGCGTTTATAAAGATTTTCTGAACTCTTGGGTAATCTTTATACCTTTCATATATCAGTGATGACAAGAAGAAAAACAAAATCGTAGACAGACCAGCAATGAATAAATAATGAACCAAGTCAAACGAACGTTCTTCATTTTCAGTGATGCAATAATCAATTTTAGTTTTGGCAATGAATCCGTAATTATCCAAGAGTTCCTTGTTGACACAAACATTGCAAATTTTATTTATAGCGTTTAGTTTTGCAATTGCGGGAGTGACTCCATCACCGACTATCAAAGAATTATCGTTCAAATATTTTTTTTCTGCCTTTTCTGTTTCATTCATCTTTTCGTGAATTTCGTGGCATTTTTTCATGCATATACCACGTGTCAATATTCTATGGTTGAAATATTGATTTGAATATGAAGAATATTCGGTAATAGTAGAATATGGGGTAGATCGTTTCGTAGGATGATCGATTACCGCTTTCACCATGCAGTACAAAGGCGATTTTAAATCAGAATCACTCTCGAGACTTTTGCATTCTTCGAAGTCATCTATGCTTGCAAGTCGAGGTGTCTTGAAGTAATCGCTTCCTGTGAATGTCAATATTTGAATCAATCTTGAATTTTTCAAATCTTCAACTTCTATTTACGACTCAGCTCCTCAAACTCCACAATAAACATTAATCCAGTTAGACATATTATAATTAAAAACAATCCTGTGAAAATTAGACACTTCTTCATTATAAGAATTTATTTTCATTACTAAAATTGTCAAATTTTGATGAAATGTCATTTAAGATGTTATTTGATCAATTATTGTTTTAATTGAACAACTGTTTTTGTTTTTTGGGAAAAATATCTTTTAATGGAAATTCTTTTACTTACTATGATGAGATTATGTTCATTTTAATACGTCAACTTAAAGATGAACGAGCTGTTCATTCCAACATTCTAAACAAAATGCATTAAATAAACCTTCCTCCAGCAACGAAAGTGACAAACTGAACTTGCAATTGTTAAAGAAATTGTAAATTATTTAGAACATGCGAAATTATCAAAAGAATTCTCAACACGTAAGTAATTAACTACTTGATAAAATTTCTAATTACATACTAATTACTTTTATAAATAATCAAAAACTTTACACATTTATGACATTTTCTTGACACTTCAAAGTTGAAAGTCGCATACTTACTTGTTGTATTTCTAAGCACTTAAAAAAATGAAAGCTTTTGTTCTCTTCTTAATATTTTCATTATTAAATTTTTCAAAAACTTTACCAATTCCTAGTGAAGAAAATAATGAAAATGAGAGAGATGTTAAGGGATTAATAGATAATGTCCCAATAATTAGTTCATCAACTACGACGACATCAACAGCGGCTCCAGGAATTGGTGGACTTGGTCCTAGCCTGGGTGGATTAGGCAGCTTTGGACAGAATGTCGGAAATGCAGGTCCTATACTTATCCTAGGAGGTTTTCAAGCTGTTGTAACTAAGTTTGATCCTACTCTAATTCAAGGATTACCAGGTTTAAGTGGAGTTGTACCAAGTAAACCTTAAACAATTTTTTAACGGACAAATAAATTCAAATCATTTAAATTCCACTCACAATTTACCAACCCTGAATTGTGATCTGAACTAAGATCAACATACAAAAATATTTTTGATTCTCTTCTCTCTCCTAGTTTAGTCAGTTTTGTTCGGTCGTTGTAAAAGCTGTTTGTGCAAGATAATTTAAATCATTTATATTTTTTATTTTTGACAAATAAAATTAGCAAATTAAATGCAATTTCTAATGATTAAGACTTAGTATAAGATCATTAAAATGTTACGATGGCCAATAACAAGAACTTTGTGAGGCCAAATGTGAAAGAAAGTGAAAGAAAATGCTTAAAATCGATTGAAAAATCTGTTCAAAAATATTTATTAGTTTTTTGCTTTACGATTATCATCAATAAAGGATTTTTATTTGTCGACGCCCTTGATCATCATCACCACGGTAGGCATAAACTTGATATTCGTTCGTCTGATCTCCACAAGATTTAAATACAGATGACAAAGGACTTTTTTCTTATTCTTTGTTTACCTAAAGAACTCTTATTTTGGACGAGAAATTTATTTACTCACTCCACTTCTTTGCTCTCGTTTCGGTATTGTATACAATATGACAAACTTCACATATTTAAGACATCATCAATAGCGATTCATGTTCAACATGAAAAATGTATTTAAATAAAATAAATATTAATGCTTCTTAAAGCATTCCCAAAAGAATATCTAACATCGAGAGAGAGACGAGACAAAATATCGGAAAATTTATTTTTGTACTTAAAATTCCCTCTACGAAGCGCGTGTGTGTGTTTGTGTGGAAAGAAAAAAATTATGATTCACGATGCTCGCAGGTTCAACTAGCTGTTCTTCTTATTGCTCCTTCTTTCTTGGATATTTTTATTAATATAAAAATATTCTTTTCCCATTAAAGTTGAAAGATTCGCTAGATTGCAAATTTGAGAAGCGTCTGCTTCAAGGTGATTCAACAACAATCGTCATCTCGTGGCTTCTTAAAAACTTCTCGCTCAATTCCACGAATTTAATATATTTTGCAAGCTAAACTCTGCAAGTTCTCATGAAAATTTATCAGCGTACGATGACTCACCTGAGTTTTCGAATGAAATTTATGCTTCGCTGGCTTCGACTGCAATCAACATTGCGCTTGGACGGAAGAGTCTCACATGGTCAACTTCAGTTTTCTTTTAAACCATGCATTCAGAAAGTACAATTAACAAGCCTACTAATTTTATTGTCGTTGTCGTCTGACTTTGTGTTTGACTTCTTAATTTTCAATTGAATATTTGCATTTGAAATGAACTGAACATTTATTAAAACTTATTATAAAATTAATCGTATGAAGTTTCATCAAAGCTAACTCGCTTAACGTTGTCGTGCCATTTATTTCTTCTTTCAAACCAACGCTAAAATTATAAATTTATTATAATTCAGATGCTCGAGATTGAAAGAAGTTAACAGTTGTTGGAAGAAGTGCGAATCGCCTGATGTTAGATAGAAAAGTTAATTTTACAATTCCGGTGGATAATAAAGCAACCTGCTCGCTCTATATAATCTTCAATCATTGCAAATCTTTCTGCAAAACAAGAAACTAGATTCAGTGACATCTTTAATGACCTTGAATGTTGCTCAATGTCTGTAGCTGAAACTTGCACCTTACTCAGCACCTGTCACACTGTCACATTACAAAGAATCGTCATGACAACTCGAAACGTGTTAAAACTCAATTTTAACGACCACATTTCAATTCTCTTTTTATTTCTGTTGCTTTCTTTTCAATCAGAAATTGCACTTCTTTCTGTTTTCATTCCGATTGCAAAGTGAATGATGATGAAACCACACACATTTCCATCTGACACACATTCGATAAAATTGAATTCATAAAACGCCATAATTTAATTCTTTATTTCTGCTATTTCGCAACTCAAAGAGCGACAAAAACTCATCAATTGTCTCACACCAACGATTCGATACTGATCACTTCAGACACAATGGATTAAGATGGGTTGGGATAATCTTAGTGACATTTTCGTTAGTGGCAGTCATTCAACCCACGTTTCTTATATCTATTTAGTCTTGTCAGTGGCTTAATATCTCATCGCCAAATGAATGATAGACATGAACTCTAAAATTTTAATGCTTTTCGCGAAACTAACACGAATTGTTTTTAGGCTTATGAATTAAAAAAATAAAAGTAAATCACCTCGACCGTTCCCTTTACAAACTAACCATTTTAAAGCTTCTTAAATCACTTTTCATCATGAAGAACAATTAAACGATGGAAATCTACGCGAATCGTGTTTATAAATAAAATTTTTCACCTACTCCGAGCGATAAAATTTCTTCTTTAAATTCCTTGACTACATTCAGGTCATTACAACGAATACGGAATACAGCACGCGGCTATTTTGTTCGGTGCATGTGGTCTGTTTTGTGTTATTATGACTAAAGCTTTGTTGAAATATCAGCAAATACAAATCGTCTCAATAACACAAGAACGAAAACAATAAATAAACACTCGACACTTTGTACTTGCCGTCCATTTTCTTTGTTTTAGATTTATGTGAACAATCAATCGAATCTGCCATCATAGTTCAAGGTGAAAAGCAGATAAAGACTGTCGTGTTTGCTTTAAATAAGAAGAAGGAAAATTCACAGATACTTGTGATCTCTCACTAGTTGTGTTTCGTGTTATATCACTGAGAAAGAAAAGAAAAACTGGCGCTTTAAATCACGATACTTCGTGTTATTTTAACCAAATTGAATTTAACTTCCTAGTGGACACGGCACTAAGTACTCACATTATGATTCTCAACGACAACATAACACGAACAAACTTCCCTTTTAAACAACTAATGACGAAAGTAATCCCATTAATAATGTCGTAAAATCTTCCATTCAAGTCATTGAATGTCGTCTCGAGTCAACTCATTCTGCATGCGTTATCAGTTTATGGTCGGAAGCTTCCTAATCAAACATATTTGCAAGAATTTAATAGCTTAAAGTCTCTTTTTGGTAATTAAATCACTAAATAAACTGAGAGAAGGAAATTATTCGAACATTGTTGCCATTGGCATTAAAGCATTTAAGTACATTGAACGTGCCTGAAATATCGAAAACGAATCAATGAACTGATACTCGTTCATAAATACTCAACTCAGAACGCAAAATCAAATTAAGCTTGTGCATGAAGAGATATTAATAATACTCAAAATATGATAAAATATTATTTACGCATCACATTACGAATGGATTGATGACAAAAATAAATAAAAAGAAGTAAAATGTTTATCAGTTGAGTCACGTTATCAAAGAGCTAAAGAGAGAATTATTGAATAAATATTTTCATTTCACTTAGAAGTGAATGTGACGAAAGAAAGTAAACATTATGGAATTGTCAAGATATTTATAGTAAACGTCGATGTGTCTTTGTAACAAAGGAAATGTTGCCGGTTGCTAATTACCTGCCTTGTTAGTCAACTCAAGTGAAGCACAATTTTTCGCGGATTTTAAAAAATTGTTTCGACAACCATTTCAAGTAAATCGTGAAAGTTTTTATTAACAGACATTCCCGTGTAATATAATCGCGTCGTTATCAACGCTTCACCTCGTTTTTAGTTCACTATTTACCTACTTACATGATGTTATTGTTGGACGAAATTTTGATTTTTGTTACAACACAGCTTTATATTGTCAACTTCAATGAGTGACTTGATACTTATCCCATTAAATAACAACCACACTTGTGACATTGTGACACGATGGAATCACTACGATAAATTATGCGATGCCTCTCCCGCTTGTTGCGTCTTCCGCTTCTCAACTAACTATGTAAATAAGCATGAACATTGAAAGATTCAATAGAATAATTGAAGTGTTTGTAAACATGCGTCTTTGTAATTAATAACTGTTGGATTTTGCTTTTCCATAATTAATGAAACGCCTCACATAATTGTTTCTGATATGAAGGGACGGGTTAGACACAAAGTTGCTAAATTTAATCAGCATAAATAAAATCGTCTGGCACATGTTTTCGATTCGTAAAGTTCACTTGCCTTGCTGCTTGAAAATAAATTCGACATCGCTAGTTGAACAAAATTTAAATCGATTTACATAGAGAGACGCCCTTACTTTATTTTTCTAATATTCTTATTCTGTTCTGAGTCATTTTAAATCGATTTTGAACATGAAGTTTCCAATTGAATTCGTTACCAACGAATGATACAATATTCCGACCGTTGAATGTCATTGTACAATTAGCGCACTAGCATATTTATTCAGTGACTAAGTCGACTTACTTAATTGAGAGAACTTTTTACCCTGTCGTCTAGCATTCATTATGAAGATCTTAACTAAGTAAAAAAGTGAAGATGCATGAAAATTATGACCGAGACTGCAGACGTTTAAGTTCTTTTGCATCACTCAGCAACAAGGAAATACCGGAATTCGTTTTTCGCAATATCGCGATTTCTTTTTCTTCTCAGCAAGCAGCTGATAAAATAAAATGTCGCGAAATTTCGCTAAGTCATATCAAAACGTCATGATTTCTGTCGTAACATGTCGAAACACAACTTTTTTATTTTATTTCACCATGAAAGAAATTTCCAAAATAAAAAAAATTTCTTTCTTCCTTTACGTTTCTTATCATCAACCAACATATGGTGCACAGAATGATTTTTTTATCTTGTACAAACATTGTCGTAAAAATGGAAATAATTCGTACATGGAAATGTTTACTAAATCATTCCATTCATTTAGTTTACACATTTATTTATTGCACTTCATATTTATTTAGTTTGTGCGATATTTACTAACATGTGTTTAAGGAAGAAGAAGAATGAGATGATGAATGGCTGTGTTGTTGTGTTATCGGAAGTGTAACATGATGTCCCTCAGTCTCAAAAAAGAAATAAAAACAAACAAACAAAAACAGCGTTAAACGAAATGTGCATTCATCGCAATGAAACTAAATTCATCTTCATTATTAAGTTGTGAGAGAATCCCTCGAGTTCCATATGCACAATTTCCAACTCCATCAACACCATACATCGATGATCACCATTTAAGGCAGAGAATAAAACTAGCATGAAAGTTATGAGAAAATTTCAACTTTCTGACATTTTTCACAGTTCAGGAAAATGAATTTAGTTTCAATCCCTGATCAAGAGTAATGAAAATTCTTCTTGTTTTCTTATTTTTTCTTTTGAATTGAAGCACATTCCACATGTCTCATATCTTAGCTTTGAAAAATTATTCTCACTCATTTGTGTGTGTGTGAGATGAATTCCCAATTGACACTCAAGTTAAAAGCGAAATAAAACACCAGAAGGAAATCATAAAAACTAAGAAACGCGCCGTTGTGGCCCTTCAAGTCGACTAATGATAACTTCTCTTGTTTTTAAACTTCTCGTCATTACCATTAGAATAAATTAAACATTCGTTGTCGTTTTCTTGTTCCTCTTAAATATGGAACTGTCGTCGGTTCTGCTATGAAAACATTTAAAAATCTCAAATGATTACGTCACTTTAATATGATATCGTTGTCAGTTGTTGATGTCATTTTTATTATGATTTGTTTTAAAACCGACTTTCAAGTGCGGATGCACATCGAGAAGAGAAATTTCTCATTCTCTTGAATTTGATTTCATTTGTTTCAAGTTTCATAATCGAACGTCATGTTAGAAATCATTTCAACATTTTTTTCTCATCATTTTCTTTCAGAGTCAATCAATTTCAACCATCACAGTGTAATTGAGCCGAAAATAATTCATGGAAGAGACAAACGCGCGTTAGAAAATACTCTGGAAAAGGTAAGAGAAAACTTTTTTCTTTTTCGTGTTCAATTTTCCTCCAGATTTTTTACTTTCCCGCATTATTTACACTTTGAGTCATAAAATATCAATTCCACTTGTTGGTATAACTTTCCATTCGTTCAACGAACTTTTATGCGAGGAAGTCGACTTGTTCAAGTCAAGGACGAATTGAAATAATCTATGGAAAGGTTGATGGCCTTTGGGTTTAGTCGCGTGAACAATATTCTGATATCATAATACACGATGTTGTTCTAGTTAATAGAAAACATTTAAAAGCTGCTCCGATAACAAACAAACAAAGTTCGTAAACACTTCCTTCCCTAGTTCCGATTCTTTCCTATTGTGACATCATTGATGAAAGTTTGATACTTAAAACTTTGTTACTTGCAGAATGGTTTACATGCCACCCACATTCATCTCATTTATGAACACAATAACAAAGATGTGATATTAGACTTACACTTGAACGATAATTTAATACCAGTAGAACATTTTATAAGCTATCAACAGCCGAACGGTGATAAAGCGATAAAAAACTTCACAAAGACTGAAATCGATCTGTGTAACTATCAAGTGAGTTGACAATTCATTTCATTTTAAAGTTTAAAATAATGATTGACATTTCGCTGGTTATTTAGGGCAAAATACGTCACAATCAACACTCAACCGTTGCTATCTCCACATGCAATGGAATACGAGGCGTCGTCTTTGACGGCTACGATACTTACTACATTGAAAATGATTCGAATGGATCAGATCGGAAACATTTTCTGATACAGTAAGTTTCAATTTTTGATTTCCTTAAAAGTTTCTTTCATATGTTTGCATCACTTAGACATTCAGACCTGAAAAATGATCACAAATGCGGTTACGAAGGCGGCATTAATCGAACGCACGATGTGACCCTTCACGACACAACGGAATTCAATCGAATCATGAGAGTAAGTGAAGGCACTTGATTGCTTTTGATTTATTTATAATCAATTCATTCATTTTACATTAAAATTTCTTAGTACAAACGAATGGCAGATGGAAGTCAAAGTCAAATTCGTGGACCATACAACGCTAATAAAGGTTCAAGTTACGTTGAACTTGTCTTGGTTGTTGACAATAAAGTTTTCAAATCATTGGACAAGAACTTTACGAAAGTTCATCAACATTGTAAAGATATTGCAAACATCATAAATGCGGTTAGTTATTCATCGTTTTCCATTTGATGATTTGATTCGTTATAAACTTTTATGATCTTTGTCTTTCTCCACAGCTTTACAATCCTTTGAACATCTTTGTGGCGTTATTGGGTGTTGTAATTTGGTCGGAACAGAATTTAGCTGATCTATCAAGTGACGGCGATAAAACTTTAAGAAGTTTCTTGAATTATCGTAAGAAATATCTCGTAAAAGAACATCCAAATGACAACGCTCAGTTGTTAACTGGCGAAGTGTTCGAAGGCGGCGTTGTTGGAAAAGCACTGAAGGGCCCAATTTGTACATTTGAATTCTCTGGCGGTGTGTCAATGGATCATAGTAAGATTGTGGCAATTGTAGCGACAACAATTGCACATGAAATGGGACACAACTTTGGAATGGAACACGACACAGATGACTGCACATGTCCTGATGATCGTTGTATTATGTCATCGTCAAGTTCTTCTGTTGCACCAACTCATTGGAGTTCGTGCAGCATTGACCAACTCAATCTCGCTTTCCATCATGGAATGGATTATTGCCTTAAAAATAAACCAACAAAGATATTTGAATCGCCAATTTGTGGCAATGGATTCGTTGAATCTGGTGAAGAATGTGACTGTGGATTGCCACAATTTTGTAACAATTCTTGTTGCAATCCTTACACTTGCATGCTGTATTCAAATGCAACTTGTGCAACGGGAAGTTGTTGTGACTTGACGACATGCAAACCTCACACAGCTGGTAAGTTTGAAGCAATTTAAATACATTTGTAGTTCTTATAGAAAATGTTTTGTTTCAGGAACAATTTGTCGAGAAGCATTTGGTGAATGCGACCTTCCTGAATACTGCACAGGTGACCACGAGTTCTGTCCAAATGACGTCTTCAAACGTGACACAGAAAAATGTGAAGATGCTTTTTGTTATCAAGGTTCATGTCGATCACATAAGCATCAATGTAAAGTTCTTTGGGGTCCATCGGGTGCATCTTCAGATCAATGTTATGAGAAGAACACAAACGGAAGTCGTCATGGAAATTGTGGATATGATCGACTTAAGCAAGAATATATCCCATGCAAACATGACGATGCTTTGTGTGGGATGCTTCAGTGTCGTCATTTAAATGAACGATTAGAATTTGGAATGGAATCTGTTGCAATTTTATCGCATTCATTCAAGAATTATCGTGGAAGTATCGTGCCATGTCGAACAGCAATTGTTGATCTTGGACTTCAAACTGTTGACCCGGGATTGACGCCTGATGGTGCAGAATGTGGCGATAACAAAATGTGTGTAAAGCAAAAGTGCCTTTCAATTGAAGCTCTCAAGTTAAATGGAAAAGTTCTCGACTGTCCCGATTGTAATGGAAATGGCGTTTGCAACTCGAAAGGTCATTGCCATTGCTTTGACGGATGGGCGCCACCTTTTTGTAGCGGTCCTGGTTTTGGTGGATCAGTTGACAGTGGACCCGCTAGTGACCCAGATAGTGAGTATTTATCCTTGTGTGATTGAACTTTGCGTCTTCAATGAATCATTTATTGACGTTTGTATCGCGTGACTTCATAAATATGATGCCCTTACATCAATCATAAATAATTTTCCAATCCATCATTATTAACAGTTACATATATTTGTTATTTATTCAAAGAAACCACAAGAAACATTATATCGGAAAAACTTACAAATATTTCTTCTTTTCGCAGGCGGAAGATTATTCAACAAACTTATGTACATTTTCTTCATTGGCGTCGTTCCTTGCTGCACATTATTTGCACTTTTCATCTACTACTGGCGTCAGAATAACTTCCAACTTAAAAGAAAGTCACCAAGTCTGTACGTATCTGATTCGAAACAAAATGTGAATGATAAATTTAAGATTAAGAAACTTTCTAAGACACACATCAGTAGTGGCATGTTTTTGTCAACAACTAATCCTAACTTATTATCTAAAAGCACTGATTTGCTTAATGTTGTCACTTAATTATCATTTAATTAAATTATTATTTCTCTACAAAGATATTGGTTTAAATAAAGTTTACTCTAATATTTTATAAAGGAAACTTTTCGCTAACTTATGATTAATAAAATGAAATCAAGATTAGATTATTAATGGTTGTTTAATAATCTGGGTTAAGTTAATCTAGATTAATTCTTAAGATTAGTTTAAAACAAAGATTAACCATTTTTGGATTATTTTGTGTCTAATCAAAACACTTTTATAGTTTTTGCATGAGTATTTGCACATCTTTTTCTTAACATTTTTGAAGGATTTTAGGTTGTTGTGTAGTGTTGTTGCTTGCACTTTTGTTAATTTAATCAATCTTATTCACTGGATGTTGGTAATTTTTAATTAATTAAAGTTGATTTAACTTTTGTCAAACATCTTTTCTCATATAAAATCTTCTTTTAATGTATTATTTTTTAGCCCACGGCCAAACATTAAACATCATATTACGAAAGGTTCAGGGTCACCACAATCGCCAACTTTTGCTCCTTCTTCACCAAACACTCCTGACGATATAAGCTCGTCACTTTTACGACCAACCACAGACGTTGAAAATAATTACATTTTTGGAAAGTTTAAAGGGTTTACATTGAAGCCTTTGCCGAATGCGAATAAAGTCGCTTCAAAGACGCCGAAAGTAGCTTATGTTCATCCGGTGACAAAGAACGACGCTGACCTTCATATTGTGCCGGTAAGGGAAGCGCCGCCGCCTCCTGTTCCCAAGCATGGAATTAATGCTACGATTGAGAAATTCAATCACATAAATACATCAACAAATCCACCAGCACTTCCACCTTTAAACAAAGGTTCAACAGCTCGTCCAATCATCTCAAATCCCATCCTAGAAGCTTCGACTTGTGATGCTAAGGAAGTGCCAGCAGTTGTGAAATATCCAACGATTCGTCCAGCACCAACACCACCAAAAGTCGACCAATTAAAAAGTGCTTTTGACGACAATGTCGTACCGGAAGTTTTAATTAATCCGACAAGTACGAATGTCGAGAAGAAACCTAAAGATGGAACTTTAAGTCGAATTCAATCATTTTTAAAGAAGGATTCAAATTCGAAAGTTGAAAAAGTTCATAAACAATTAAAAGCAATTGATAAAGATAAACTGAAAGATCTTCAAATATCATCTCCGATTCTCATCAATCAAGTTCCACTGAATGATGAAAATGAAGACGAGAAAAAAGCAAAAATAAAACGGGCTCAATCAATGCGAGATCCACCATCACCTCCTGTCTCAAAGCCTTTAAATTCATTTGGATCGATGCGACAACAACGTCCTAAATCAATTGTAGACCGTCCAACACTTCCCCCACCGCCGAGACCACCAGCGCCGCCAGTTAAACTCGCACCTTTAGCTTCACCAATCAAATCACCAAATGAGTATGACGACTGTGAATGTCGAGAAAATGGCACACCTGATGACATCTATTCAGTGATTGATGAGCCACCAAAATCACCACCCAAAGTAACAACTCAACAAGGATCCATTGAAAGTATGGGACTGTTAAGTGAAATTGTAAATGAAATTGAGAATCGTAATTTCGACTCTAAATACATTGCGTCAACACTTAAAAGAAATAAGAAGAAGTTGGATGAAACATCATCTGCATATGCCAATGTTTCGAAATCAGTTGATGCAGATGATGCAACTGACGCTATGAGTACAACATCAAGTGGATATATGAGACCGATTGGAGCTCCAATTGCAAGAATTCCACCATCACAATCAGCAAATAAAATTCCTTCTTCGGCAAGTAGTAATAGTACGAGTAGTTTTAAAACAGCGAAAGGATCGAGTGGTTCGAGTGTAACAAGTCCGGAAGTTAAAAATATTAAGTTCGAAGGTCCGATGAAGAAAAGTAACAGCGACTTAGGTAAGAAATCATCGCCAGAGAATGAAGGCGGTTATAAAACACCGACAAATAAACCTTTGAATGATGACAAAAAATCTTCCGAAATTGGTCCACGAAGACCGTCTCTGAAGAAAACCGTTACACCTCCTTCAATCACGTTATCGAAGAAAGCAGTTGCAAGTAGTGACAGAAAAAGAAGTCCAAGTCCAACAAAAGTTTCAAAAGTTCCATCGAAACCTAAAACAACTCAAAAGCCGGCAGTTGCGAAAACTTCTTTGACATCGTCAACAAAAACTCCATCAACAAAAACTTCGACAAGCATTAGCAATGGCAGTGTGAAAACTCCTCAAATTGCGACTGAAACGACAAAGAAAACTCTGAATGCAGTGGCAAAGAAGAAATCAAATGTGGCAGCTTTGCAGCAAAAGTTCGAAAGCTCGAACTCTTAAGACAGCACAGAGATAAAAGAGCTTGCTTACTAGCCTTATTGTTCAATCGAAATCTTTTCAAATGTAAGGTAAAAGATTTCTTTTCATAGATGAAAAACTTTCGTAGTGAATGTTGATGAGAATTGAATGCTTTTAGAGCAAAAAAAAGAAGAAATTAATGTGGCTTAAAATGACGTCTATAGATTGAGATAAAAACAAAGAAGTTCCATATTTTGGTAGAATACTTTTTGATTATTGCCGAAAGCTTGATTAAAATTGAAATCAAATTAAAGCAGATTTGAAAGTTCGCTATAGCGAAGGTTAACTTTAGTTGTTAAGTGAAAAATGGAACAGTTTGGGCGAAAACGAGTTTTTATGGATCCAAGAATTATGTGAACGAGACAGAAAGTGAAACACAATTCTTTCTTTTCGTTCACTCCGAAAAAGCTCTGAAAATCTTAAAAAAATCTTGAAATTTCGTTTCTGTAATATCCACAAAACAAAATTAAAATCATTGATGCTACACAAATTTGTTACGAAAACGAGAAAAATCTTTCTTTGTACTCCAGAGAAAAATTATAAGATAATTAAAAAATAAATCAAAACATTCGATTTTTCTTCAAATATTTTTATCCAAAATTCGTTGAGGAAATATTTTATTTTCCTTTCTCTTAAGTGCTTTAAAAAATTGTTAAGTAATTTCGATTGTTGTCTCAAGTTTATTGTCACTAAATGCAAGGTTATTTAGCAGGTCTATTAAAGAATGTAAGTTTAAATATTAATAGTCGTAAGAAAAAGTTAGATAAGTTCTTTTACATAGATTTAAAAAAATTCTTTCACAGATCTACTTAAATCATGTAATAGATTTTAATTTCTTTTGACTGCAATGAAACCAATCCATCACTGCTTCTTGTATTTTTAAGATTAAACAGTTTTTTCAAAGCAGAAAAGGGATACGAAGGTAGCTGTTACGTTTTGTATATAAACCAAAGAAGTAAAAGAATGCGAAATGAAATAAAACTTTATGAGTTTTCATAAAAAGAAATATAACACGACAAGCTTTGAGTTTAAATAAACCAAGAAATTATTTCAGGAAAATATCGATTTTTTACATTTATTTGGATATGTTCGTATGTTGAACGACACCACTTCAATTCATCACATAAAACAGAACCAGAAGATAAAGATAATGTCAACATAATTGATCGCTACTATTTACCATATGTCACATTTTTATCTCACCCACACGTCACTCAATTAAATCATCATTTACTCACTCATTATCATAGCTTTAATTGAGTCAGCAGAAGTAGAAAAATGTGATGTGATGTTATTTGACTCTGGCATTGAATATTAAAAATCGTCTGTGACGAGTTTCTAAAGACATTCAGATAATTTGGATAGAATATTGAATGACAAATTGTCGTTGTGACTGTGACGGAAATTGTCGTTTGGCTGAAAACAATTTGCTGTGATGGGAAAGAAATTTGAAATTTTATTTTCTTCAAAGAATTTCAAAATCTTGTAATTGTCACTGAGTTACCACACAAGATATGTTCGAAGCAAATCAAAGATTATGAAAAATATTTTAATTTATAGATTGACACAAGAACAAGTTTGTCAATATTCAATAATTCAAAAAAAATTATTGTCCTTCATGTTTATATCAAAGTTTAAGTACACGCCATGAGACAACTCAAGGCTGATGAAAATCTGTTGTCGTTTCCTCCACAACCGGTATAATCGAATTTTTTGCATGTTCCATCTCCTAAGAATCAATTAGGTAATAATAATGATACAAAAATTGAGATATGAATGTGAATGGAATGAATTTCATTTCTCAAAGAACTAGCCTTTGTAATAAAATCGGTCGCCACCAGTGGCTGCACATGGAAGCGATCCAACGTCAAGGGGTTGTTGACATCTTGCTGAATATTTTTAAATAAAAATAATTAATTTAATTAAAATCCTTGATTAGTGCACTTTGTCTTTACGTATCACAACATCACTGCCAGCTCGAACTTCTTCAAACATCAGAAAAATTAAAGCAACACTAACGAAAATGATTTTCATGTTGATTCACAAGGTAGAAGAATTTTTTGAGCTTTTGCTATTTTCTTCCTTTTTAAATAGTTCAAGCTTTTGACGATCGTCACGATTAAACTATTTGTTTTTAAGAAAACATTAAAATGTGTCTTTAGTATGAACACGACCATTTCCAACTTTTAATGATGTACATTCTTTCTATTGTGAAATTCTACTCGACTTCAAAAATAAATTCTTGGTCACGGAGACTCGTTTTTACTTAATGGTTCTTATAAAGTAGGGTAAAGTGACATAAAGTGGTTACAAAAAAAAAGAGGACATATTGTGGTAACACCTAATTTCGAATGCGATTTTCTTCGCTATTTTACATTTTTATGGCTCAAAACTTTGTACAGAAGTAGAGTAGATAGTTCAAAGTACTTCTGTAAAAAGTTTTGAGCCATAAAAATGTAAAATAGCGAAGAAAATCGTATTCGAAATTAGGTGTTCTCACAATATGTCCTCTTTTTTTTGCAACCACTTTATGTCACTTCACCCTAATTATTGATACATTTTTCATGAATCATGATCATGATGATCAGATCATCAGAGATAATTTCAAAGTAAGACAAAAAACCATACGGAATCATTTAATTTTACTCTTATTTTAAAGAAATGAAATCAAAATTATTTTTATTCGTATTCATATTTTTCAACTTTTATTGATTTACATTTTTTACATAATGGAATTCAACAATTAAAATTTAGTAAAATTTGGTAGGATTGTGAAAAATGTCATCGAAAGAAGTTCAATAAGATATGAATTAACGTTGTACACAACGCATCGAACATACAGTTTGTGAAGGAAATCTGTTTTCGTTTCCTCCACATCCCGAGTAGACTAATCGTACGCAATCATTTATTGCTTTGACATAGAACCATTTAAAGGTAGCAGTATTATCGCATGGTTCATCTCCTTCATCAATTGGTTGGACACAAGGCCCTAAATATTAAAATCAGGTTTATATTATTTCAAAGTACTGATGTGATTTATTATTATTTTTCATACCTGCTGGTTCTGGCTCTCCAGCTCGAACTCCTTCCAAACTCACGAAAATTAAAGCAGCCCAAACGAAAATGATTTTCATCCTGATGTACAAATTAGAAACTTTTGTGAATTTGCTTTCAAATTCGTTCTCTTTTATACATTTTGAGCTTTAACCGATCTTCACGATGCAGCTCTAAACATAATTGAAAATAAAAAATGAAAAAATTCATTAAACTTTACTATTAAATATCCAGTTATTGTTGACACGAACATCGTGCTATTTCATTGAAATTAAGCAAGGAAAAAGCATCATTTTCACATAAATAAATGCCTGATAATAAATTTCCGTTTAAAAGACCACGTTGATTCTTTTAAACAAAAGCCAATGAATATCGTGACAATTTACATTTCAGATTGTAAACCAATGTAAAAGGCAATGATTGAAGAACCAAATTTAATTTAATTCTGTTAATTTAAGATTTTCAATAATCTAAATCCATAATATTATTCAAACAAAATTTGTTAAGCATGTCAGATTAAAATCAAAAATTCATTTAACAAGTTTGAATGGTGAATCTGCTCATTTGCGATCGAAAAAAGAAAATTTATAACTTAAAGAACAATAACTTAGAAAAACTTGATATAAAGAAAGATAATATTAGAGAAATCAAATCAGAATTGATATTATTAATATACACAACAATTTTTTTTCAAACTTTTATTGAATTGAATTATTTCCATGGTTGAATTCTACAATTGAAATTTAGTAAAATAAGAAAAATGTCGTTCGAAAAAGTTCAATTAGATATGAGTTAAGGTTGAACACATTCCATCATACAATCAGCTTCTGACTCAAATCTGTTGTCGTTTCCTCCACATCCCGTATATTCTAATGTTACGCAAATTCCTTGTGATTCGAAATAGAACCATACAAAATCAGCACGAGAATCATCGCATGGTTCATCTCCTTGATCAATTGCTTGATCACAAGGACTTAAACGTTAAAATTAAATTTCTGTTATTTCAAATTATTGAAGTGGTTTGTTATTTTATTTTATACCTAAAGGACTTGGCCCACCAGCTCAAACTCCTTCCAAGCTCAAAAAAATTAAAGCAGCGCAAACGAAAATTATTTTCATCCTGATTTACAAAATAGAAAGCTTCTGCTTTAAAATTCATTTGTTTTATACATTTTGAGCTTTGAACGATCTCCACGATAAAGCTATTCACCAGAATTTATCACGAAAGTAGGTTTAATACTGTCACGTGGCCTTTAAAGTTTAAAGAGACGAATTTTAGTATATTCGTGAAGAAAAACAAACTTTTAAAATAAGTTCAATAAGTTCATGCAACTGTTATTTATGTTTAGTCTTGAGTCATGACCGATTAGATTGTAAATGTATTTAAGATTCTTTTTTCACGATTTAAAATAATTTAAAACGCAAAAATATTTCAACACGAAAATTATAATTAAAAAAGACGATTCATTGATCCCTTTTGTTGAAGAATTAAAATTTTTGAGCTGAATCCTTTCATGAAAATGTAGCGACAGTTTAAACCATTCATTCAACACATTTCATTTCATTGAAGGAAAAAAATGTCAAGTTGTGAAATGATTTGCTCATTCTTTAGAATATTTCGGAAGCGATTACTATTGAATGTAAATTTGAATGTATGAATGAATCTGTTGAATGCTGTGATTGGCTGAAGGCAGTGATGACGTTATTCCCACTCGGCACCAACGAACTTCTTTCGCTTCGCATTAAGCCTTGTAGCATCATTGAATGACATTTGATGATTCAATGACGACACAAAACCACACAAAACTTTATTTACCGAAGGCAATGACGAAATGTTTTCTTGTTGATTTTGATTTATCAAAGAATTGATTTCAAGTGAATTAAATAGCAAAGCTTTTATTTTATAACTGCTAATGAATTTTGCTTTGATGTATCAACACATTCAGTAATCCCCGTAATCATATCAGGAAGCTGTCACTCGATTAACGTAGTTTCAACTGTTGCGCATGTTCTCTTATGTGGAAACCTTTCACCATATAATAATCGGAAGTTGAAGCACCGCAATTCAGTAGCGTGTGAATTGTGATCAAGTCTGGAAGTGAACGATACACACGAAACAAAACTTTGAATATTTTACTTTACTCAAAGAGAAAAAAGCTACAAGTGAGAAGTGAAATTGAAATTTAAATTTGAAAGAAAAATTCTATCGAAAAATTATTTCAGTTGCAGGAATCTTCCAAATACAATAAATTTTAAACTTTTCTCGGTTTTAAAATTATTAATTTTGTGTTGTAAAATATTTCCCACGTTAAAGCACCACGAACATACCGTGAATTTAAGGAAGATTAGTTGAAATAAGGTAAGCTTTGATAAATCTAAGCCGCAATAAAAAAGAAACAAATATTTTCATGTAGAAAAACATGAAATATTTAACGAGTTAATGAAACGATGTCTTGGGGATTTTTCACCGGGCATAAATCACGTGGAAGATGCGGGCATGCTTAACCGAATGTGAAAAAGTTTCGCAGTCTCTTGAGTGCTGTCGCAATTTTTTTCACTTTTCATGCTGATCGTACGTGTGTCATTTACTTTTGTTCATTGTAGAAGATTTCCGTTCGAAATATGAGGCTTTGTTAAAAACTTCATTCTGTAACCAAAAAGGTCTTTAATTCAAGAGATTTTCGTTTACAATCCTTAAGACATAATCTTTTACTATGCTGTTGTTATGAAGACATTTATCAGTAAGAACATCCTTAAAGCATTGAAACTTTGTTTCTATAACATTTTAAAAGCGTTTTGTTTTGATTATTTTCATACCTTAAAGGATTAATATGACAGCAAACATTCTCACATTATCATCATTAAGCTTCTGTTTGTTAAAGTTTTCTGGTTTCGAATAAAGATAATTTTCAGCGTTCCTTGTTTGACATTCACGTACATACTGGCTCAGTTTTCCTTTTCAATTATTAACGCCGTCATATTTGTGTTTGTTGACTACTTACTAACCACGAAGCAAAAAAGATCTAGAAAATCTTTTTCTTTCACTTTTTAATGAGCTTCAGTCTGAAAATGTTTTTCTAAGCTACTTAACAAAGTTAATTAAATCAGAATTATTTTATCAGCACTGAATTTAATTTATTGGAAAAAGAAAGAGTCAATTAGTTTGACATAAACTTGATGAAATTAATTTTGAAATATTTTTCAAATATCTTCGTCATATCCCGCAAGCAAGTAATCTTTATGATGATACATTTCACCTCACAACAATGTGTCATCCTTTGTGAAACCTTTTTACGATGTTTGATGACAATCTCGCTTATACACGAGTCAACTAACTTTTTGTTACAAACGACGGTGAAAAGGACATTAAAAAGTCAACTGAAATAAAAACAAATGGTTTTTAAGAGAAAGTTTTTCATCTTCCGCCTGAGTTTATCGGCGCTTCTACGATACAAATTTTAATTTGCTTGTTTAATCATTGAAGGACGGTGACCGTCTTTTTATCCTAAAATTATCTCGTAACGAAGTATACGTGGTTGTCATTATATCCTGAATGTTACCATTAGATTGTAATTAGCAGTGATAAAAGTCGGGAATTTCAGATTTTTTATTAAGTTTTGGGATATATTCTCAAACATATTTAGAGAACTTTTGGGTAAAAATCTTAATTGCTGCCGAAGATTCAAATACTGGAAAAAGAAAAAAAAACTTTTAATAATGAGAGAAAGTTAAAAATATTTTGGAGCTGCCGGGTATCGATCCCGGTACCTCTCACATGCTAAGCGAGCGCTCTACCATCTGAGCTACAGCCCCAACAAATCACTTTGTTTGCACATGCAAAAGAAACATTTTTAACTAAAAATAAGACTTAAATAACTACATGAATGACCTACATAAAGTGTCTCGTGACTTGCATTACCTTTTGAATTAATTCGATCTACTCGTGGACAAGCAAAAATATCTGCAAAACCAGTTTCTGTTTGCCATGCATAAAATTTAGTTATGATTATGTAAGACTCAGAAGTTGCATAGTGCAAAGGCGAATATTAATCTCAGTTTGCATAACTTTAAGGTGCATTAAAAGTTTCGAAGGAAAAACCAACTGTAGATGAAATGAACAAGTTCAAGTAGGATGGAATGCAAAGAAAGATGAAGAATGCAAGCATAGCTTCTTGAAAGTGATATAAGTATTGCAGTGAAATCCTTTTCCAGCTACATTCAGAATAAAATAAACGACTCTTTGTGATAACTGTGCCTGCGGTGAAGATGAATACAAATGTTTCAGACGTATAGTTTACATTGAAATAAAGAAATAGAAAGTCGCGGATAAGATGCATCTACTTTACGAGTGTCATCTTACCGTACCAAGAAATGAATTTTTAAAACGAAAGCTTCTCAAATTTTCCGCCTTTGCCCACATGATGACTTCTTTGAAATTATTTTGCTGTTGTGTTTATTTCAAAGCTTTGAAAATTAACCTTCTTCTGTTTTTATAACATAAATTAGAGTAGAAATTCATTTGAGAAAACCTCCCGAAAACACAACAAACATATCAAACATAACATTGAAGGATGAAAATAAAAGGAAAGAGAAATGTTTGTGGAATCTCATCAAGTTATGATTTAATCTCTCAATTACCATTAAATGTCAGTAGAAATATTTGAAACGTTTCCCAAGGGTGTTATGTTATCTCAATTTCTTATCCTGTCTTCGTTTTTGTTTTTGCTTTTTAAATCTTTTGTTTGTCTGCTTCCGTCAAAAGAAAGTAAAAATTATACAAGAAGAAAGAAAAATAAAACAAAATTCGTTGAAGAATTTCTAAGAAAGGCGACGAATGACGACAAGCAAAGCTTTCAAATCTGATTAAAAAGATTCGTTTGCTAAACTCATCTCTCGAGACCATAAGCATTCTTTAGCTCATAGATCCTTTGTGTATATTTAAGTTCATTTTATTGTTGCTTTCTTTTTTCTCTTAATTTTAAATGGCTACAAAGCTTTTGCGGATCGTAACAATCACTTGAAGTTCATTAAATATTTATTACTTCGCATTCAGATTTTTTTTTCTTATTTATGGTTGAGTATCGTTAGAATTTATGAGATTACAACTTTATGGGGAAATATATCAGAGAGAAAGGAAAGTTTGAAGTTTGATGAATATTAAAGTCACAGGAAAACTTAAAAAACAAATCAATCACGATTTCATTCTCTTCATTCAAATTTTTTAAGGAAATGAAGAAGAAGCAACAAAATTTTCTTAACTTATTACTTGCTATTCACCGAAGATTAAAAATTCATTCGAAATAAAAATTACAATTTTGTTGCCTTTCGCGAATTCTTCTTCAGCTGAATTTTAAATCAAGAAAATATAAAGTTGAAATGTTCAGGCAAGAAAATGATTATGAATTTTGTACATAATGCAAAATCCTTCAAAATCCTAAAGTTTTTATGGACGAAACGGAAACAACTGACTTTAAATATGAAAGTTTCGAATCGTGATGAAAACTTTAAGTAAAAATTTCACATTTCAGTGAGTTTTGAGAGTTAAAAAGTATTTTGAACGATTCTATTTGACATTTGACATTTAACAGTCTTCCAACATAAAATTGAACATTGAATGGGTGGAAATAATCAAACTTCAAAGTAAATACTTATTAGATAAGTTTACGATATTCTATTCAAATAATTTAATCAACCAATCTTCCGTTAAAGCACCCAAATCACTTCAAATATAAAAGTTCTTTGCGGAATTCTCAATTAAGTTGTTAATTTGTTACTCAGTCAATGAACTGTCTTCGCAAAAGTAAGGAAATGAAAGAAAATTTCATTCAATAAAAATTCCTGAACTTCATAAAAGTGAAAATAAAAATATGAAAAATTACAAAACTCAATTTTCAGTAACAGCAAAGCCGTGGATGAAGTTTTAACGTAAGAATAAAACAATTTATTTGATTTTTATTTACAACTTGACGATGCATCGTGAGGTGAGAAAAGAAAGACGAAAAGTTGACGTCACAATCTTAATGAAATATTTGGACGAATCCTAACGATGTAATTGAATCTCTTTTTAAGAAATCTTTGGCAAGCTCATTAGCATAATTTCACATTTACTAATTTAACAACGGTTAACATTAAGCAATTAACGGTCATTAGAGATTAAATTGCTTGGAGCACCGGTTGAAACCTTTCGTTACTTTCTAGATGTTTAATAATCGATTTAATGAAGATATTTTCAAATCTCTTTAAAGTGGATGTGCTTTAATCAATCTGTGTACAAGGTTAATGAGAAAATTTATAAATTTAACGTGATTAGTGTTGATGTTACATTAATAAAGTCGAGTTGTACTGCAGAAAGCTTTCACTTAATTAGTTCATCAATTCCTTTGATCTTTGAAAGTGCATTTAATAAAAATATTCAATTACGATGAAATATTTGTTTCGACATGGACATTTTTTTATCAAATATTCAACAACAAATAAGAGAATCAGATATCAAAAATAAAAGCATGGAACTTCCAATTTCCCATTCACACACCCTTCAACTTTTCATATATTCGAAACAAATTGAATGAAAATATTTGAACAATTACTTTTGTGTCTATTGTATCAACAATCAGAAAAAATGATTATTCGATTCATAAGAGCAAACATTTGGATACATTCGATGAACAATTAACGAGTTCAACGATTTGTCAAAATGAAAATAGTCGGAAAAGTTTTCCCGAAATTCAATTAATCTGGACGTGATATGTGAATCTCCTTGATGACATGTTTAAAGACGTTTAAAGAGGGAAACACTTAAGACAAACTTACATGAAAGAATCTTTGTATGTTGTTCTTACCTTTTCTTCATTTCCTTCGATAATCTGTCTTGAATCAAGGTTTGAGAGTTTTCAAAGGATAAACCGAACTTAAAGTTGATTATTTAGATTAAAACCTCTAGAAAGCTAATTTTTCTTAATTGTTCAACAACAAACTTTTAATCTTTAAAGTATTTAATAGCAACAGCGAAATTCTTGCTTCTCAACTTCTGACGTAATCTTTGAATTCCTTCTAAATAAATGACAAGTTAAATATTATCGCGAGATGTTTACCTTACATTTACACTTAAAGGTTTCGCGATGATGACGGTAGCAGTAGGCAGCTCGCGATCGATAACGTGATTAAGCTTCAGTGATAAAAACAATTGAGATTGGGGTTCGCGTAATAAATTTTACTTGTCATGGCAGGGGATAATGTTGAGTGAAATTACGGCTTAGCACATTGAGCTTTCATTCGTGGAGCTCATCATCGCTGTCTGTTTAAGTCTCGTACGATATTTCACAAATTATCTTCGTAAACTTTTCGGTTTACATTCCCTTAAACATATTAATTTTAAGACAACACGGTTTTGACCTGATGTAAATTATTAATCAATAATTTTTTAATTGATTGACTGGCATATTTTTTGTGTCGTTTTATGATTTAAGGTCAGCTCATAAATTTTGCTAATTGCAACGATTTATCATTATGTTTCAAAAGAAGTGCCAAAACACTTCAAACACCTCAAGGAAATCCAATAATTCATTAAAATTTCATTCGTTTCAAATCGTAAAAGTTACCCAGCAAGGTTAATTTACGTTTTTATTTACTTATCCGTTTCATTGCATATAAAAGTAGAGAATTCATAAATTATAATGAGAAATGTAAAGGTAGAATCGCAGAGAAATAAAGGATAGGTCTTAATTATTTTCGAAAATAAATGCCTGAATAAATGTAAAAGATCTTTTCTGTTTTCGCAAAATAAGAACATAAAAAGCAGAGCCCCTTGAAGTTAGGCAAATGTTTTGCCTTTTTCTACTTCTCGCCTAATAGTTATGCAATTTTGTTAACAATTGCCTTGAACATTTTTCTGCCGGTTTTTGCTTACGTATGGTGACTCTGTTGAACTATCCATTGTGCAAGGCTACTTGTATCTCTAGAGATTATAATTAGACTAGTTTACTGAATAAAAATCGATATATTTCAAGTCACTTATAAGGTGATTTGTTGGGGCTGTAGCTCAGATGGTAGAGCGCTCGCTTAGCATGTGAGAGGTACCGGGATCGATACCCGGCAGCTCCATTTTTTGAAGATTCTTCTTTTAAAACTTTCAAATATTTTATTTTTTACATTTCAGAAACTTGTTAAAAAATTATGGAAAAGCTTGTTGTCACGTTGTTACTTGTTGTTGCATTGTTCGAAGCAGTTTGTTGTGAACATCATGACGAACATCATGAACAACATAAAAAGGATCAATTAGGATTTTTCGTAAGTAGACAATTGAATTTTTAAGGTTTGTTATGATTAGTAAATGCTAACTTAGGGTTCGCGTGGACGACGAAGCATCAACACAGATCAAAGTTCAACAATTGAATCTGGAGTTGGAAATGACGCTATTAAAGAACTTTCAGGTTTAAGGGATACATTAATGGGCTTCGAGAGAAACATTCGAGCTCCAAAAGGATTTTTTGGGATGCGAGGTAAAAAAGATTACAACCAACAGTTTGCAGAGAAACGAGCTCTCTTTGGAATTCAACAGGTTTGTATGATAAATTCAGGAAAAGTCTGTTAAATTTTAATGCATTTTTTTATTCTCGTTATAAAAATAAAAAAGAATTTGAATGGTCTTCGTGAACGTACACGCTTCGTTGAACCGCAAACTGGCGAGAATGATGGTTATCCATATCCCAAACGTGCACCAGCCCAAGGATTCTTCGGCATGAGAGGAAAGAAATTTGGTGATTACGATTTAAGCGGAAGTCTTAACGATAAACGAGCACCGAAAGGTTTCATGGGGATGCGCGGTAAGAAAAGCTTTGGCGACGATGAAGACATTGACGATCCACAAGTATTTGACTACAACTACAACAGCATTTATGAGCAAAATGAGAAACGTGCACCAACCAATGCTTTCATGGGAATGCGAGGCAAGAGATCATTGAGTGATGATAAGTCACCATTTAATCTGATGTTACGTTAATCCAATGATAAACTTAGTTAAGTCCTTCTCAATTACACCAAAACAAAACAAAGGCCGTCAATGATAAGCGTTAAATATGTTCAATTTTCCCCAAAAATTATTCTTCTTCAGGTTGACACAAAAAACATTTAAGAGAATAAATCAGTTCAGCTTCTCCTTATAATAAATAAAGAACAAAAACCTTATACAGTGAAAACTCTTAAACACATGTAGAAAATTTATGCAAAAGTGGGCATCATTGATAAGAACTTTTAAGCATAAGAAATAAGCGTTTCAACAACGTTTGGTGTCTATTATGATAAGCATTAATGTAAAGATTCTTTCACAAATGATTTAATATTTCAAACAAAAGAAAACAAATGAAATATGGAAGTCATTAAAGTTAATTTCGTCTAAATTTCCTTCCGTAAATGTTGGAGGTTAAAACAGCAGTTAGGTCTCATTAAGTTGTAACATTTTATTGACCGAACTTCTTTACATAATGTTACGTAAATAAAAAAGTAAAGCCTCTTTAAACTTTCTTATCACGTTTCAATTGTAAAGGAAATGATTGCAAATGTTCTCTTCATTGGGTTCTAACTGTGAAAGCTCAAAGAAATAAACCTTCAGGGATATGTTATTCATTAAAATGATATGACAGCTGAGAAATGAATTGCTGCGGTCAAGTTATGATGAAAGTTATATTTTTATATGCATACATTAATTCCTTTGTGTACTCTTGAGTAAATATTTTATCAAACATATGTCTCACTTCCATCAAGAAAGGATTGTGCAATGGTTTCAAGCATTTTGTTTAAATTCATTTGGGATGTCAATGCGGATGACGGATAAAGACTGGATAAACTCCGTTTCTTCGCGCACTTTTGATCATCTACATCCAAATGAAAGGAAAATCAACTAAACAGTATTCATTATTCGATCGGTAAACACATTGGAAGATACTAAAAAGTATAAAATTCCATAAGAAAAATTAAAATAAAATGCAGAGCAAAAGAACATAAAAAAGGTTTAAAAATTTCATTTCCTTCTTTTTCAGGAATTTTCTTTATGATTTTTATGAGTTAAAATTAAATTTCTTTTACAGATTTATTAACGATAACTTGTTGCTTTTCCTTACTTTTGCAACACATTAGTAGGATGTAATTTATTCAAAGTCAAAATGTTTACCCGCAAGCTGCAGCCAACAATTTCGAGAATGAAACAATTCTCAATCATTTTGATTTGTCAACATTAAAAATTAATGAAATATTTTTTAATCTCGTTAGTTTTTATTTTGTTTAAAATTACTTCATTATTCAATTTGTGGGGGTGGATCATTATGAGTGAGAATGGAATAAAAGTAATTTTCATGATTGCTTAATGTGAAAAACAAATTTTAATTTAACGACAAATGTTGAACATTTTCAATTACTTATAACTGAATTTGAGGCTTATTAATTGCTTTGGGCTTTAATTTTTTATTGCTACTTGCAACAGAAATTTAATTATTCAAAAATGTTCGGTTTTAATGCAAATTCATGCATAAAATATTTGATTTGAAAGAAAATTCACTTTTCAACTAAGAACATAAATTCGCGAATGCAGCAAAGCTTGAAATGTTTACCACGTTAATGGTTTTTAAGTGAAATGCATTTCATTGATGTTTGTGACTTTGGATTTCATAGGATTGAGGTAAAGTTAATGCATGTGGTAAGTATAAAGTAGTTTTAATCTCAGATTATTCACTGGGAATGCCAAGAACGAGTTGAAAGTTTCAGTCATTAAAAATCTTAGAAATTCGCTCATATCGTGCTCAGTCAATTACTCGTTAAAGCATTTCATAAAATCACCAAATTATCTCCTTTTTACAACCATCAACGACACACGCAAAATCCCCAAATAATTTCAACTTGAGCCATAAACACTCAAATAAAATATTTTTAAAGTGACACATGAATTGTAATTCTGATCCGAAAAATAAAATCCCATCAAAAAAACATTAAATTTAAATGTCAACAACGATTGAGGAATTAAGGAGACGTGGAAACCTGTCAGACTGAAATCAAATCGTTCATCTGTTGCGTTTTCACAAGAAAAAAAGAAAAGTTATAAATGTTTAATAGCTTTAAAGTTTAAACTGCTTGTAGCATTGAGCTTGAGGCAATGACAAAAGAATCAGAAGAATATAAAACTGAGAGCCATTTACAATGAACAATAAAATGGGAAAAAATGAACAAAAGAAAGTGAAACTAGCAGCTTCGGTTGAGGAAAAAAGAAAAACGTTAATCAGATGACGTAGTTGGGAAAACAATTTAAAAGGAAAACTGTTTCACTTTCATAAAGTCAGAAAAATATGAAAATTGGATAAAAAGAATTTGGAGTGAAGGAGATGAAGAATTGAGATAAAAAGGAAAATCCTTTGTGTGTTCAACTTATAAAATGTTTATGCAGATTTCTTCTGTGAATATTTTACAGAAATCGACATCATTCGATTATTTTGCAACATCCAAGACTGAACTCGATGATGGTGTGAAGTCTATAAATTTGTCCCAAAAGAGTCATTAAAAGCATGTAATTGTAATGAAGTGGTTACTCCATAAATCACACTGCGATTACCTCAATATCAAAATAAAACACCTGGCCGAATACGTCGTGAATGTAAATCGATATTTTACGCAAATTATCTAACAAAAATTGTGATTCATACGTGATAACGAAAGTGACAAGAATCTAAATAAATAGTAAGGAAATAACTGATAAAAGTTTTTATTGTGCCATTTAACACGATTTAACATGCAATGAATTATCTTGAAAATGACTCGATTTATGCTTGACAAGAAATATCATAACTACATTAGTTTAGTTTTATTATGAAATTTCATGACTTTATTCCTTTGAAATGTTCCAGAAGCGCCTTTTGATATGGTGGACAATAATGACGTCAATAGAAACAAAACAAAATTCTATTTATATATGTTAAGATAACGAGAAAAAAGTATGATACATAAATACGTCAGCAGTGCGTGGGGTTCAAGAACGGATTCCACTAATTTAAATAGAATAATCCATTTAAGCTTTTGTTTTTAAAATCAACATAAAAATTTCTATGATTGCATCTTTCATGTTGCGTCATCAACCATGCAACATTAGCGACACAGATAATGTCGCATGCGACAGAAAAGAGTTTCCCACAACACGACCACGAAAGAAAAAATTGTTCTTCTTTTTCCTAAAGCCTCGTTTCATTCATTTTCTAAACGTTTGGAGTGTAGCGTGTAAAAATCTCTTTTAAACTCCCTCGTCAGTCGGTGGATCTGTTAGTTGTTCATTGAATGCCACACGATAAGGTTGTCAAATAAGTTGATTGATAAAACTTAAAAAGAAGAAAATATTCATAAAAGTGAACAAAACGTTTAAAATTTCCTTTGCTGTTTTTTCTTTTAGTTTATTTTTAAACTTTTATTTTAGTTGCTATTTAACGTAACTTAGATAATATATTTGGAATAGAGAAATTAAATAAAATCATAGGAAATAGAAATTATTGTGAGAGAAGAATAGAAAAAGAAACTTAAATGAAGGTGAGTAGCCAAGCAGGTGGGAGTTGAAAACATGAATTTGCATAATTGGTCAAGTCTTTGCTAATTTGCTTTGACTTCAAAGTTTCATCCCAAAATCAAGTGTAAAGTTGTCACAACCAAAACCTTTTCGAGAAAAAGTAAAAAGAGAAAGAATTCTAATAAAGTGTGATTGTTAGTGAACTTGAGTTACATAACGTGTTTTCCCTGAAGATGTTTTATGATAAATTCTATTGCGGATTTCGGCAAAAGTAACATAAATTGACTTCTCGAAAACACGTAGAAAAATGACATTTTACTTCTGCAAATACATCAAGCAAGACTTTTAACTCTGACAACATATTTCAACACGTTTTAAGGAAAATCTTACTGAAGATTCTCTCGTATGTTAAGCATTTTACCGAAAAATGTGAGACATTTTTCAAGCAGCAAGAGTTATTTTTAATAATGAAATGAAAGTGTGACAATAATTGCATCAGACGTTTGAAAAAATTTGATTTAATAGCTTTTGAAAGTAACCAAAGGAATTTATCATTTGGTGTAGGAAGAAACAACTTTTCTGAGATTCCATTCAATGTTTTCCATAGTCGATAATTTGATCCATTAGTCTCTTTATCATTGTTGATCCATTGTGTGAAAATATATTTTCCTAGCTCTAGAAAAATAAAACTTAATTATTCATTCTCTTGCCTGTTGCCTTTTCGTTCCATCGTAGTCTGAGAGAATGCGCCGAGAATTTGCACAACGAACACATAAAAATTTTCTAAGCTTTTAAAGCATCAGATATTGTTTCTCATGCTATTGTTATACTTTAGGAATATGTAACGGAGATAAAGCTTTCGTACATATTAGATTGTTGAGTATAAAGGGAAATCACTTTATCCAATCAGTCATAGACGGATTTAATCGAGCTATAAATGAAGAAAACTTCTACTGCTTTTGATCGATAATCTCAATTGTCTTGTTAGAGCAAAATTAGAAACATAGATGAATTAAATATTCTTCTTTTTGTTGTTTTAATGTCACTTACAGAATCATATAAAAATGAAATGTTGTTGATGGAACATCAAAACGAACTCTTTTGTTGGAATTTAATTTAAGTTCATAATTTAAAACAAAAGAATGACCAAATGCAACATAAAAGCTTTTTAAAATTTACTTTGAAGCTTCCATTAATACTTATTAACTATTTAAAAGAAATGTTTGTGTAAGTTTATGAAATTAGTGTTATCGAAGCGACCGCCACCCGGAAGCTTAAAATGATATTTAATATTTGGAAAACAACAAGGAAATTAGATTTTCACATACCTTTAGAACGTTGTAAATGAACGAACGTTGTTTTACGAGAGTAAAAATATGTCATTGAACATTAGAAGGGAAGTGAGAAGGGAAAATGATGATAAGATGAACACTTCTAAACCAAAAATCATGTTGAGGCTACAAATTTTCTGAATGCTGACACGGATGTCTTAATTACAGTCATTATTAATATTTATAACAAATTCTTACTTTTTCTCGCTTAACAATCTACTCTGGGAGAGATAAAAAATTTATTTTCTTCAACTCAACCAGCAACTTAAGTAAGAAAAATTAATTAAAAACAAAAAACAAGGAAACTATCTCTAGGAAGAGTTTTTCCCTTCGAAACACTGATAAATAATGAAAATTGAATTACTTTGCTTTCGAAAAACCCTGTAAAGTGGAAAATTGTTTATTCGATTATTTTTTTCTCGATTTTTAATTCACCTGGTGAATGCAGAAAGTTTGTGCATCGAGTGCCGACCAACACTGCGTGATATAAATTCAATTTATCATTTGCATAATGAAGAGAGGGAAAAAGTGAAGAAATAAAAGTCGTTTTTCTGCTGTCATTAAACAACTTCATACTCATAAACATGAAACATCGTTGAAACCTTTTTTATTCCTTCTTTCTTCTAATTGTGTCTCGCCAACGCTTTCGCTTGTCACCCGCAGGAATATTAGTAATAACAATTAGTACCATCAAAAAAGGGACGAACAATTGCATTGTTCAGCCCACTGAAAATGTTCGACATATCAAATAACACGTGAAAATTAACTCACTTTTCGGACTCATATCATCCGAAATGTGTTGTAAAAAAATGTTCCTAGTGGGGATATCGCATGCGATCAATTCACTTAAATACTTGAATATAATTAACTTAGTTTAGTTTCGTTTGGGATGACAAACTATAGACCTGCTGCCTAGGTAGGTGCGAGCACAATGAGAACAATGCGATATTCTTGGAAAATTGAAAATTCCCCACAACATAAGCTTTTCATCAAATTAACTTTGTTTGGTGTGCTTAAATATCTAATGTGGAATTCCATGAAAAGTTTCATTAATTCTTAATGAAACATTAAAACTTATCGATGAAAAATTTCACACCTTAAGCGTTCACTTCAAGCAGATACTTCCATTGAATTTTAATCGACTATTTGATGTTTACTCCGATTAAACAAAATCTGAGATGATGACGATGAGTTGCTTTCTTTACGAGTGAAATGAAATTATTGACTTCTTAAATTATTTATGAAAAGTGCTTAAAATCACTTTGAATTTCACATATCACTTCCTTTTTCACATTGTGAAGTGTGAATTTGAATAATTAGAATTGTAAATCAAGGAACTGATGAGTATGAGATTGTCTCAACTAATCTCTTCATATTTACTTTACATTTGAATATAAAATTCCGTGAAAATTAAATTTCATTTCAAATATTTACACCAATCAACACACTTTTTCTCGTCGAGACTTGAAACGACACCAAACTTTGTTTCAAATTTTCTTGAAACTGACAACAAATGATGAATTAATTTGTGCAACGAATTCAAACAGAAATTTATATTTCATATGAAAGAATGAAGTTAAAGTGTAAAACTTTATTCAATAAAATTTTAAATTCTTCCTTCTCGTTGAATATCGTCTGGTAGAGACAATAAAGTTGGAATGATTTCGCTTTCTATTGTATTTATTCATGTTTATGTTTCCATCGACTGTTTTCAATTCTTCATCCTGGATGCAACTTCATGTCTACAATCAGAACGAGAATATCATTTATTTATGATATTCTTTATCCCACAAACAATTCAGGTTCGAATAAATATCATCGAAAGGTAGCAAAGATTCAGAATGTAATTGTCAGGAAGAAAAAAACCCCTTAATTAAATTTTCTTCAATCGTTTGTTTTGCTCGAAGCTTTCCTGTTGCTTCAGGCAAAGCGTAAATTGAATATTGTTGAGGTTTGAAAAGAGTAACAATAGCTTAGCTTATAAAGACATTAGAACGTTTAATATATTTATAAGGCTGATGTGTAAGCCAAAGTCGTCTTCATGTTTTTTACTTTGTATTTATTTCAATACTTGCAAGAGAAAAAGGATTTAAAGATAAATCGGTAAAGTAATAAAGATTATTTTCTTAAATAAATATATTTGAACGAATATGAACCTCTGGGGTCTTCAGAGGTTTTTCACCGGTTTGCAAGATATCTTCAGAATATCTTCTTGTGTGATCCCCAAAGCTAAAACGAGGGTTACTTCATGTTTGATGGGATTAATATATTTATTTTTATGCATAATCAGTTAGTAACTGAACATGAATGCTCATTCTGAGTAATGTTATTAAGTTGGATATTTATTCAGATAACTGTTGAAAAACAAATCGAATTAATTCTCATCTACCTGTTATCATCAATTAAATTCCATCATAAAAAGTATTAAAAATATATGTAAATGGAAGTAGGACAGTAAATGATAGTCATAAAGTTCGTCATTCATTTTATGATAGCATTACTCAAATTTTCTCTTACACCTTCACATTTTGATTTATCGTTTCATTTTCCATGACCAAGTGTAGAAATGTTTGAACATCTGTTCATCTATGTATAGACGATGATTATTCATATCGGAGAAGCAACAAGTGGAAAGGATTACTTGACTATTAACAATGCAAGCTATGATGTCGAAGTGCTTAACAATATCTCTAGAAAAAATACTAATTGAGGATTAATGTTAATCATTTTCAATGATTTTATCAGTAAAAATTATCCAAAATGTAAAAATTGGAATAATTTATGCTTGCTTGTAAAAATAGAAAAATATTTTCGAATGTTGATTGATAATTAATTCGTAATCTTCTTTATAGTTTGATGTTTCTATTTTAGCATCTACTCTAACTAAATACTTTTCAAAGCTAGTATGTGGCTTCATGTTGGGCATATAACTGATTTTGATGAACATTTCTAAAGAATAATTCAAACAAGCATACCAAAATTTTAAAGGATTCAATCTTAATCTGATAAATAATTTTACAAAATTAGGTAAACAGGAAGTTTCTCTAAAGTTTTCTTTTTGTTGTTATTAATAATATTTTCTTAAATCCTTCGTGAATGGATGTTTCATTCTGAAATTTTGAATATTTTTAAGCTTTTAGTAAAAGATTTATTTTTAAATTTTATAAATGTTTAACAAAGGTGAAAAGTTTTTTTTTTCGGTTCCACTCTTACTTGATATTTAAACCTTTCTTTGTTTTCCCTTTTGAAATATTAATATCGAAAGAATTAAGTCTTAAAATAATAATCATTTTCACTATTTACGTCAACAGTTAAGACTCAAGTGGAGAACTTGTAAAGATCACTTGGCGATAATGATTTGCAAACAAAAAAGTTGCACAGTGTTGAGAATGTCAAGGAAATAAAAATGAAATTTTCCTAATCCTTGAATCTTTTCCTAAGGCTAAACTCGTGTAAATACTTCAAGAAAATTGCACTTGAATTATATGAAACGGAAAATGACGGTGAAGAATTATAATTTCATTTACATTTATTTTTCACAGACTTGCAACATGATGATTCGGTTGATGATTAGTGCTTTGTCTTTTCTCATCATTTCTCCAGCAATATCGATGTGTGATGAAGATCTCAAATCATTAGACAATCTTCAAGAAAAAAATGAACAGGTACCGACAAATCTACCAGAATTCACTGAAAGTATAGAACAATTAATGGATGCACATTCAGATGAAGATCAATTGAATGATCCTTGGATGTTCTACAGACAAATACGTGCACCCAGTGGTTTCTTCGGTGTCAGAGGGAAAAAAGAAGACGAACAAATGAACTTTTGGGAACTTGGAGTAAGACAAAATTAAGTTCACAACATCCTTAAATACTGTTATGAATATTCTTTTTATAGTCACAAAACGAGCTACTTCCGCTGGAAGTCAAGAGACAACCATCGCAGTCATTCTTTGGAATGCGAGGAAAAAAATATTATGACATGAAACGAGCACCGTCGGGATTCATGGGAGTTCGAGGTAAAAAGAACGATTATAATTATAAAGCACCCAACGATTTCCAAGATGAACTCTACAAGGAACTTCAACTTGAGCGTGAAATGCTGACAAATCTTATTGAAGATTATGAAGATGAGATTAACGACCAAGGTCTAAGGAATAAAAAGTCTGTGAGCAACGACGATTATTTTGAGTATGAGAAAAGAGCTCCAATGGGATTTCAGGGGGTCAGAGGAAAGAAATCAGAGTTCACTGATTTCATTTCACCGAATGAGAAGCGAGTGCCATTCTCAGGGTTCTTTGGAACGAGAGGCAAAAAACATCCGCTGGTAAGTTAGAATAAACTTAAGTGAAACTTAAATTAATTAAAAAATTTCAGGGCTTTCATTCATCAAATATTTTCGGAGTGCGTAAGAAGCCTTACATGCCATACACAAAATTCGTGGGTGTTCGTGGAAAAAAGGTAAAATTTCATTTCATTAATTTTCTTTCGAATTTTTAAGATTTTTTTTCTTCATCCAGTCAGTTGATGGAAATGTCAGAAAATTGAGACTGGACACAAACGCAATGTATGGCTTAAGGCCATCACATCGAGTAGGTTCGGACATGTTACAGGATAAAACAATCGGTTTTATTGGAATGAGAGGATAAATATTACATAATATTTAAAGTAAATGTTATCAATTAGAAAACATGTGCGCTCAAGAAACAAACCATCATTGGTCTCGTTAAGAATGTTTATATACAAGATTTAGCTTTGTGGCAAAATCAAAGTGGCTGCATCTTATATCTAACTAATAATTCTCCGATCTCTAGAGGCTGGGAGATTATGGACAAATTATTGGACTTTAAACATTTCTGTATTCGATTATAGATATCTTGATTTCTTGATGAAAATTTCGTCTCTACTTTGTCAATTTTCTATCTCACTACTAAATAATGTTCTTATTTATCATAGCTAATAGTCGATGTTATTTAATAAAGAAATTTCATTTAGGGAAAAAAATAAAAAATGAATTCATATTAATTAAACAATTGCTAATGTTCCTTGAAGACTTCTCTCAAGTAAAAGGAAAATTAAATGCAATGTAAATGTTTATTGTTTGAGGCAAAATAGTTGAAAATAAAAGTTTGATTAACGTTAATTATTTTTGTTTTCATGGGATGTGCAAGTTAACTCGAATTTCACATATTAAAAATTAAGAAAAAAGAAAATATTTCTCCTTTTTCTGGAAATGGTAAATTACAAATAGAAATTTAACGGATAATTTCAAACTGAAATTGCATTAAATACAACCGAAAACAGATGAACAAATATTTATGAACACTATGAAGATTATATCAATTTCATTTTATTTTGGTTTGTTTTCATCACTCTGCATAAGTGTTAGTGACTAAGCGGTATCCAAAAATTTGTGAAAATTAATTAAAAACCATATAATATAACGAATTTCTTAATCAAAAACACCAAAATCCTTTAAATAAAACATCCTTGTAATAGGATAAAGTGAAGAATATTTGATCTCATGTCTAATAGTGACGAATACGAAGAAAAATTTGGAGGTGAAAATTTTTACATTAATTCCAATATTTTGCTCTTGAACCTTTTCATTTTCTTCGAAAAACTATTTTAAAAGTGCTACTTTAGGTCAATCTTCTTATTGACAATAATATTTAATGGAAAAGTGTTCATTATAATACAATTTTCAGTCAAAATGTCTCTACTTAAAAATGTCTGGGGGGAATTGGAGGTTACGTTTTCCAGTTTAAATAAGTTACAATAGAAAGCGAAATTTTAACAATCTTTGATCTTCCAATAGCATCCCAAAAATATTTCATCACTTTTCGTAATTTCTTCAAAGTAAATAAAATTTAAGTGACGTAACTTCTAATTGTACAACTTTCTGTTGGGGATAAATGAGTGAAGGCCAATGAAAAATGTCAATGAACGGCAGTGTGATGTGTAGTTATATTAAAATTCTTGTTTTATTCCTTTATGTGCATCAGGTGAAGATGATAGCGGTCCAATTGATGAAACTTTAGTTTCTGGCGACGACGAAACTCCTAAAAACGTGAATAACGTAAGATCTTCACTAAAATTCAAAAATTTCATTCTTATAAGAAATTTTTTCTGACTTTTCTTTTTAGGATGAAGACGATGACTACGAACCTGAAGATCGCAAACGCAAGAAAGGTAAAAAGCGCAAAGTTCGAAGTGAAGAGAAATCGAAAGCTCGGAAGAAAAAGAAGCGAAAGAAAAATGAATCTGAAGAGGAGCTGGAAGAGGAAGATCGAGCTTGTGATTCAGATGAATATTCATCCAGCAAACGTGGGCGAAAGAAGAAGGAAAAGGAAGAGAAAAAAGCTCAACCACCACCAACAACGCCAACCGCTCCGTCTTCAAATCAAGGCGAATCAAACATGCCAACTATCGAAGAAGTTTGCAGCACTTTTGATTTAACTGATGTTCCAATCGAATATTCCGATGCTGACTTTCAAAATCTCTTAACGTATAAAATGTTCCAACAACATGTCAGGCCGATTTTACAGAAAGAAAATCCACGCGTTCCAATGTCAAAGCTCATGATGCTTGTAGCTGCTAAATGGAGAGAATTCTCAGATATAAATCCACACATGCAGCAAGAGGAGGAAGAAGTCGAGAAGGAGGAAGAAGTCGACGAACCTCCACAATCTCCCGAATATCAACCAAAAGAATCAAAATCACGATCAAGTAAGAAAACTGTGAGAATTGCTGAAGAAGCTTTCGAAGACGAAGAGGAGGAAGAAGAAATCAAAACAAAGTCTAAGAAGCGAGGTCGAAGTGGCAATGGACAAACAAAGAAAGGTCGCAAACCAAAAGTACCAACATTAAAGATCAAATTTGGTAAACGTCGCAATGCAAGCTCTGAAGATGATCAAGATGAATCAGCTGCCGGATCTGAAAGAGAATCTGACATTGAATTTGAGAAAATGTTACAGCAAACTGATGACAAAGAAGACGAGGAACAACTGCCAGTCGAAAAAGACGATCCTGATGCTGAACCAGCTGTTCGAAAGAAAGCCAAAACAAAGATTGGAAATAAATCGAAACGTAAGAAGTCAAAACGTTCAAATCTTCCTGAAGATGACATCGAACATCAAGATTACTGCGAAGCTTGTCAACAAGGTGGTGAAATTATCTTATGCGACACATGCCCGAAAGCTTATCATTTGGTTTGCTTAGATCCGGAACTTGAAGAAGCTCCCGAAGGCAAATGGAGTTGCCCAACATGCGAAGCTGAAGGTCCTGGCGGGATTGAACAAGATGACGACGAACATCAAGAATTCTGTCGTGTTTGTAAAGATGGCGGTGAATTATTATGTTGCGATTCATGTCCATCAGCTTATCACACTTTCTGCTTGGATCCACCGTTGAGTGAAATTCCTGACGGTGATTGGCGATGTCCACGATGCGGTTGTCCACCACTTCTTGGAAAAGTAGCGAAAATCTTAACATGGCGTTGGTCAGATCCAATCCCAGAAGATCCAAACAATCCAACAGCGTCAACATCGAAGGCACAACCAGTTCAACAACGAACACGAGAATATTTCATTAAATGGAAAGATCGAAGCTATTGGCATTGCAGTTGGATTAGCGAACTTCAACTTGATGTCTTTCATCCACTCATGTTTCGTTATTACACGCGTAAATATGACATGGAAGAGCCGCCGCGTTTTGAGGAGCAACTTGATGAACAAGACTCGCGATTTAAACGACTTAAACGTCATCGTGGGGCTCATGGCGATGTCGAAGATGATAGCAAAAGTTTAGAAGAGAAATTCTATCGTTATGGCATTAAACCTGAATGGTTGGTCGTCCATCGTGTGATCAATCATCGATCAATGCGTGATGGACGAACTTTGTATCTGGTTAAATGGCGTGAACTTCCATACGATCAATCAACATGGGAAGATGAATCTGATGACATTCCAGGATTAAAGACAGCGGTTGAATATTATCTTGATTTAAGAGCCAACACGATGGATCCAATTGCAGCGAAAAAGGGGAAGAAGAAGGGACGACGTCGTACGAAAGATTTGGACGATGATGACAAAGGATTCGTCACGAAACGTTTCAATCCACCGCCAGAAAAGCCAACAACTGAATTGAGAAAGAAATATGAAATTCAACCAGATTATTTCAATGAGAATGGAATGCAACTTCACAATTATCAGTTGGAAGGAATAAATTGGTTGAGATATTCGTGGGCGAATGGCACAGACACGATTCTTGCTGATGAGATGGGACTTGGAAAAACAATTCAAACTGCAACGTTTCTTTACTCTTTGTACAAGGAAGGACATTGTTCGGGCCCGTTTTTAATCGCTGTTCCTTTATCAACGATTGTCAATTGGGAGCGTGAATTTGAATTATGGGCGCCGGACTTCTACTGCGTCACTTACGTTGGTGATAAAGAAGCACGCGCTGTAATTCGTGAAAATGAATTAAGTTTTGAAGAAGGTGCTGGTGGTAAACGAACAACAAAGATAAAAAGTAATACAATTAAATTTAATGTGTTATTAACAAGCTACGAGTTAGTGTCGATTGATTCAGCGTGCTTATCGTCAATTGATTGGAAGATTTTAGTGGTTGATGAAGCGCATCGATTGAAATCAAATCAATCGAAATTCTTTAAATATTTGGCAAGTTACAGTATTGATCACAAATTATTATTGACTGGAACGCCGCTACAAAATAATCTCGAAGAACTTTTCCATTTATTGAATTTCTTAAGTAAAGATAAGTTTAATGATCTCGCAGTCTTTCAAAGTGAATTTGCTGACATATCAAAAGAAGAACAAGTACAGAAGCTTCACGACATGCTTGGCCCGCACATGTTGCGTCGATTAAAAGCTGATGTGCTGAGAAATATGCCATCGAAAAGTGAATTCATTGTTCGTGTTGAGTTGTCACCATTGCAGAAGAAATATTACAAATTCATTTTGACGAGAAATTACGAAGCTTTGAATCCCAAATCGGGCGGTGGAGCGTGTTCATTACTCAATATTATGATGGATCTAAAGAAATGTTGCAATCATCCTTATTTGTTTCCAGCAGCATCTGAAGAAGCTCCACTTGGACCAGGTGGAAATTACGAAATTAATGCATTGACGAAAGCAGCTGGAAAGTTGGTTTTGTTGTCGAAAATGATGAGAATATTGAAAAACCAAGGACATCGTGTGTTGATCTTCTCACAGATGACAAGAATGCTTGACATTCTTGAAGACTTTCTTGAAGGTGAAGGCTACAAATATGAAAGAATTGATGGCGGCATTACCGGACAATTGCGACAAGAAGCAATCGATCGATTCAATGCACCAGGCGCACAACAGTTTGCATTCTTACTCTCAACACGTGCTGGTGGTTTGGGAATAAATCTTGCAACAGCTGACACTGTCATCATTTATGATTCTGATTGGAATCCCCACAATGACATTCAAGCATTCTCGCGTGCACATCGAATTGGACAAGCAAACAAAGTCATGATTTATCGTTTTGTCACGAGAAATTCTGTTGAAGAGCGTGTAACGCAAGTTGCCAAACGGAAAATGATGTTGACGCATTTGGTTGTAAGACCAGGAATGGGTGGCAAAGGCACAAACTTCACGAAACAAGAACTTGACGATATTCTTCGTTTTGGAACTGAAGAACTGTTCAAAGAAGACGAAGGGAAGGAGGAAGAAGCAATTCATTATGATGACAAAGCTGTTCGTGAATTATTAGATCGATCAAAAGGTGGAATTGAAGAGAAGGAAAATTGGGCGAATGAATATTTGTCAAGTTTTAAAGTTGCAAGTTACAGCACAAAAGAAGAGGAAGAAGAAGAAACTGAAATTATTAAGCAAGAAGCTGAAAACTCTGATCCCGCTTATTGGATTAAATTACTTCGTCATCATTACGAGCAACATCAAGAAGACGCCAGTCGGTCACTTGGTAAAGGAAAGCGTGTTCGTAAACAAGTTAATTATACTGATGGTGCTGTTGTGTCAAATGAATCACGTGAAGATCAAACATGGCAAGAGAATGTTTCGGATTACAACAATTCTGATTACAGTGGCTATTCAGATGAAGAGAAAGAAGAAGACGATGAAGATAACAGCGAGTTTGGCAAACGTGGTCGTCGTCGAATTGAACGAAAAGATGATAAAGATCGTCCATTGCCGCCGTTGCTTGCTCGTGTTGGTGGAAATATTGAAGTTCTTGGCTTTAATTCACGACAAAGAAAGAGTTTTCTTAATTCAATTATGCGGTTTGGAATGCCACCACAAGACAGTTCCAACAATGTTTGGTTGGTGAGAGAACTTCGTGGAAAGTCTGATCGACATTTTCGTGCTTATGTCAATCTTTTCATGCGACATTTATGTGAACCCGGGGCTGATAATGCTGAGACATTTGCTGATGGTGTTCCACGTGAAGGTTTAAGTCGTCAACATGTGTTGACCAGAATTGGCGTCATGTCGTTGATACGAAAGAAAGTTCTTGAATTTGAACACATCAATGGATATTATTCGATGCCTGAGTTGATTAAAAAGCCTTTTGATCCATCAGTGAAACCAGAAGAAGGAAAAATTGATGAAGAGAATTCAAAGAGTGCGACAACGAGTACAGCACCTTCACCAGCTCCATCAAATGATAAGTCGGATGAAAAGGAACGTGAAACTGATGAGAAGAAAGCTGATGTCGAAGAGGTTGCAACTGAAAAATCGGACACACCTGATGATGATAATAAAACAAAAGAATCAACACCAGAAGGCTCAATAAAAGATGAAGTTAAGAAGGAAGAATCGAATGCTTCTGATAGCACTGACAAGAAGGTTGACGACGATGATGATGACGTTGTTTTAGTGAAAGATTACAATGAAGATTCAAAGGAAAAAGTTAAAGATCAACTGGAAGTGTACAAACGTCAATTTATGTTCAACATCGCGGATGGTGGATTCACTGAACTTCATACTTTGTGGATTAACGAAGAGAAAGCTGCTTTTCCAGGACGTGAATATGAAATTTGGCATCGTCGTCATGATTACTGGTTGCTTGCTGGAATAGTTACGCACGGTTATGGACGTTGGCAAGACATTCAAAATGACATTCGATTTGCAATCATCAATGAACCTTTCAAGATGGACATCAACAAAGGAAACTTCCTTGAAATTAAAAATAAATTCTTAGCAAGACGTTTCAAGCTTTTAGAGCAAGCATTGGTGATTGAAGAACAATTGCGGCGTGCTGCTTATTTGAATTTGACACAAGACCCAACACATCCAGCAATGAGTTTAAATGCGCGATTTGCTGAAGTTGAATGTTTAGCTGAATCGCATCAACATTTGAGTAAAGAAAGTTTGGCTGGTAAGTAATTTTTATTTTATATTTTTCAATTTGACGTCAAAGCTCTTGATCTAGTACTTCAAATGCATGACCAGTCTTGAAATTCCAGGCCCAAAAAAGAATTCAAGTCACAGTCCGCTCTCAAATTTATTTTCATTTCAATCTTTTTTAGGCAACAAACCAGCAAATGCTGTTCTTCATAAAGTTTTGAATCAATTAGAGGAACTTCTCTCGGATATGAAGAGTGATGTCGCAAGATTGCCAGCTACATTGGCACGCATTCCACCAGTTGCACAACGTTTGCAACTTAGTGAACGTTCAATTCTATCGAGATTAGCAACAACCAGCAGCACAACTTCATCTGCTGTATGTAAGTTGATAAGAAAATTAATTTTTAAAATACGTTTCAATGAAATGACATTAAAAATTTTTACAGCAAACTTAATGAATTTCCCTGCTGGTTTTGCAAGCACTTCATTTGCCGGGTTCTCTCCAGCTGCTGTCGCTGCAAATTTACAACATTTCCGACCGAACTTCATAGTTCCGGGATCATCATCGGGTCAAAATAACAATGTAATTAAAAATTTAAATATTTTATGAAATGAAATCTTTTAAACTTAATTTTTTTCTTACAGTAAATTTAAGGTCAACAATCGTTTTGCACTTTTCGTATGAGGATTTTCATTCCTTGGATCTGACACCCACTGATTGATTTAACTTCATATCTTTTTTATTTTTTCATTTTCAAATATAATAAAATTAACATTTTGTGGCACATTTAACGAGAATTTAAGACAAGACTTAGAATTAGAAATTTCAAGAATTTTCATCAAGAAGTAAAACTGTAAGTAGTTGAAAAATGTCGAATGATTCCAGTCGTTCAGTTTTGTGCACAATTACTGCAGTAAAAAGTAAATCTAATCAACATATAAACATAAATTTCTTAGATGATATTAAAATGAAATCTTTTTTAAGAGTTGATGGCTTCAAATTTTCTTTTTCTTCTTTGTAAGAACTTAAATTGCTTTCAAATAAAAGAATCAGACGAGAAAAAGAAATTAAAATCCTTTTTTCTCTTGATAATTTTCCTGTGAAGCATTGTAAGAAGGTGGAAGTTCAGAGTTAGATGGTTGAATGTTGATTTGTGATTGTGGTTGCGGTTGTGATGAGAAATTAAATACTGGATACATTGGACTGAACGGTTGATCTTCAGTCAAAGCTTCACCATTATTGGAATCTTTCTTTGTTGACCCTCCAATAGCTTCTTGATATGACGGTGGTGCTAAAAGATGAAATTTGTTAATAAAGAAACTTTTGAATGAATTTTGAGATTCCTACGCAAATCAAATGGCGCCGATGGCTGCAAAGCATCAAATTCTGGTGCAGAAGGTTGAGCATTTGAAGTGCTTGGAAGGGGAAGAGCAGCAGCAGCAGCCGCACCAGCATTCCAACCTAATCGAGGTTGTGTGTAGATGGAGTTTTGTAGTGGCACCGTTCCGATGGTGATTGGAAATCTCAATCCTGGGCTTCGATGAATTCCACCAATTTTCGCTTTGATACGAATTTCATAAGAGACTTGAATAACTTTACAGTAAGCAGTATTGGTTGGTGGAACTGGTGGAATCTTCAGCATTGCAGTGACATTGTTCTTACTCTTCCCAGGAACTCCGACATGGATAACTTCTGCAACTTTTTCAATGCGTTCCTTTGTTCTCCTTCTTGGAGTTAAACTGTTGTAGTGAATGATTTTCTTCAACGATACTCTAGTGGCTTCGACGTCAGTGCTTGATTCATTGTTGATTTTAACAGAAACTGGAATTAGTTGACCTGACACAAAACCAGACATTGGAATTTCTGCTGCCACAAACAGTGGCTTGGATCCAAGACCGAGAAAGAAAGTTTTTGATGTTTCCGTCTTCATTGGACTTCTTATCGCTGGCGGTTCATAATTTAAATCAAGAATTTTAATCACAGTAAATCCAAAGCAATATTTAATATCAAACTTCCATGGTCGTTCGACTTCAACTTTAATCTGATAGCGAATGTATCCGTAATGTGATTCAAAACTTGTCGGAAGTTGTTGCGGGAGAACGCAAGAAAAATTGAATTTATGAACGCCTTCGGTTAGCACTGACTCCGTCACTAAAATCAAATGATAATTTTGTTATCTTATCGAAACATTTTTTTGGAAATTATCTCTGAAAGAAAAAAATGAAATTTTACCGTCATAACTTCCAATTAAATAGGAAAATGAGTTGATGTAATCTTCACGTCCACGGTAACGAACTGTTCGTCTATTTTTCCCAGTGCCTTCACTTTCCGACCAACTACACTAAAATTAAAATTTTCTTTTCAATTCTTTCTCATCACGTTGCCATCATCGTTATGTAATTTTTTATCGATGACAAATTTATTTACTTTAGCAAAACCTTCAATTCTTAAACTAACGCCGCGAACATTTCTCGTCTTTTCATTCTCAAATTCAATTATTCCAGACAATGACTGTCCACTGTAATATATTCCATTCGGATTATTGTCATACTTTACCACACATTTAACCATCTCGTTTGAGTGACGATGAAGAACTGAACAGAAATCATACAAAAAACTTGAAACTTTTACATTTATTTTTAGTTTATTGCCATATGCGATAATTAATATTTAACTGATAAGATAATGAATTGAAATTTTTATACAAAAGCATTACGTGATTGATGATGACTAAGACCTGAATCACTTTTTTGTTATTTCTGTGACGTTATTTGATAAAATAATTTTACGTCAAGTTGTTGGCCTCTGATCGTTATCGAAAGTGAAGACGGGATAGTTGGGTTGGTCAGTATTTTCACCATCAGAGCTGTCGACTAAAGATTCTTCTAACAAAGCTTCTTCATAAGTTGGTGGTGCTGTAATCAATACAAACAAATTCATCAAATGTGATTAAATATGTTAAATATTCCAATCAATCATATTTACGTAATTTCATGTAAGATGGCGATGCCAAAATGTTGCTAAATGGAACAGTTCCAATTGTGATAGGAATTTTAATCTTTGGACAACGATTAAATCCACTTGTCATCGCTTTAATTCTCAATTGATACAAGACTTTAATTGTTTCACAGTTTGTGATATTTGGTGGAAGAGACGGAACGATAATTCTTCTTTCAAAACTTCTTGACGTTTGTGCTGGAATTGAATCTGTCAAGACTTTACCCTCGGAGAAAACCAATTCCTTTGTGTTTCTCTTTGGCTTACGACTGTTCATTAGGACGATCTTCTTTAAAGATATTTTCACTTCTTTTACATGAGTCTTCGATTGATTGTTTACTTCGAGGAAAACATTTATCGATTGTCCCGGAACATATCCCGAGAATGGAATCGACGCTGACATGTAAAGCTTCTCAGACGTGAAGTCTAACATAAAGTTTTTTGCCTTTTCTTCTTTTATCGGATGTCTTAAAGATAAACCTTCTGAATTTAGGTTCAAAGGTTGAATGACAGTGAAAGGAAAATCATAATTTGAATTCATTTTCCATGATCTGTCAACAACTATTCGAACTTTATATTTAATTTGTCCATTTCTGCACCAAAAACTTGTCGGAATGTTTGAAGGTAAATCATAAGAAGCATCGAAATTATGTTCACCTGTCGTCAATTCCACTTGCTTTCCATCAGAATCACTTAATAAGCAAAAAGTTTCATCAACATAGCTTTCTCGACCACGAAGAACATCGATGTAAACATTGGGACTAACTCCCCTCTCTTCATACCATTTACATTTTGCATACCCATGAAACATGCAAATGATTTCTAAAAATCATTTAATTTCATTTCCATGTTCTTTAAAAAACAAATTAATTAAACTTACTGTTTATTTTCTCAGGTTTCGCGACATTCAAAGTTACGCGAATCTTCACATTTTGACCAGGCTCGTAAAACTCTTCAGCATTGTTTAAAAACTTTACATCACAATCCATTTTTCCAACGTGTTACCTCTTTGAAAAGCAGAAATAAAACTACTCAAATTATTAGTTCCAACGTTTTTACCTTTAGAAAGATAGCGAAAATTTCTTATCATTAAATTATGATAAAAATTTTGCTTTTGATAACGCAATGAGATATCGACTAGGAAAACATCAAATTTGTGATAAAAATAAATTTTTATTTCATCTTCAATTAAAAATAAAAATTTTATCATATAATTCATTCTTAATTCTTTTAAGCTGCAAGTGATTTCATTATTTTCGTGACATAGTTGATCAAAGGTTTCTGATAAACATTTTATTGTTATGAAGAAGAAGATTTGCCAACTTTGTTACTTGTTGCACCTTCACTAGGAAAGTCATCAGAATTATCTTCATCATCGCTTGCTCCTTCTTTGATCACTCGATCATAATCCGAAAGCCCTGAAGAAACATTGAAAATATTTCTTAAACTTTCAATATCGTTTAATTTATTTTACCTAAAGTCTCATAAGGAGGTGGCAATCCCAAAGGGTTTTCTGAATCTTCAAACGGAATTGTTCCAATTGTGATCGGAAGAATCAACACAGGCCATCGATTTAATCCACTTGTTATCGCTTTAACTCTCACTTGATAGTGAACTTTTAACAATTCACAATTTGAAATTGATGGAGGTAGAGGTGGAACAACAATTTCCTTCTCAAAATGTTGCACTGTCAACGCTGGAACTCCCGACGTTGTCAATTTAACTTCAGAACATTTTAACTCAGTTGAATCTTTCGGCTTTTTACATGTCAATAAAATTAACTTTGCTAAAGAAATGTTCAACTCTTTCACATCTGTTTTCGATTGATTATTCACTATGATTCTTATGTTAATAGTTTGTCCGGGAACGTATGCAGAGAAAGGTATCGATGCAGACATGTAAAGCGGCTCTGACGTGAAATCAAACTTGAACTTCTTTGACAATTCTTCCTTAAGTGTTGATCTCAAATGTAAAGCCTCAACATTAAGATTCAGTGGTCGTATCACACGTATAGGAATTCGAGCGTTTAACTTGATTCTTCGATATCCGACAACTTTAATTATCATTTTGTATTTGATTGCTCCTCCACCTTCGCAGAAGAAACTCGTAGGAAGATTTGAAGGTAAATTACAAACTATGTCAAACTTATGAATTCCTTTCGCTAGCTCAGCATTTCCCTCATTTTTATTGTTTAACAGACGGTAGTATTCATCAATATAACTTTCGTATCCATTGTATAAAGAAGTTCCAGTGTCCCATATGCATTTAACATATCCTTTGATCCTACATTCAATTCCTAACAACATCAATTAATCATTTATTCCTCAAATCAATTCAATTAGATCTAAATTTAATTACTTTTAACTTCTAATGGCTTTTTTGACACCATCAAAATAAATTCTGCCTTCAATTTGTCACCAGGTTCATAGAAATCTTTTGGGTTATCAAGAAAATTCACATCCCAGTCCAATCTTGACATTTTCAATGTCGATAATTTTTAAGTTAAAAATTTACTTCCTCAAATCACGAATATTTTGTCTCAAATGAGCATGAAACTTTTTCTTTTATGAAATTACTTATCAATATCTATCAGCTACGAAAAAAGATTATTTTTATCGTAGATAATGAAAATGAATTTAATCTTTTGATACTCGCGATACTCGCGATACTCGGAGAATGAATAAAATGAGCTTTTGACCAAATAGGAAATGAGAATTTTAACATGAAACGAAGGCCATGGTCCCAAGACCCAAAGAAAAGATTAANTCTTTTATGAAATTACTTATCAATATCTATCAGCTACGAAAAAAGATTATTTTTATCGTAGATAATGAAAATGAATTTAATCTTTTGATGGTATTCGCGATACTCGGAGATATCTTTTATAATAAAAGTAAAGTTAGAATGTGAATCAATTTGGTCACTTACTCAAATAAAAAAATAAAATGAGCTTTTGACCAAATAGGAAATGAGAATTTTAACATGAAACGAAGGCCATGGTCCCAAAGAAAAGACTAAATTAGATTTCAAGAAATCACGAAGAAATCCGAAAGGCATTCAATATTCGAATCCAAAGTATTTCGACATTATCTATCCAAATTAATCACTTCATAATTTTTGAAGTGATGATTGTTTATTCGGATAAAGTCAGATTTATTTTTACAATCGATTGGTGCAATTCTTGTGGGGGTTGAAAAATGTTTAACTACTACAAGATCGACAACCATCAGCTTCATGTTCAAGGGAAATTTATCATGTAATTGCTGAAACTGTACCTGAGGTTGATGCTCGTGAGATTTGATGATCATATCTTAGTTTAATATTAAATTTATTTTATTTCAGCTCCATCTTTTGATAAGAATTTATTTAAATGACAAATCTCAATTAACAATTTTAGTATTTCTTATCGATTTCTGTCAAAAACTGTTGATGACTTGCAATTATCTGACAGTGAATAAATAAAGCAATCTTATCTTCTATTTAAGTAAATATGCGATAAATTGAAAGATATTCTGAAGTTTATTCCAACAAAAAATGTATTTTTATTAAACATCAAACAATTAATAACTAGAAATTAATTTCTAAATAGATGAACCAGAATAACCCAAATTTATTAAAAATATTCCGAGAGAAAAATCAAAACCTCTTTTCATTTATTCCCAGCTATCAAACAATAAACTTCAACATGTTTTCTTGAACTTGATAATATTTTTCTTATCATTTCGGGTTTTAAATAAAAGCTGATAATGAATAAAACTGACGAGGTTAGTTCTAATGAAGTTTCATTAAAGGCGAGATCGTTTTTGATTGTTGTCGATAGAATAAATTTATGAAATGTCTAACGTCGTTGCAACTAATTATGGGAAGGTTCAAGGTGTCACAATAAACTCAGCCTTGGATGTGAATTATACAGCATTTTATGGAATTCCCTACGCTAAACCACCAGTTGGTAGATTGCGTTTCAAAGTAAGCTAATCAATTCAAGAAGAATTTTTAAAATAATTTAGAAATTTTGTTCAGGACCCACGAACACCAGAAAGGTGGGAAGGAATTTATGATGCTTCAAAGGAGAAACTTTGTTGTATCGGAAGAGATTCTTACTTGAAGAAAATCGTTGGATCAGAAGATTGCTTGCATCTGAATATTTACACGAAAAATGTATCATCAAGAAAGTCTTTACCCGTAATGGTTTATTTCTTTGGTGGTGCCTTCCAAACTGGATCCACATCAACTGATTTATATAGCCCAGATTATCTTCTAATGGCTGATGTAATTGTCGTCATGTTAAGCTTTCGTTTTGGACCTCTTGGATTTATGAGCTTTAAAGATGAGACTTTAAAAATCACCGGAAATGCTTGTTTGAAGGATCAATTAATGGGACTTCAATATGTCAAACATAACATTGAATACTTTGGTGGTGATGCCAACAACATAACATTGTTTGGTCACAGTTCAGGTGCAATGTCAATTAATCTTCTTAGTGCTAATGAACAAGCAAAAGGTGAGTCGATGAGGAACTTTATTTCAATTTCTTAACTTAAGCAACCATAATCAGGTCTTTTTAATAGAGCGATCATCATGAGTGATTTTATATTGAAGGATTCATATTTGACACAGCGAGAACAAAATTGGGCTTTACGTTTAGCTATGAAGTTGGGATATTCAGGAAATGATGAAGACAAGGATGTTCTGGAATTCTTGCAAAATGCAGACCCGATAAGAATGGTGGAAGAACAAAATAATCTTATTTTACCAGAAGAATCAAAAAGAACTCAATTTGCTTTTAAGCCAAATTTGGAAACTTATTTCAATGAACTTGCATCGAAATCGCCGATTGAAATGACTCGTGAAGCGTGGGGAAATGACATTGACATGATTTTTGGATGTGTGTCAGACGAAGGTCTTAATCAATTAACTTACATTAACCGTAATCCACAAATGATCACAAAATTGGATCTGAAAGACAAAATTCCAACTGACTTGAATTTAAATCTTGATGACGATCAATCGCGATCTAAATTTGCTGAACAACTTCAAACATTTTATTTTCCTAATATCAATCCAAATGATGTCGAATCAGAAGAAACAAAAAATGGTTTTTGTCGATTAGTTGCTGATAAAGAACTTTTATTGCCACTGTCACGTTCAATCAGAAGTCGCCAAAACTCAAGTGGAAAAGGAAAAACTTATTTTTATCGATTTGCATTTGATTCACCCACGATGAACACTTTTCGAACACAAAGAAACAGACCAAATGCACGAGGAGTTGATCATGCTGATAATTTGAGTTACATCTTTAAACATAATTACGGACCAATATGCGAGAAAGATTCGAAAGAATTTTCTGTCATCAAAAATTACATTTCATTTCTAACTTCTTTTGCTACAACTGGAAGTCCAAATGACGATGTGGCTCAAATTGCAACCGGAAATGTTATCCTATGGAAAGAAGTTGATTCGAAGACGCCGCCATTTAAATGTTTGAATATCTCTGAAACTATTGAATTCAAAGATAATCCCGACACTGATCGAATTGCTTTATGGGAAGAAATGTACACGGAAACCAACACACCACTTTATTAACTCTTTGAACGGTTTGATTAACTTAATGTTTAAATTCCATCTCAAATTTGTAAATAATTTAATTTTTAATAAAAAATAGAAACGTCAATACTTTTGAATGATTGCAGAATCTGACACAGATCCAGGTGGAAGTTCGTGATTTAAGGTTGTTGTTGACTCCATCATTTGATTTGTTTCGAAACTGTAAACAGGATACATTGGATTGAATGTTCGAGTACCCATCGAATGTTCTCCTTCTTCGTTTAGTTGCACAGCACTTCCCATTGCTTCATGGTACGAAGGTGGCGCTAATTCAAATTATTCCCTCAATTAATTATCAACATTTAATCATTAATCATAATTAACTTACGTAACTCTCTGTTTGTTTCTTGCGTATTTGATTGTGGATGAAGAATATCAGAAAATGTCAATAAGTTTCCAGTTGGCGATGGAGTCGAGGAAGATTGTTGGGAAACATTTAAATTATTTTGTGGTGAACTTAATGGAACAGTTCCGAGAGTAATTGGAAGTTTCAACACAGGATTGACATGAAGACCAGAAACTTTCGCTGTCACATGAATCTCATAAGAAACGTTAATCACTCGACAGTAATTTGTGTTTGATGGTGGCAATGGTGGAATAGCAAATCTCTGATCAAACTTTCCTTTACTTCTTTTCCGTACTTCGCCAGATCTAATTTCCTTTACGCTTATAATTTCTTCCTTCGTCTTCATTTTCGGCGTCTGACTGTGGTAACAAACGAGTTTCTTAAGTGAAACTTTAACATCATCAATTGCTATCCTCGATTCATTGTTGATTTCAATGCAGACGGGGATGTTCTGTCCTGGAACAAATCCAGACATTGGAATTGATGCTGCCATGTAAACCGGTGCCGTCTTGCAAAAACCACAAAAGAACGTGTCGATCTTTTCCACTTTTGTCGGTATTCTCAGAGCGGGATTTTCGTAATTTAAATCAAGTTGCTTGATGACAGTGAATGCAAGTTTATAAGTTAAATCGAACTTCCATGGACGATCAATAACAACATTAACTAAATATCTGATGTGTCCATGTTTAGCTTCGAAACTTGTCGGTAGAAGTGGCGGTAAAACAGATTGGAAGTTATACTGATATGTTCCTGGTTCCACTTCAATTTGATTACCTAGAATTAAAAAAATGTTGTTAATTAACTTTCTGAATTTGCAGTAATAAACAAAATTCATCGAATTTTCAGCTCGCTTTATCTTATCAGCTAACACAAAACGTCAATAATTAATATCAACCAAACTGATAAAATAAAGCAAATAAATTAGTTATCTTTGCGCTATTTTGTACCTTCTGGACCTCCAATAAGATAAGTTACTGAATTTAAATAATCTTCTCTTCCATTATAATTAACTATTTTCTGGTTCGTTGCATGATGGTTTTGTCCACTTTGGAATCGACTTCGACGTTCTCTCTATTCATGAAAAATATTTTTAAGCTCATGTATTTAAGTGTTTAATTAATGAAAACAAGAATCTTACTTCCGTCCAATGAACCTTAGCGAAACCTTCAATCTTCAAGATCAAACCTATGAGAATAAACTTGTAAAATTTACAATCATGTGTTTGGCTTTGATTTAAATGAATGTGTTTGATGTGTGCAACAATTTAGCTAAACGATATACTTGTTACTTAACATTACCTCGTAGTTTCTTTGGTTTATCAAATGTTAACTCAACTGTTCCCGACAAGGTCTTTGAAAATGAAAAATAAACTGTTAGGAATTTGCTTGAGACTTTATCAGTATGACAAGCCTACCTGACCAGCAAAGTAAATCCCATTTGGATTATTATCAAACTTAATTTCACATTTCACAACCATTTTTTGGAATTACTTTTCTCTTATGGCTAAATAAATAACTTTGAAGCACTTAAGGTTTTATTATCAGTAATTGATTATCATTTGCTGATAAATAAATATTTTCAATTATATTGCCTTTGTGTACAACACTTTTGTGATGTTCATGTTATCAACACGGAATGAAATGCTCCACTAACTCGAGAGAAACAACTTTACTTGTTGTGCAAATGTTGTTTCATTACTGAGAGAGGAAATGAGCAAGTTTTGTTATCATAAGCTGAGAATGTGCATCAAGATAAGTTGCTTAGTTCAAGCAAATTGAAAAATGTTTAAGAGAAAAAATTATTTTATGTTGAATATTGGAAGAGAAACTTAAAAACTTGACATAGAAGTGGAAATGTTGTAAACAAATTGAGATCAAATAATTACGATGGCAACATTAGAAACAACTTTTCAAAACAAACATTTTTATCCAAGTTGTGCCAACATAAAATTTAATTAAAAATTATTCAAAGGTGCGTAGTTGAAGATGAACTGCTGAAATCATCCATGACAAATTTAAAAAAATCACAAATAAATCAAACAAAATTCCTTCTGTGATGTTTTTATTGCACAATTGAATTTCACACTTCTACAGTTTTATTTCATTTGTGATGACAAGCAGCGGTATTGAACCCTCTTTTCACCCTGAACAAAACCTGAATTGAAAGCAGAAAAGCGAAGCAAGAAATTTCAAAAATGTTCTCGTGTTACAACTTTGGATATTTTCTGCTTTATAATTAGTGTAATACGATCTATCATTACAGCTTATGCATTGTTGTCGATGTTCATTTTGAATCTTGAATGAATGAACGAAATGAACAAACGATTGAAAAATAGTGTGAAATTGTTACATGGAAACGCCACAACGTTTGCAAACAATTCTCGCTTCATATAAATTCCTGTTGATTTTAACATAATTTAATTAAAGTTGACACAAATGTTAAACTTTCACGCTTAATAATCTTTCAAGTTGTTGTTATTTTCGGTCAACCCCTTTTCAAAACAAATTTTCTCTCTAATTAGTTCACAAGGGAATCGAGAAATGTATCCAATTAGCCGCAAAATACCATCATTAAATCATTGATTTTCTCTCTTTTTTATGTAGCAATAAATCATTTAGACGATGCTTTAAGGATCGTGTTACGCACTTTCCTCAACCAATTAAATTTTTCACTTGTATTGTTTTGTAAATTTCATTGAAGTGATAACAAAATATGACAGATTTTGTGTCTTTCTCCACCTAATCGCTGTTAAAAGGCAAAGAAGTGGTGCAAACATCAACAATGCAATTTTATCAATTTTTTTCAATCTTTTGTCCTTTTTCAAACTTTTGTTACACATTTACACAAATATTTCAATTACCTTGTCTTTCTTCCAGTGAATTTGAGATGTCACTTCAATCCCATCTATGGATTAACGGAGATAGGTGATGAAGTGATAGAAATCATAATCCATAAGAATATTTGAAAAGCAATTTTGAGTTGATTCACCTTGAAAGATAATTTTTAAAGTATTTACGATGATTTCCGAGTGATCTCTTGAATTTTATTTGCAATTTTTTACTTTAAATAATGCTCAGATTACAAACACATGCGCAACTAATGTCGTCTGATTTCATCCAATCACAAATTACCATTTCTCTGTTGCTACTGGAATCAACAACACTTTTCATTCCGCGTAAGGTAGTGAACAGGAAAAATCTTTTCTGCTGATGACGATGTTAAACGAGAAGCATCAAATTTCACAGTGATGAATATGAGACATCGCTTTTCATTTCTGAAAACTCAAATTTACTCGCTGATCATATGACAAATAAATTTCTTTTCGTTCTTATTTAAAGTCAGAAAATTGAAGAATATTGAAGTTTTTTTATTTTTTGGAAAAAAGTGAAAGATTTTCACAATCTCTAATTTATTTTTATTTAGAATCACTCAAAATCTGATGTGTTGAATGAAAACACAAGAATAATTCTCAAAATACTTCGTTTTAAATAAAATACTTTCAATAAATTAATTTCCCTTGCATTAATTTAATTATTTACCAGAACAAAAGATGTTTAAATGTCTAACATTCCAATGAAGCTTAAGATAGCTGCAGCGAATGAATCTCTATCTCTTAAAAGGCGGGGCATAAAAGGAAGATCAGTGTGGAATCTCTTTAAATACTTAATAAGAATTCTTTGAAGCAATCCCTGATTCATGCCCTGTGTTGTTACCAACACAAATAAAAATTGCAATCTGATCCTTTGAAATATTTTATGCTACTGACGCATGTGTTTGTGTTCAAAGCATAAATCACAAACTGAGTATTGAATAATCTTTTACTTCATTATGAAGCGTTGAAGTGTGTGGTATTAAAATTCATGAAGTGAAAATTTAATCAAAAAAATATAAATTAATTAAAATATAAATAAATTTATCTCAATTAAAAATCATGGATTCAAATATGAACCTCTCACCTTTAGCTAACTTAGAATCGCTAGAAGGTTCAATAAGTGAGAATAATAAGTCAGTTATGAATAGTTACATGCAATTGCAACATATGAATATGCCAGTGCAACGTAATGAACTTCATATGCTTAACAATGCATCATCAAAAGAACTTTTGGAGAATTGTTATCCATTGAAGACACATCAATCGTCAATTAACATTAAAAATAATCATCATCAAATCATCCACAACAATAATAATGTCAATCTTGAATTATCAAAATCTAAACACGACTCTAGTGAAACTTCTTACAATTCATTTAATTCACAAAATGAAAACATTGAAAATCAGAACGATGAGAATTTTCTTCAACCATCGCTCGGATCTGGTGGTGAAATAAGCATGGAAGTAAATAAAAAATATTTATGTTTTAGTGCCGATCAAGTTCAGTGTATGTGCGAAGCACTCCAACAAAAAAATGATATCGAAAAGTTGGCAACATTTTTGTGGAGTCTTCCATCGGATCACCTTATGTGCAACAACGAATCCATTTTAAGAGCTCGTGCGATTGTTGCTTATCATCGAGGAGCCTTCCATGATCTTTATAACATTTTAGAAACGCATTGTTTCTCGATTAAACATCATTCAGATTTACAAAGTCTTTGGTGAGTGAACAACGAAAAAATATTTTCTGTTTGTTTTAAAATTATAGAAAATTATTTCAAAAGGTTTAAAGGCCATTATCGAGAAGCTGAAAAAATCCGCGGTCGTGCTCTCGGAGCTGTTGACAAATATCGTTTAAGAAAAAAGTATCCACTACCGAAAACAATATGGGATGGCGAAGAAACAGTTTACTGTTTCAAAGAGAAAAGTCGGAATGCGCTGAAAGATTGCTACACGAGAAACCGATATCCGACGCCTGATGAGAAGGTTTCATTTTCTATTGTTGAAAGATAAATGTTTGATCATTTCATGAGTGATTTAATTACAGAAAGTGCTAGCTAAAAAGACCGGCTTAACCCTAACACAAGTGTCTAATTGGTAAGGAATGCATTTACAAAATTCACTGCTTTTTATTCTGAAATATTAAAATATATTTTTTTGAAAGGTTTAAAAATCGACGACAACGTGATCGAACGCCTCAAAGTCGATGGTGAGTTTTTGTGTTTTTTAAAAGAATAATTTTAGTACATTTAGAGACTGCAACGTACATAAATCATAAACTAAACAGTTTAAAAATCTATTAATGTCTCATGACATGCTTCAACATAAATGCAAAGAAATTCACATGAAAAACATGTGTTTAAAGTCCTTTTATTTCATTTCTTGTGTGTCAATGTCCCCTGCTGGCTGTCAATATAATAATTGTTAGATAATCCCATTTTTGGCACTGAACATCCCAACAATGCATATGATGCAAGATTTCCATTGTGCACTTGAGATCATCCCTAGAAATGTTTCTATTCTCATCACATGTTTTTCCCTTTGTTCTCAGTGACATGCATCTTCCGGCGATTGGTGATGACAATTTCCAAAGTCGACTATTTGGATCTTACACAACATCATCAGTGAGTTCTACACAGTTTCAACATCATTCAAATATCACGTTCGGTGGTGATCAACAAAAATATCAAATGTGAAACATGGTCAATGACTTTAACTTTGGATCTTAATAAATATCAAAGAAGTTCATGAACTTAAGGAAACAAAAATGCAAATTCAACTAAAATTCACGGAACTCAGACATAAATATTTTTTTTTGTTTCTCAAACGGATCAAAATAAACTTCCGATTATGTGGTGAGTAACATTAGACATGCACAATGCATTGTAACACGTAGACATAATAAATAAAATGAAATGTTTATTAAACATCGTTCTAAGATTATGTGAAAAAAAAATGAATGTTGAAACTGATTCCAAGCAACTAAGAAAAGAATCATTAATTACATTTAATTTGTTCAATTTGCCAAAAACTATTCAGTGATAAGAAAGAAAAAAGTTTAATAAATAAATGTGTGACGTTTTAAATCTCAACTTCAGTGTTTAGTAAACTTTAACTCATTGTAATTTTCTGAGATATACATTTGATAATAATAAACTTATAATCTTTGAATAACTTTGGAATGTTTCACATTAGTTTGATGTTCCCTTGATAGTCCCTTAGAATTCTTTTAGAGTGAAGTTCTGAGTCTGTAATGGCTGAAAATAAATTAAAATGAGTGAAGATCTTTGCCATCATCTCTTTCACTCACTCTTTATGATTCAATTAGAATTTTGATTTACTTTCATCCTCAAATCACACCTCAAATATTTTCTATTGCCACTAATTAAATTTGATAAATTACAAGACTAAAAAATAAGAAAAGCGATCAAGTCGTGGAAAATAATTTTTCCAACTTGTTGCAAAAACGAACAAGAAAAGTTTAAGACTTTTCTTGTCATCATTTAAAAGGTTTCATTAGCTTAAAGAGAAGACAAAGAAAATAAATAATCTGACGACTTTGAAAACTAAAAATTCTCCACTTTGTTTTGCCAAAGTCTTTATTTGCTTTCTTCAGTGGTTTGGAAAATATTTCAAATGTAAGCGGTGATCTAAATTCATTATTTTCTCTACTCCAAGATCTAATCTTACAATCTCAATTTTCTCTAATAAAATTCGAATTTCCTTGCATAAGTTTCAAGCTTAAGATTAATTTTAATTCTACTCAGTGATTACGTATCAGATAAGTTTCAATTAATTTTAAATTTTGACTGGAAGGCTCTTGAAAAATTTTCATCTGAAACTGTTTAAATGCAATTTCATTTTTTAATTTAGAATTTACAACTTTTTCAAACTGAACTATCTACTACTTCAAAATAAATGCATTTAAATTCCAAGTAGATAGATAACAAGCTTTGTAAATATTCTTGTGCGATTCTAAGTCCTAAGATTAGCAGGCGTTAATGTTATTTCAGGGGTTCTTTCATCTTTTAACTTTACATGATTTTGTGGTGATTTCCTAATCACTTCAAGAGCTTCTTCGAACGGTGGTGGTGGTGGCAATGGTACTTTAAATTATGAGAAAGTTAAATAAATTAACGGTAAATTTTATAGAAAGTTAAAAATTTAGAAATCAACTCACGATTTCCTTCAATAGCAGGAGAAGTAACTGCTTGTTTATTGCTGTGAACATCGGGATAAGCAACAATTGTTGATCCATTTCCATTTTGTTCTGAAGTGTTTGGCTCAGAGAAATTTATTTCAGTTTCTGAGACGCTATAATCTGATTGACTTATCTTCAAAGGAACTGAACCGATAGTTATTGGTATTATAATCACAGCATTTTTATGACAGTCGGGAACTTCTGCCTCAACTTTGATTTCATATGAAACTTGAATAAGATTTGAGTATTTAATATTTGTATTAATCATCCTTTCAGGTAATTTCAAATTCTTCACAAATTCAACCGAACTTGAACCATCAACACCATCGTGATAATCTTCAATTATTTTTTCTATGTCAACATTTGTTCTTCGGTGTGGAATGTCACTAAAAAAATGAAATTAAGAATGATAAATTGCTTCAATTAAGAAAACTTTAATTACCCTTTGTATCTAATAATTCGCTTCAGACTGATTTTCGTTGATAGCACTTCAATTCCACTCTTATTGTTGTAATTCACGGTGACTGGAATGATCTGACCAGGTGCAAAGCCAGTAAAAGGTAGCGTTACAGTGAATATAAGGAAATCTGTTGTACAAAATAAACAACAATATTGTCGAATTTCTTCACTATGACTTGGAATTTTCAACAAGGGCTCGTCATTCAAATCAGCTTTTTGTTCAATTCTGAACATAATTTTGTAGTCTTCATCAAAGCCCCATGGAATTTCAATGACTGCTTTACAATAATAATCAATGTGTCCAAAGGATCCATCGAAATTGGCTGGTAAGGAACGTGGCAAATGACATGAGAAATCAAATTTGTAAGTGCCGTTCCTCATTTTTATCTGACGTCCTTCGGGAGTTCCTAACAAATATGTTTTGGTGTCCAAATATACTTCCTTCCCTTCATAATTGAAAGCCTTTTTCACTGTCCTTCGGTTTCCACCCGATCCCCTTGACTGTGCCCTTTCCTCTGTCCAGTAACATTTCGCAGCACCATATACAATGAAGTAAACTCCTAAAAATTATAGATTAAATAGAAATTCATACCAACTATAAATAGATTAACAAGGTAATCAAAATAAAATCATCGACATCGACAAATATTTGTAAGTGTATAAATTTTTAATCATTATTTGAACTCATTCAACTGAATGATTATTAATTAAATATGATTGATGGTTTTAGGAAGAATGCAAAGCTTATTTTTAATCATAAAGATAAAATCTCTAACATTTTTCAAGTTTCATGATTTGCATACATTTGAAGTGATTTTCCTCAAAAAATTATAATTTTCCCACAACTTTATCAGTAGGATTTTAATCTAAAGTAAATAAACAAAACTATAAAACTACAAGCATGCGCAAATAAAGAGAAAGGCAGCCTTGTAAGGCCAAGGGAATAAAGATAGTTTATAAATTTTTGATTCTTTTCAGATTCCTTTTTCGCTTTTTAAATTCTATTCACCTTGAATTCGTTTGGTTTGTTGAAGTTTCACCTCAACAATTCCTATTTGAAGAAGAAATAAAAATTGTAAATCTCTTCAAAGATGTTTTGGTGTATTCTTTGGATTAACTAGCTATGCAACGTGTGTCAAACCTTTCAATGTGTCCCCGGCATAATAAACTGCATGGCTGTTATTCTCCAAATAAATCTTACAACGCATTGCTAGTTATTATTCAGTCTATGTTATCACTCTACACATTTTACAGTTGTGCACTTTCGATTAGCACCGTAACGAATGTCAAGCGACTGCTACACATCACGAACGAGACACTAATGAAAGCAACGGCAAAAAAAAAGGGAAATTTGCAAAATAATCAATTTTTTACTCTCGCGAAAAAGAAAGAAACAAAAACAACAAAAAAACGTGACAAAAACAGTCACAAATGAAACGCACACCTTGGCACGAATATGGAAATTCCTTTACTAGATATTACTGAAAACTTTCATGCTCATTTTTCAAAAAGCTTAGAAAATAGCATGATATGATGTTGGTAATTGTTTCATTGAAGTGACTTTTAGAAAACTAAAATGTTTATTTTTCTGTTCTGTGAACTTGAACTTTGTTTTTATTGGACTTTGATTTGTTTCATAAGTAGACATGAAGTCAAGGTTTTCCCAAAAAAAAAGAACTTTTTCCATTACATTCTATTTGTTTTTTGACAAATTTAAGTAATAAATCATCGTACTTTAGCTTGATTCATGATTGTGAGGGGAAATGTAAAAGATTAGAATGTTTGTGGCACTTGTTCATCGATAGTAATGTTTATTAAATTTTTAATTGATTTTTTGGTAAATATTAGAAAAGTTATTGTAAAAAAAATAATGTCTACATTATATCATCTAGTTTTGATCTTTTGATTTTATCATAATAATCAGATCTTAAAGAATATCCACGGAAATATCGAAGATTCATACAATTAGCACATTTAAGTATCTAACAAATAAGTTCGTGCGAATCTAATCATATAAGACACAAATTAACACCCAATTTCGTCAAAATTTTATTGTTTCTCTGGTGCTGAAGGAATATTTTGAGATACGCTCCATCCAACATTAGAAGTTTCGCCATGAGACGACAAAGACGGTTGTACATTTGGAGCAATCTTTAAAGCTTCTTCAAAGCTTGGTGCTGGAAGTGAAAATATTTTAATTTAAAGAAATTTCAATTTATGACTTATCACTTACGAAGATCAAATTCAGGAGCTGAAGGAGGTTTTTGCTCAGATTGATCTACAATAGGAGCCGATGGAAACGGTCCCGATGCTGAAGTTGAAGGAACATTTTCACCATTGCCTAAGCTCATTCGTAATGGAATTGAGCCAATTGTAATTGGTATCTTATGAGTTAAACCTGAATGACATCCTAAAACGCCCGCTTCAACTTCCACCATATACATAACTTGAACGACATTACAAAATTTAGAATTTGAACATACAGCAGCACTAGGAATTTCAAGATTCTTTTGAAAAGTGCAGGAATTTTCTGGTCCCACGCCATTACATGACAAATTGGAAATTCTATCAGCTTCAGTTTTAGTTTTATGATGTGGCGTTCACTGAAATTAAAATATTAAATAAATTTTGTGAAGGTTCAAATCATTTTTCACACTCACCTATTAAATTTCACAACTTTCACCAACGAAATTCTGGTGTAGTCAATTTCAACATTACTTTTGTTGTTATACTTTACTGTCACTGGAATAATTTGTCCTGGTGTAAATCCAGAATAAGGAATAGTTACGGTCATAAAGAGTGGGTCTGATTCACAGAACAGACAACAAAATGTTTTCGATTCTTCGTTTTGAACAGCAATTGACAGTCCTGGATCATTATTCAGATCTTCAAGTTGAACAACTGTGAATTGAACTTTATATTCTTTGTCAAATCCCCAAGGTACGTCGAGAACTGCTTCAATATGATATCGTATATTGCCATAAGATCCTTCAAAACTTCCAGGAATCATAGGAGGAAGCTGACAAGTAAAATTAAAGCGATGAGTTCCACTCTCAATTTCTGTAGCTTCTGCACCTGGAGCGCCAAACAAATAAGTTTTTGCGTTCAAGTAAACATTTTTCCCTTCAAAGTGAACAGTTCTTGAACGCGTGCGACGATTTTTTCCACTTCCTGATGTATGCCTTCTAGTTTCAGTCCAATGACACTTTGCGCGTCCATTCAACACAAAGTAAAATCCTAAGAAACATTGCATAGAAAATTCAGCACATTGATGAGTGTACAATCATCATACAATACAATCAGTAAACAAAACAAACGCTTCACACACACATTAACAATTCACGCAACCTTGAAAATAATTTTCGGAAGATTCAATGCTGAACTATGTTTACAGAAATCCCAAATTATTTGATCTGTAACTCACCTCTGAACTTTTTAGGTTGTTCAAGGAACAGTTCAATCGTTCCTAGAATAATAATCAAATATTAACAATCTATACATTTTCTATAAATAATAAATGTACCTTGTAATGTATCGCCAGCTCTATAGACAGCATAAGTATTATTTTCTAAATTTATTGTACAATGGACCATGTTATCTTGATGTAATTAAGATTCTCAATTAATAAGTATATTTATTTTTGTTAAAAATAAGATAAAAAACAACAACTATAACAGGGAAATTACAAAGAACAGATTCAACAGCTTGAACCGTCTAACTGAAAGCTAACGATTGCCAAAAAAAAATTATTTCTGAACACACACATACAAACATTTAGGTGTGGTGTATTCAATGCATATGTTCTTTGATATATTCTGCATATGGATGAGAATTAAAAAAGCTCTAGAAAATATATTAAAATAAAATATAAATATTTTCCTGAAAGTTTCTTTCAAACTGAAAAGCTTAATTAGACAATTTTTTTGAGCAAAAGTCAAATTGTTTTTATGCTCTTAAGCCTAATTTAAGTTAATCTTTATTTAAAGTAAATTCAGTGCCTTAAGTAAAGTTCTCTGTATCATGTGAACATTTATACTGGACATTTAAGACACAATGAAGTAGTAAATTGAAAAAACATGAAAAATTATATAACATTGATTTCATTTAGTTTGTGGTTGCATGTAAGACTATAATTTCTCCATTAAAAGCTTTAATGATTTTTAAATTGTATGACATAGACAGTCACTTAAATAGTGACGGCGCGACACATGACACGTTTTATATTTTTATATTCCTGATTATTTTTATAAACTTAATTATTTGTTTTTAAAGCGATAAATTTGTAAATAACTTTTAAACATAAAATTATTAAAAAAATTTCAGTTGTCATCACTTCTTTTACGAGTAAAAAACTATTTAGAGATCTTTGAAGAAAATGCTAATTGTTGTCAGTATAATTTTCTTTATAATTTTATAATTTCTTTCATAAGGACTCAATCCATAACTTGTTGTGGCAGTCTTTGATTATGGAGCGTGTTCATTAATTGCTGTCTCTGTCTTTATCGCTTCTTCAAAGGATGGAGCTGAATAAAACAGGAAAGAAGTAAAGAATTTATTATTTAAATTAAAAAGTTATTTATTACGCAAATCTTCGTTGGGTGCTGATGCTGAAGGCACATAAGGTTGTTGTCCATTAGTATTAAACGCCGGAGCTGAAGGATTTGGCGCATTAAAGAATGGCTCAGGATTTTGGGCCGGCATAAAAGTTGCAGTTTGATTTAATGGTTGAGTGCTTATGGGAATAGCACCAATTGTTATGGGAAAGCGAAACTTCACATTTTTATGACAAGCATTTGTAAATATTTCAACTTTGAGCTCGTAGAAAATTTGAAGGACATAACAAAATGCTGAATTTGATAACACCATTCCTTGTGGGAGTTTGATTTTCTGTGTAAATGCGTTTGAAGACTGCTTCCCGACACCAGGAAAGGAAACTTTAGTGATACAGGTTTCCTCTGTTTTTGTCGCACGGTAAGGAGTTTCACTTTAAAAAATTATTCAAAAAGGAATTTAAGCATGCAAGAGAATTTTACGCATTGAACGTCACCCACCTGTGGTACAAAATAATCCTCAGTACATAAATTTTTCCACCTCGAATTTCTTTATTACTTTTGTTATCAAATTCTATGGTCACGGGAATTTCTTCTCCTCGTACAAAGCCCAATCGAGGCAATGTTACTTTTATGTAAAGTGGCTCAGACATACAGAACAGACTACAAAATTTCCTAACTGCTTCACCAGATGTTGCTAAATTTAAACTTGGATCATTGTTCAAGTCATCTGCTCGTATGACTGTAAATCCTAACTTGAATTCTTTATTAGAAGACCAAGGAACATCGAGAACTGCTTCAATATGATAACGAATATGACCATGAGATGCTTCAAAACTTCCTGGAATCAAAGGTGGCAATTGACAAAGAAAATCATATCGATGAGTTCCACTAGGCATTTGAATAGAGTCTCCACCCGGTGAACCAAATAAATAAGTTTTAGTGTTCAAATAAACAGTTTTTCCATTGAAATGACTGTCATCTTTAGTTCTTTCCATTTTCCAACGGCACTTGGCAAGACCATAGATAAGAAAGTAAAGACCTGTTTGTAAACATATAAATTATTAGAAAAGTTCTCATTTTCAGAATAAGTTTCATCATTGTGAATTATGATACGCATGCGTCGATTGTGTATTTTAAACACATAGAAATAAAAAAGCCTTAAACATTATTTTTTATATCTCTTCGATGGAATCACGAAATTCTGAATATTTAGGCTTATGGCAATCTCGATTTCGTTCTGACATTCATTAAAGAAATTACCTCGAAACTTTTTTGGTTCATTTAATTGTAATTCGATGACTCCTAGAATTCATAAAAGATGAAATTTTAAACATTTTTCTTCAAAATTAACTTCTTCTTTTGTTTCATTTCACCCTTTATTGTATCGCCAGCTACAAAAACCCCATTAGGATTATCAAACATAATGTTACAGTGCACCATGTTAAGTCACTATTTATCAGTTATTGATCACCTTTAATAAAAATCTTTAAAATTTCATAAAAATCATAAATCCAAAACACCGAAGCGCGACTGAGTGAATGCCTATCAACACAAGAGACGAAGTTTTAGAATATCACATCTACATTCACAATATCAGAAAGCATGGTTTGCCTGCTGCGGTGTTTGTTGTGACATGAATAAACAAAGTATATTGAATATCAACAGATACAAACATGAAAATTCTCTCTTATTTTAATTCTGTTAACATTATATTTATTACCTTTCTTTTAATGTTTGCAAGTAATAATTGTCATTTAAAGATACGTCGTGAAACATTTCATAATATCAAAAATCATCTTAAGCATTGAATTTCTTTAAAATATTTAAGCACTTTAGCATGAAAAAAAAAAATCTTCATTTTTATACCAATTAGAAAAAGAGTTCTGTGATTATTATGCTTACAAAGCTTATAAATGAGTAACTTCTTCACATATAAAATAATTACATAAAATTCCTGAGTAGACATATAAATATTTTAAATATGCTTCAGGTATGTATACAAAGTTCATGAAATTTCAGTTGTAAATTACACATTTAAGGCTTGTTCAAAAATTTGAGATTCAATGTTTCAATTTTTAAGCACTCCAACCATAACTGGAACTAACGCCCTTAGATTCCGGAGTTTGTTCATTCATAGTTTTCTCTGATTTTGTTGCTTCTTCAAAGGATGGAGCTGAATAAAACGGGAAAGAAGTAAAGAATTTATTATTTAAATTAAAAAGTTATTTATTACGCAAATCTTCGTTGGGTGCTGATGCTGAAGGCACATAAGGTTGTTGTCCATTAGTATTAAACGCCGGAGCTGAAGGATTTGGCGCATTAAAGAATGGCTCAGGATTTTGGGCCGGCATAAAAGTTGCAGTTTGATTTAATGGTTGAGTGCTTATGGGAATAGCACCAATTGTTATGGGAAAGCGAAACTTAACATTTTTATGACAATCATTTGTAAATATTTCAACTTTGAGCTCGTAGAAAATTTGGACGACGTAACAAAATGCTGAATTTGAAAACACCATTCCTTGTGGGAGTTTGATTTCCTTTATAAATTCGTTTGAAGACTGCTTCCCGACACCCGGACAGTAAACTTCAGTGACAAAGTCTTCTTGTGTTTTTGTCTTACTATGTGGAGTTTCACTTTGAAAAAATATTTAAAGAAAATTTTATCATACAAAAGAATTTTATGCATTAAAATTCACCCACCTGTGGTACAAAATAATTCTCTTCACATAAATTTTTCCACCACGAATTTCTTCATTACTTTTGTTTTTAAAATCTATGGTCACGGGAATTTCTTCTCCTGGTGCAAAGCCAGTTCGTGGCAATGTTACTTTTATGTAAAGTGGCTCAGACTCACAGAACAGGCAACAAAATTTCTTAACTTCTTCATCAAACGTTGCCACTTTTAAACTTGGATCATTGTTCAAGTCATCTACTCGTATGACTGTAAATCCTAACTTGAATTCTTTATTAAAAGACCAAGGAACATCGAGAACTGCTTCAACACGATAACGAATATCACCATGAGATGCTTCAAAACTTCCTGGAATCAAAGGTGGCAGTTGACAAAGAAAATCATATCGATGAGTTCCACTAGGCATTTGAATAGAGTCTCCACCCGGTGAACCAAATAAATAAGTTTTAGTGTTCAAATAAACAGTTTTTCCATTGAAATGAACTGTTTCACTTGAAGTTCGACGATTTTCTCCACTTCCTGTAGTTCTTTGTCTTGTCTCTGTCCAATGGCACTTGGCGCGACCATAAATAAGGAAGTAAAGACCTGTTAGCAAACATATTAATTATTAGAAAAGTTCTTCGATATTTTTTCATTAATAAATTGTCGATGAGTAACGTACACTATTATACATACGCATGCGTCGATTGTGTATTTAAAACATATAGAAAAAATAATACGACCTTGAACATTATTGTTCTAAATTTCAAACGAAATCACGAAATTCTGAATATTTGGGCTTATGATAATCTCGATTTCGTTCTGACATTCATTAAAGAAATTACCTCGAAACTTTTTTGGTTCATTTAATTGCAATTGGATGACCCCTAGAATTAATAAAAGATGAAATTTAAATATTTTTTCTTCAAATTTAACTTCTTCTTTTGTTTCATTTTACCCTTTATTATATTGCCAGCTATAAAAACTCCACTAGCATCATCTAAAATAATGCTACAATGCACCATATTAAGTCACTATTTATGAAGAAATTGATCACTTTTAATAGGAACTGAAATATTTAAAATTCTAATTAAATCATAAATCCAAAACACCGAAGCGCTACTGAGTGAATGTCAAAAAATCAACACAAGAGACGAAATTTTAGAATATCACATCTACATTCACAACAAGATCACAATATCAGAACGCATGCTATGCTTGTTTCAATGTATGGTTAAAAAGTCAAATGATTAAATATCAGCAGTTTTCAAACATGAAAGTTGTTTGGTTTTTCATATTTTTATTACCTAACTTCTTTAAATCGTTATAAGAAATAATTGTCAATTACAAAATGTTATTTTTTATTTGGGATTAACTTTTGAGATTTATTCTGGCTGACCAGTGGGGAAGTTAACTTCAGGCTCTCATTGAGGGTCTGATTCAGGATCCGATTCAGGTTTCGATTCTGGGTCTGATTCAGGGTTCGATGGGGGTTCTGACTCAGGTGAGGATTGAGAAGATTCAGGTTCTGAGTCAGAACCGTTCTGACTCAGGGTTCGATTCAGAATCTGATACGAAGCCTGAAATAGGTGAAGATTCGGGATCCGATTCCGGTGAAGATTCAGGGTCTGATTCGGGGTCCGATTCCGGTGAAGAATCAGGGTCTGATTCAGAGTTCGATTCCGGTGAAGATTCAGGGTCTGATTCGGGATCCGATTCAGGGTCTGATTCAGATTGCGATTCAGGGTCGGATTCGGAACTTGATTCAGGGTTTGATTCGGGTTCTGATTCAGGGTCCGATTCGGGTTCTGATTCAGGGTTCGATTCAGCTGAAGATTCAGGGTGAGAATTGAAAACTATCTTATAAAAATGACTCGAAAAGTTTTCTGAAAAGTCTTTATTTTAATTGTACTGTGTGGACTTATCAATGGAGGTAGTGACAGTACACCAGAAAGCTTGTCAGAATCAGTACCAGAATCTCTTCAATCCTCACCTGAGTCAGAACCCGAACCGAACCCTGAATCAGAACCTGAATCAGAACCTGAATCTTCACCTAAATCAGGTCCGAATAGATCGAGAAGGAGAGGCACTACCCAAGTGGAACCGGGTTACAACAAATGTGAAAGAAAACTTCCTTCTTAATCGCTGTATTTGAAACCTTCTATGCAAAATCAGAATAATGAAATGAAAAACAAACAAAAAACTAATCAGAAAAATATATTTTTAAATCAAGAATGTTATTGGAAGTTCGAATTTCACATTTCCATGATAATCGAAGATCAGTATTTTAACTTTGAAATCGTAGAAATTCGCAATATGCTGATTTTTAAGAAACCATTTTCTGTGGGAGTATAACTCCTTTTGTAAATGCGTTTAAAGACTGCTTCTTGACACCGGGAAGAAAGGCAATCACTTTCGAATTTTTTTTATTTTTAAAATGTTTTTCATGTATTAAATGTCACCCACCTGTTGTGCATTATAATTTTCTTCACATAAACTTTCCCACCTCTTATGGTATTTTCAGATTTGGATCATTGTTGTTCAAAACTTTATGACGAACAACTTAGAATGACAATGTGACAATGTGAATTACTTATTAAATAACCAAGAAATATCGAGAACTACTTTTACATAACATAATATAAGTTGTTTCAAGGCTTGCCGTTATGAAAAGTGGAAGTTGAAATTGAGTTCCACTAGGCTCAAAAGCAGATGCACCCAGTGATCTAATTAAATAAGTTTCATTGTTTTCATAAACGGTTTTAAGCTTTCAAACATAAAAGCTCTCTCTTCTGTTTCTTTCCTTTAGTCTTGAAAAACTGAACTTTCCTGAATCATGCAATATTCGATACACAATTTAACTTTTTTACCTTAAAATCCAATTAAACTGTACATTGTTCCTGTTCATAGTTCATAGAGGTTGGCGATTAATAAAAACTAGTAAATATAATTGAACATTTTCATACTTTAATTTCAAGAAATGCGATAAATTCAATTAAAACAAAACAAAACATGGGCATGAAATTAGAATATTTAAAATTAATTAAATGATTGAAACGACGGATTGAAAGGCAATTAGGTATATTGTTTGATTCTTTTTTATTATTAATTTTAAATATAAGTAACAACAGGTATGATGTATATTACTGAACAACAAATATCTGATTGACGTTAATAAGCAATTGAGGTAGACACTTAAGGCAACATTAATTGAGCGATGATCGCAACTTAATAAGGTATAAATTCTGATTTGCAAGCAATGGCGTTCCCATCAGGGCTCGGGAATAAAGCCCGAGTACGGATACTTAGTATAAATTATGAATTAGATAATTTGTTCAAAGTTAAGTTTTAGAATTGGAATTTGTTTTCAAAATTTTGTTAGAATTAGAATTGACACCGATTCCAAGTCCTGCGCTTTGAATCACTATGCTATAGAAATAAGAGATTCTTTTTTATTAGTTAGTTCTTGAGTGACGCTGAATGTGACATAAAATCATTATTTTAATGATCTTTGATCTCCAAAGCTGGTAAATTATTCATCAATATATGGAATTTTTTTCATTGGTTCTTCATACGGAGCCGAAGCTGAAAGTCATTGGAATCTCATTAATTTTTTTTATTATTATAAATAATTAATATTTAATGAACACTTACGAAGTTGTTGAATGGCAGTTGTAGTTATAGGTTTCATATTGAGAGGAATAGTTCCGATGGTAATAGGAATCGTCATCTCAATATTGTCGAAGAAAGCAACTTCTGCTGTCACTTTAACTTCATAACAAACTTTGATAAGTTTTGAGTAATTCACGCTAGTCAAGAGTGAAGCGAAGGATACGAATAAACTTTGAGATAAATCAACGTTTCCTTGACCTGCTGCAACTCCGGGACCATACAATTCGAGAATTCTTACACGATCAGTGTGTGTGTAACCATAATTATCAGCATGAAAAGTGTCGACTCGAAAGAGATTGAAAATTGTTCTTCGGATCTTGACTTTACCAAAATTCTCATAATTCACATTAATGTCAATTTTTTGTCCAAGAGAATAACCAGTTTGAGGCAATGATACCTTCATGACAACAGGATGAAATTTGAAGCAACAAATTGAGTATTTTTTGGTCTCCTCATTCGCATAAGGCAGCATAAGTTCTGGATGATCATTAAGATTTTCTTGACGAACAACTTGAAATTGCACCTTGATTTTTTTATCAAATTTCCATGGCACGTCCAGATTTGCTTCAATAGTGTAACGAATATGGCCAGTCTTAGCTTCAAAGCTTCCTGGAAGTAGCAATGGCAGTGGACAAGCAAAACTGTATCGATGAATTCCTTGATCAAGTTTAACTTGACCATCATGACCAATCAAAACAGTTTTTTCATTTAAATAGATTTCATTTCCTTCACATGCAAAACTTTCAGTTTCCGATTCGGTTTCGGATTCAGTTGTCCTAGTATGACTCCATGCAGTATGTGCTTTGCCATACACTAGAAAACTCAATCCTAAAACAAAAAGTTACTATTAAATTTACCTTCATTTGAATAATTAACACATACCATTGATCTTCTTAGGCTGGTCAAGATGTAACTCTATTGTCCCTGAAAGTAATATTTGATTGATTAGCATCTATTAATAGATAACTTCAAAAAGTTTTAGTAAAATCAACACAATATTTACCTTTCAGCACCGATCCCGCAATGAAAACTCCTGCAGTGTTATTTTCAAGACTTATAATACAATCCACCATGATGAAGTGAAATGAAATAACTTCAAATTCATTTATTTATCTAAATTGTAGAAGAAAAACTAACTTACTTTTCTAAGAATAAAAGTTGTTTTTAAAATTTGTAGACAAATTTCATGTCAGCAATGTCAAAACATTGAAGGAAGCATTAAACATAGTTGAACGTTGCGCTGAAGCATGAAAACATTCAACATTAAGAAACGATGTTACAGAGCATTCAAAACAATGTTCCACAACATTGAAAATGGAACATTTATTATTCCCCATGTTTTATTTCTACACTTTCGTTTTAAAAACATCATCAAGCATAAAAGCGATTCAAATCACAACGTGGCTGTCTGTTACATCTCTCGACGTAAGAATTATAATTCGTGTTAAATTAGAATTCATCAGCACGCATTGAATAAAAGATGCCACGGTCATCTATGCATAGAGAAACAGAGAAAAAGGGTTCTTTTCATGCTACCTGTTATTATGTTCTTCTATCGTAATAAAAAAAAATTCGAAAACAGAAAATAACATAAAGATTGATTTTAACGTGATGCCAACAAGCGAGGGTCTTAAATTGATAAAATACGACAGAGTGAAAGGCAGCATGCTGAGTACAGAAAAGGTAAAGAAGATTAAGCAATTAAAAGAGCTGAACGTTAGAAATTTATTGAATTTGTATTTAATTTATTTCTTCGAACATCTTCTTCTTCTTACCTATTTTTGCACAATTCTTTTCGATTGGGAACAAACTTTCAAATAATCTTTGTTTGGCTTATGAATCTTCATCTTCTCCATTTAGTGTGTCACAATGATGATGTTTAAGAAAGATTAATGTAAGAGTTTCTTTTGAGGGTTGAAAGATGGATTTAATTTCTTTCTAATTCTATTTTTTTTTGGGAAAAGCTGAAGCATTAAACATAAAAATTCACGAAACATAAAATTACATCCTCTACTTTAATTCTTTTTTTATTCTTCTTATTGTTTGAAATAAACGGAGAACGAACGCTGATGAGATATTCTAGTTGAGTAAGATTACCTGAATGGTATGCTATCTAATCTGTAATTATATTTTGTTTTTAAGACCCTTCCTTCTAACCTCAGCAACGCCTCAAAAATATAATTCTTCAGGTGAATTATTAAACATCTCATATCCTTTAGCAATGTATTCATTTAAAATAAATTCTTACAGAGTTTTGTCAGTGCCTACGATCGTCTCGTCTGTCTCTATTTCCGAGAGCTCAGCAGAACGACAATAAATATTTGTAGGAGCCCTGCCTGTATCTCAGTTTAACTTTTTTTTCTGTATGCTTTAAACGTTTTAAAATACCATCGTTCACAAACGTTTCTCATTCATCGCGTCTGATGGTATGTATTCAGACTTTTCAAAAGGTTAGTAAGAAACATTGTGTAAAGTGAAATCGACGATGATGAATAAGTGTGAGTGAATAAATATCACGTCACCTGAAACTTCAGAGCATTAGTTAATATTACGAAGGCACTCATGTAAGAAATTGTGGAATGAACCCCTCTTAAGCGGCGATGTTAATAGTAGTGGTGGTAATACGCTTTTACAAAGTGAGACTCTTCAGTTGAATCGAGACTTTTAAACGTGAAACAAGCTTACATTTAAGAGCGTTTTAAATTCATCCAATTTGAAGAAGATAATCGAAACACAGAACTTATTTAAATATTCCAGAAACTAAAATATAATTGCGAGCTAATACAAAATATACCGTGAAGAAAATATTTCGTATACACAAGTGTTCTAAGTTATTAAGAATCATTTTTCCACCTGTCGTATTCACGCTCCATTGACATTGAAGCGCATCCATTATGCTCGAACTCGAGTAATAATATAAAATATCTATTATACAATGTTAAAAAAAATAATAAATAACATAGAAAAAGAGATTGTTTGATCAAATTTCCTAGGTGCAAAAAAGAAATAGAAAAAAAAAAGTTAATCAAGAGGATTCGTGAACTTTACGTTTCCATAGCTGCAAACGGTTAATAACAATCGATGATTCGCCTCTACGCCGTAGTATTTTCGTAGAGTGTAAAAAGCCGTGTAGAAAGTAATAATGTCGATTGAAGTGAAATTGATTGTCTTCGCCATATTATCATATAGCACAACAGCTATAAACGGTGTCATCCAACATGTGGAAATAGAAATACAAGAAGATGTTCCAGCCGACAACTGCAAACAATTTATAGAGACTTTCAAGGTATGAAATGATGTTCATTGTCCCAGAATATTTATTTATTTATCTAACATGAAAAGTTTTCAAACGGAAGAGGGCTTAGTTATAAAGATAAACTTGCCGAACCTGTAGCCGTGATTCATGATGTCTGAATACATTTAGTTAAGTAGCTAAAAGCTAACAAGTTAAAAGCCGAGCCAATGTGTAATCGGATTTACTCACGTCTCACAATGTCAATAAAGAGTTTCTCCAATCTTTGTATACTCGCGCATCTCCATGTATCGAATGGCGCGGCAGCATTCCATAAAGTAACAAATCTTTTCACGATTGTAACATTTAGCAATGAAGAGAAGAAGAAAAAAAAGTTATGTGTTGGTTCGTTTGCTGCTTTTATGACTGCTTCTCAATATGGAAACGTTTAAGTGGTTTATTGAAAGAAGTCTCTTGAGTTTTCTCATTTTGATTTTTTTTTCTTCAAATCTTTTTTTTGCGCAATTATGTTCTTCTGCTCTCAATGACGATTCTTTGTCGTATCGAGTTCATTTTAATTTTCTTGGAAAGTGAAATGAAATAATTTTATTTTTCTCTTTTTTGAGTGAACTTTCGGGTTAATTGCGTTCACTTCTTTAATTATGTTAGCTATGGAGCTTAGAGCGGCTAATCATTGCTCCAAAAAGTTTTGGTTCATTTCAACATATAATTTACCCACGATTTCTATATTCCTATGCCCTGTGCACTATGCACAATCGACCTGATCATCCATCATTTATAAATAAGAGGCATTACAACCACAAATATATAGAAGTAAAAATAAAACATTTCTGTAACTATATTCATCGATAAATAAAAGAAATAAGAAGACATCAAAGAAGACAAGAAGAAGAAGAAGAAGGGAAAAAATAAGCATAAGGTTCATGTCTTGACATAAAAAAGGCAAAAACAATTTAAGTTTTGTGCAATCTTTTTCTCTTCTCGCATCTTCACTTGAAGACGAACAACAAGCACGACCAACCTACTAAGTAAAGAAGAGGAAAAAGAAGAAATATAAAAAATTCAAGGAAGATTGAAAAGAGAATGCTATAAGCCATATGCCGAAGACCTTTTCCTTCTATTTCATCAGATTGTATTGAAAAAGAATATTGTCGCCCTTCAACTAAGTGCTATGCTATCGATTCGGTTATCCCAATATCAGATTTCATTTTTTTTCTTTCTTTCTTTTTTAATTTCTAAAATGAGGAAGTCGGGGTGTTTTTTTTCTCTTGCGTTATTCAGTGTTTCTTGACCTGTTTGGCAAAGACGAAAAATATCGAAGAGAAAGACGATGAATTGAATGAAGACGATCGTAAACATATTTGATGAGAATATTAAAATGGAAAGTCTTGTGACACATTTTTAACCGATGTTAAGTGCTTACGAATATGGGAAAAAAATTAAATACAGAAATTGTTTGCTTCTTTGCGTTGAAGTTTAAAAATAATGCGAGACTACTTTTGAAGAGTTATGAACATATTTTTTATGATTGCGACTTCCTGGATATTCTTGTTCATTTTTTATTTTCATAAACTTTTAAACATTTGGGTAAAAAATTCATTACCACAAAATATTTGACTTCATAAAATCCCCTAAATCATGCTATTAGTTAATTAAAGCCTATCCAATTCCACTGATGTGAGAAGAGAGTGTACTCACTCACTCACTCACTCGACGTTCTTTCTTCTTGTCAACCGAAACAAATTTTTATATGTATTTCGTGATTTATTTACTTACAGAATGTTTTAAAATTGTCATCGGAACAACTGCATTCATCGCTCGATGAACGTATACAGTTTGGCTCGTTTAACATAATTTTACCGTCAACATGGTCGAATGATTGCGCTAGCAACGCGACCGTTAACAATCACAATGGTGCGCCAATAGATGTCAAGATAACAGACACACATCCGATTTTTGGTGATAGTTGGTGGACTTTACAAACAGAAGCATGCAAAAAGCGAGGAATTCAAATAGCATCGTCCTACAAAAATATCGAGGACAACATTGAAGATGCGGCTGAGAAATTCGCTGAAGAATGGGCGAAGTACCGTTACGGTGTGTTTGACGTTCATGGCTTTGTAAATGATTCTGTTTACCCTTCATGCCATCCCGACAACCCATTGTGTTATGATGCAATTAAGCTTGAATTCAACACCACCAACAGTTCATATTTCACACTTCAAAATCCTTATCTGCCTTCGAAGCAAAACTTCATGTGTCACCGACAAAGTCCAATCGACATCATTGCGCAAAATTCCGATTTCATTGGTGTTGAAGGGAATCAACCATTACTTGAACCAACTTTCACGTTTTCCAAGAAGAAGATGACTCGCTATATGGTGATCATAGATGAACATATCGACATCAGTATCCGTGATTCGTTTCAATTTCTTCGTGACGCAATTCGTAAATGGATTGAAAAAGATCTGAGTCATGATTTCACGGAAGTTGGAATTTATTTAATGGCGAATGCATCAAAGTCAGACGATCCTGATCGAAAGCTTATCAAATCGCTTCAAGGAAGTGACAATCGTGAAGAAATCTTTTCAATTCTTCCATGGTACATTGAATCGAGTGGACGAAGTGTTTCAAAATGCATGATAAACAATGCCGTGTCGAGAAGCATTGGTATGTTGGATGATCGTACAAGAACTCATGGGGCGGCTGACAGCGTCATACTGATCATAGGACCGGGAATGTTCTCATGTCAGGTAAGAAAGATTGACATTTTACTTCTCTTTTGTTCATTTCAATCATACATTTTGACAACAAAACATATCAAGAAAGATTAAATTTTACGAAACGTTTTTTTCATTTGTATTGCTTCCCTTTTCTCCCATCACAGGATGATTCAATCATCATGAATGCCATTGATAGAAACATAAAAATATCGACAATAAATTATCCGATTATCGGACCAAATCGAGTTGATATGAGCCATTTAGCATATAAGACTGGCGGTGAAGCTTTTACGGTCATGGAGCAGAAGCAAAATGAAGTCCAAAGTTTGTTGACAACTTTCTTTGAACTTTCCAATGTATTGATGCATATCAGTGCTGTAAATTATCATGGCGATTCTTCTTTAATGCCCGTTGAAATATATCGAAAGGAATTATTAGACTCGGGATCACGAGAAGAGAATCGCGTTTATTTCGATAGTTTTAATGTCGATGAAGCGACGGAAAAAATCAACTTTTTCATCTACATTTATGACAGAAAAGAAAGAAACATTGAAAATGGAATGAAGTTAATCTCGCCAAACAACAAAGAATTTTCAACATTCTCGGAACTTCGTGCTGAATATCATCAGCTTGCAATTCTTGGGAATTTGACTGGATACGGATCTTGGAGTTACAATCTTAAAAGGTATGCAGACGAACAGGAAGGAACCTTTTTCCATCAATTCTTATCACGTTTTAACATCTTTTCAGATTCTTCGGCAGTCCTCAAAATCACTTCGTTCAAGTTCTTGCTTATCCCAAACCTAACACACAAAATTTCATTCGTGCAAAAGCATGGACAAACCGCCCACAAGGCGGAAATCCGATTATTATCTTTGTGCAAGTTATGCAAGGAAATTTGCCGATCAACGATGCGCTTGTTGAAATATCTGTGACAGGAAGTAATGGACATAACATGAAAATTCAATTATTCGACAATGGAAGTGGCGATCCGGATATTACCAAAGGAGATGGCATCTACACAAGATATTTCATTCCACCTGATGTCGGCATGTGGAAGTTCCAAATTTATGTCAACGATAATGGAAATACTGCTTACGTTGCGAAAGGTAAATAATTAAACATAAAAAATTATTAGCAAAATATTAATTTTTATTTATTTTTTATTCTTCCAGAAAATACTTTCCTAGAATGTTGCGGAAGTGTCATTCCAACATCATCCAAATTGCCGGTGACTTCCTTCCAACGCTATCTCGTTCCGATGACAATTTTCATTAACCGCGATGAAGTTGCAGAAGCTAAAAGTGTTTTGCATAACATTGGAAGAATTGGAGATTTACGAGTTTTAAATTACAATAGTTCGAGTGATGAATCGAAAGCAACTCTTGAATGGAGTGGACCGGATGTTGGTGTTGACAATATAAAAATTGATTATGAAATTCGTTATTCAACCAATTTGAAGGATCTTGGCGATAATTTTGAGACACTGACAAACAAATGGGATTTTGATGAATCAATTCCAAATATGCCTGGTCAACTTGCTTCAATTGCAATGAATTTGGAACAAGAACCGTCACTCATCGGTCAACCAATTTATGTAGCAATTAAATCAATTGTTGAAGGTGCTACAACAGGTCCAATCTCTAATTATGTTAGAGTCTTTATTCCCAAGAAACGTGCGATAACATCTTCAAATACACCCGACAATAATTCATATCCTTCACTTGTGCCATCATACGATGACGTAACATATCAAAATAATCAAAATGAAGCATTATTAAGCATTGAAATTGTGATACTTCTTATTGTTCTTCTCGCTATTATTTTTATTTCAATTCTTTGTTGGTGCTGTTGTCGTCGAAAAAGAAAATCGAAGAAGAATGAAAAGAGTGAAAATATTGTAAAGTCACCAGTTGCACAACAAAATTCGATTAGTATCATAAGTCCGCCATCAAGTCAAAATTACAATTTTCAATCGCCTGAAGCACAAAATAATTACTATACAGAGCAACCAACGTATTCCATCCAGAACTATATGGATGAGATTCCATGTCATCAAACAGTGGGATTGCCGATTGAAGATGACATGAATTCGATGTATATCGACGAGTCAGAAGAAAAGAAATATATGAAAGCGATTAGAGATACTTACGATCAGAACTTTGCACATCTTTCAAATGGATCGCTTACAGCGAACGGGAAATTTTTGAGTCCCTACGAATCTTGGACACCTTCTCAGCTTCTTCATGAACATGATAGAAGACATGAGGTTTATGGAGAAATTGTTCCACCAATTCCACCACATCCTTATCAGAATAATTATGGTTACACATCGTCGCTCAGAGCGCCGCCACCACAATATTCTTCCGTTAACAGATCTTTATTAGGTCAAGGGTCTATGCAATCTGTAGATGGTGGAACGCTTTTGAGCAGCGATAGAAAGAAACGAAGCGTCACAATGGTGTAGACTGTAATATAAGAAGTTTTAATGTCTGATAATAAAATGATTCAATTCCATGAATTTTTAAAGAAGACACTGCAAATAGAAACAAATAATATTATTATAAGTTGAGTAGATAGATAGTTTTGAAGTGTATAAACACTCGAGTCTGTATTAAGTTTCATGCTTTAAGCTGACATAAGGAGAAAAAAAATTGTTCATAATCTCATCGTTTAATTAAGAAGAAACCTAATTTTGTACTTAGATATGTAAATTAGATGCATAGATAAGATTTTTTTTAATGAAGTTGAAAGACATAACACTAAAACCATCTCAATTTTGTTTTGAGTTGATCTCACGCACTTCATATTTGACTATAAGAAAAGTTTTGTCAAATTAACAAGATAAGCAAATAAAGGCATTACCACAGAAGAAGAGAAAATTTGTTATTTTCGAAACTTATCACGTTCGAGTTATGACCTCAGCATACATAAAGTATAAAACCTTCATTTGAAATTTTATTTCTCTTTTCCTTAGTGGCTTTCATCCGTTACAAACATTTTATGCTGGTTACTTTATAATGCAAACACGTTAAACGTTCGTTTGATACTTGGAATTTCATTTTTCACAATTCAAATAAATATCTGAAGATTTTCTTTTAAGTGGATTGTTTTGATATTGGAACATGTTTGACAATATTTATATGTTAATAAACATAATATAATTTGATATCTTCAGAAAAAGTGAAAAATTAATGAATTGGTGTTAATCAAATCTATACAAATTCAATTCAACGTATTCATCGTTATGCATGGAAGAAATTTAATCCAACTTCGGTCTGGGTGTTCCTATAAGAAAAAAAACCTATCATAAAAACATTGAAACATTGAAACCATCTTGAAACATCGAAGATGAATGTTTGAAAACATTGAAGAACTTTGTGATGTTGCAACAGTTGACATCATCATGCGAGCATATTTCAACTTAAAACATTGAATTTCATTGTAGCAAAATAATCTGAAAATGTTTATGTTAAAATGAAATCATGCGGGAGAGTAAAAATATTCATGCAAACAAAATCTTTACATTTTCTTTGTAAATTTTTATTCAATGTTCATACAAACTATCAGAAGATTTTCGATAATATTTAAAGGCCACATAAGATTTACAAGTAAATTTTTTCTTTCTTTTTCTTTGTGTTTTTTTATTCAGCATGAAGGAGATTCAAAGTTCTTAAAATCTTAAATTGTGTGTCAATTGTCTAATGACCGATGAGATTTAAATTGGTTCAGAATTTATGGGCTGGAATGACGGAGTTAAAGATGAAGGAAATAGTAAAAAAGCATGTAAAAGAAAAGTGGAAAGATAAATGACTTTATAATTATAACTATCGTAAAATGTTTGGCTGTGTGTTTATCGTTAGGGTTCATCATGATTCGCGAAACCATCTGATTACATTATTCAGCTTACCACGTGTTGGCTACCGGAAAAGAAGTTTATCGAAAACATAAAAATTGAATTTGAATTAGAAAAGGATTTATGAAAGAATTTGATGTGAAAGATTTATTGATATAAAAATTTTTGATTTCATTTAATGTCCTTTTATTAAAATTTAAATCAATAAATATTCATTCTGATAGATTTATATGAAATTCTTTGATAATATACATAGAGCACATAAAATTTACAATTAAAGCGTTTTCCTTGATCATTGTGTTAATGCAGCAGACTCTTAAAACTAGTTAATATAAAAATATTCAGCAGAAAGGAGATTCAAAGTTCTTTCAATCTTAAATTGTATGTCAATTGTCTGAAGTCGGTTGAGACTTAAATTGGTTTAGAATTTTTTGATTGCATCATTGAATGATGCAGCTAAAATTGAAAAAGAAATAATTAATGTAAGAAAAGAGTGGAAAGATAAATGATTTTATAATTTAGCTTACGTAAAATGTTCGGCTTTGTAGTCATCTGTGCTGACGACTGAAATTCATTGCTTGTTATTCCAACGGTGCCGATTGTGATTGGGATATGTACTTCTGGTGACACTTTCATTCCGTCCGTTACAAAAGTAACTTTAAGCTCATAAGTTATTTGAAAGACTTTGCAGTAGCGATTGTTCGAGATCATGAGAACTGGAGGCACTTCAACAATTTGTTCAAATGTCACCATTTCTCCTCTTTCTGCACCTTTCCCTTGAACTTCAGCCACTGTTTCTTTAACTTCTTTTGTCTCAACCGATGGAGTTTTGCTGATAAAACGTGCAATTCTTTTCAATGAAAATTCTGTGTGTAATACCTTCGTTGTACTTTTGTTGTTGATTTCGACATTCGCAAGAATCTTTTCTGATAATCCATAACCCGATTTTGGAAGACGAACTTTTACAATTAAAGGATCTGATTCACACCAGAAACAACAAAAAGTTGTCACTTCTTCATATTCTATCGGTAGTCGAAGTTCAGAGTAAATGCTTAAATCTTCATAACGTACGACAGTGAAAGGTTTCTTGTCATGTAAATCAAAGGTCCATGCAATGTCTAAATTGGCATCAACATTGTATTTGACATGTCCGTGTTCTCCATCAACGGAATAAGGAATCGTCAACGGTAATTGGCACACAAAGTTATAAATATGTATTCCTGCAGCAACTTCCTGAATTTCACCATCACTCGAACCAAATAAATACGTAATCGATTGCAAATATTTCTCTTCACCGAAATATGTTATGAGACTTCTATTATTTCCGGTTCCGGATGAAACAGTCCATTTAGCTTCTGCTGACCCTTCCACGATCAATTTAAGTCCTACAGTGTAAAAACAAAGTTGTTATATTTTTATTTCTCCCACCTACACATCGGCTGAAATTTTATTCCAACTAACATGTGCTACGAGAAAATGATTATTTTAGAGGAAAGAGGAAAATCATGAATGAATGTAGCAGAATTAGGTGGAAAGTAATGACCTTGAACCAGCGTTTGGAAGATTTTTATCTATTTAATAGTTAAACTAATGTTAATTAATTTTAAAATTTTCCTACCTCTCACATTCTTGATAGCTTTGATGGCTCTCAATTCGACAGATCCTAAAATTTTAAAGTCTTTAACCATGAAATTCCTTGAACTTAACTGTCATTTAAGGTCTCACCTGACACAGTTTGATTGGGATAATAAATTGCATTTGGATTATTGTTGAATGTTATTTTCAGAGAATTTGACATATTTTTCAATTGAAATCTCTCTATGAAAGATTTAAATTTCAAGAAGATGGACAGCGACTTTCAGTTTAAGGAATGAGCAAGCCACTAAACATTGAATAGAGAAAAACTTTTTTGGCGGTTTGTTTTCAATGCGCTGACTCTGGGGAAAACATTGTGTAATCGCTGTAGCTGGTAGGTTTGCGCATGATTCGCAGACACAATGTGATTGTATTATTACGCTTACCTCGTGCTGACTGTCAAGAGAAATGTGCTTAGGTCGGCGAACTTTTATCGGAAACGTAAACATTGATTTTCAATTAGAGAAAGGATTCTTGTTACAGTTTCCAAACGAAGAACCTTCTCAGTGATAAATGACGGGAAAGAATGATTGTAGGTCGAGATAAAATGAAAGGTCGAAAAGAGAAAATAGAACACAATTCTTTTATGATGATTATCTTCGTCGTAAAAAAAAATTGTTAGATGACAGAAAAAATATTTAATCGACTTTTGGCACGTTTCATGAGATTGTTGTGACATTTACTTGATTGAACTGTGAAAATGAATGTCACATGTCACAAATTTCGTTCAATTCTCTTTTATCATTTTACTTTTCTTTCATTTCTTTTGCCTTTTCTCAGTCGATGTATGTATACACAACAATCATGTGAATGCCTGTAAAAACAATAATCAAAGCTATTTAAATAATGAAGTTAGGAACATCTGCGTAGACGAAAAACTTGAAATTCAAAGATCTAATTTTAGATTTTAAATTAATAAGATTTCTGCGAATATTTTCGAATTGTTATTGGTCTTGTAAGCTTAATTATTGTGAAAGTATTTGGGTTTAAACTCAAATATGTGTTTCTTAAAAGTAAACATGAAAAACTTGGATTGCCAAAGAATTCCTATAAATTTTAATATCCAAATGAAATATAATCGTCACCTAATCCCAAGACTTTTTAAATAAAAACAGAGAAATTAAATATGATAAACGATTTCTCATCAGAGAAGATCATATGATGAAAACGATTCAATGAGTTTTATTTTTATATAGCGTGAAAAACGAAAGAAATTTTATAGTTTTAAAATGCTGATGATGTAGAAGATCACGCGAAGTTTTTATTGTATTCAATCTTTGGTTGTATAAAGGTTAATAAAATTAAACATTACATGTAAATATATTTATTTGTAGTTATTAAAAGATTACTAAATATCTTCAAAAAAATGTTTGATAGAATAAAGCTTCATAGATCAAATGGAAGCTTTACAGCTTGTTGTCAACATTAATATTATTAGCACATGAAAACAACAAACGAATACGAATCTTACACACGAATATATTCAGAGGTACATTGATGATAATTTTCTAGACAAAATTCAGCCTTGAGATTGGATAAAGCTTCAATGACTTTTCGGTTGACATGTATTTAAGTTTGATCATAAACACATTTGACTTATAATTAATTTACACAATGAATAATGTTGATGACTTATTTGAATATCGAATTAAAATACAAAAGTTTCAAATTGTTGGAAGTGCAAGTAGTGAGGCTGTGATTTTATTTGATTTTAAGCCGATTTCATTGAATTCATTTAAAAAAAGGAGATCGGAATTATTCTTAAAACGTTTATTCAGCAACTTCTTTGGTACTTTCATTGTTTGCCTTCATTTCATCAGTTTGATGAGTTTCGTCATCTTTAAGTCCGACAGAGCCAATTGTGATTGGAACTGCAACTTCAGGTGAATCATTGCAGCCTTCCGTCTCCAAAAGAACTCTGACTTCATACGTGATTTTATACACATTGCAATACTTTTCGCTGGTAGTCAATGCGTCTTCAGGTATTTCCAATGAAACATCAACACTGACGTCTTTTCCCCCTTTGACACCACTTGAACTCATTTTAGTGACAATTGTTTCAGTTTCTATAACATTTTCTCGTTTGAAAACATCTTGGGAAGTAAATCGTTCAATTCGAACTAAACTTATTGTGGTGAATAAAACTTCCAATGAACTGTTATTAGACAAACTCAAGTTGACTGGAATTTTTTCGCCCAAAACCGTAGCCTGTCTTAGGTAGTCGAACTCGTACCGTCAATGGTTTCGATTCACGAAAGAAACAATAGCACTGAGATAGATATTTGACTTCTTCCAACCCAACTGGCAATTTTAGTTCTGGCATTGATTTTAAATCGTCAAATCGAAGGACGGTAAAGGTTTTCATTGTTTGTAATTTCTTTTCAGATGAAATTAAGTTTGCATAAGCTTTGTATCTGATTCGACCGTAATCACCGTTTACAGAATATGGAATGTTATCAGGTAATTGATGTTTAAAGCTGTAACTATGAACACCTGGTTCAAGTGTCATAAAATCTCCATCTTCCGACCCAAACAGATATGATGACAAATTCAAAAACTTTTCCGTTCTTTCCGCAACAGAACTTACAATTCGAAACTTGCATTTCGCCTTTCCTTCTATGATAAAATGCAAACCTAAAGAAATGGGTAAGAAGAAAAAGTCATGTTTATCATGCTTTACGTTATACGCGTGTGCCGAGAGTTTTTTTTCTTCTCTTTTTATCTAAAATATATTTCAAAGCATCGACCTTGTATAATTGTTTACTTCGAAATCTTTTAATCTTTGAAATGATTTTTTTCTCATTTTCATCATGAAACATATCGAAAAATTCTTTACTAAACGATTTTTGTTTATAATATTTATGATTACCTTTGACTTTCTTCAATGTTTCCGTCAGGCTTAATTCAACAACTCCTAGGCAATGAAATGAAGAAGAAAATTACAAATGTTTTGTTGTTAAACATATTTCTACATTTCTCTTCATTCATTTTTCTTTTTCTTTCACCTGATACACTTTGATTTGCGTAAACAACATCAAAAGGCTCGTCAAACGTGATTTTAATTAGGTTTGTCATTATTATACGTGTTAAGAAGAAAAAGAAGAAGCACTTAAATTGTTGATTATGAGGGTGTAGCAACTACTGAGCACAACGAATGAATTTATCAACTGCGAAGTGGGAACACAAAATGTTGAAACAAGCGTGAAAATGTTGTGAAACATCAGAGAATGTTTCAATTGATGTTTGAAGTTTGAGTCTTTTTCTAGCACTGAAATTTGATATTAACCTTTGATGTTATCGAAGTCATCGTAAATATTTTGAACATATTTTTTTGAAAGAAGAAATCTACCTGATATTTTATGGCTCATTTAATTTATTACTGAGCTGCATTTCACAACAAATTTCTTTTGAATATGATGAACATAAATTTATCGATTGTCCTTTAATTAAAATGATTACAACATTTATGATGTCATATAATTCAAGTAACATTTTTGAAAAGTTATTTTGGTAATTTATGACTTCATTAATGCTTTCATATTTTTTTTAATTGTATTGTATTGTACGATGATTTCATGTTTTTTTCTATGAACGGATCAAACCAGTTCTTAATCATACGTGAATAAATTGCAAACATACAAATTAAGTCTGCATTTTTTATAAAAGAATTTTCTTTTGTTCCATTGTCTTTTGGGAGAAGCAAAATTTATTTAAAGTAGATTCATATCGGCTTAAAGTGAAGAATATGGAAAATACTTTAAAGCTTACGTCCATAGTGTCTTGAAATGTATGTATGAATAAATAATATCTTCTTTCATTGAGAAGCATTGACATCGTTTTACATCAGAATGTGAGGTCAACTAGCGTAGGAAAGTGATTGTCTTTATATTCTTGGAGTGAATGCCCCCATAACACTTCTAAGTCAATATTATTAAATATGTAAAAATATTTTTGAAATATTCTTCACTTTAACAAAGGCTTGGTGTCATCTCCCATTTCTTTCGTTTACAAACACTTTGCGTCATTTTCTACAATGCCCTTAAAGATTTGAAGAGATACAAAAGACAATAATTGGATGTGTACAAACATCTTATTCGATATGCTTCGATAGTTTTTTTTCTAAACATACATACCTATTTCAATGTAGCCTTGAATTTTGAATTGATGTTTTAAAGAGGTTTTCAATTCTGTATGAATGATTAATACGATTCTTTGTTATGTTTTAATATTCTAGTCATTATATTCATCAGATTCAACTCAGTCTTGTTACCTCTTATACATTTTTAACTTCTTCATTCAATGTCAATATCGCGGAAGAAGCAAAACTACAAAGTTAATCATCTACACATAGAATCATTGATTGATCTCTTACATCATTGTTCTTTAATAATCATTTAAACACACTTCTTATGATTGATTAATTCATTTCATTTATCACCATTCTATTAGAAAATGAAAACGAAAGAATTATCTCAAGCTAACAATCTCATTTGGAATGATTTGCTTAGAAATAAATTAGAATTTCGTTGTCATGCTGAATAATTGCTAAATTGCTTCTCATCTTTTTTTCTTCTCTTTGTAAGAATGTACGAAGAACATTAAAAAGATTAGAGAGAAATGCTTTAATATTCATAAAATATTGATTTTTATAGTTTGGCACGTTCCAAATACTTAGTCTTTCCGTTTCATTTAATTCGAGACAAAAATTTGTAGACATTCAAAAAGCAAGTAGAAAGTTAATATGTGTCAATACTTGGCGCCACAAATTCCACACAATTTCCTATCAAAGAAGCGCATGTCTAACATTAATCAGCAATTCACAATGGAAAACGCAACAATTGTTTGTTATCAATTTTGAACTAAAACAATGAACATGTTTGATAAAGTTTTTAATTTTATTCTTTTAAAAAATATATTAAAAAAATACATTCGATTCGATACATAAGTTTAAAGCTCTTTGAGCAATTTTTTGATTTAATTTTCTCTTATCATTTAGAGAGGAGTACATGACAGAGATTCTTAGAGAACTACCTAAATGTTAATTAGATGACGTCATTCAAATTGCTATGAAATGAGTAAATACATTGCTTTCTTAATTTAAGGCACTTTACTTGGCGATGTCGTTGCTGATGGTGGTTGAGAACTTCCAAAGTTCCAAACCGGATGAGTGATGAACTTGAGAAACNTAAAAACACTTACATCGTGATTATTTTCTGTCATTTCAGGCACAATTCTCATAGCTTCTTCGTAACTTGGTGGTGGCAAATTGAAGTTCCTTGGAGCTGATGGATGGCTACTTGATGAAGCGATTGAATTATTCATAACTGCATCGTAATGTGGCGCTTGAACTGATGATCTTAGAGGAATCGTTCCGATTGTTATTGGAATGTTTAAATGTGGATTTTTGTGAGCACCCGAAGCTTTAGCGAGGACTTTAAGTTGATAACTTGTTGTGAGAACACTGCAGTAATCCATATTAGTGGGAGCAAGTGGAGGAAGTGGAAGAAGAATTTTGAATTCACCAAGTCCACAAGCACGCATTCCGGTACCGAAAATTTCACAAACTGTTAAACTTTCGAAGCGAATCTTCTTTCTTGGAGCTTGACTGATGTATTGAATGCCACGTTCCAATGAAACTTTTGTTCCTTCAATATCAATATTTGATTGATTGTTCATGTGAATGGTAACTTCAATTTTTTGTCCCGGAACGTAGCCAGTGAATGGAATGCTTACACACATTTGAAATGGCTTTGACTTGAAACAGCAGCAGTAAAATCGACGAATAATTTCTGACTTTGCCGGAAGAAACAAGCTCGGCGTTACCAAATTCAAATCTTCTGCTTTGATAACAGTAAATGAGAGTCTGAACTCTTTGTCAGACTTCCATGGACGATCCAGAACTGCTTTGCAACTGTATCTGATATTTCCATATTTTCCCTCAACTGATGACGGAATTTGTTGCGGAAGTATACAAGCGAATGAGTATGTTGTGGTTCCAGCTGGAATCTGAACGGGTGTTGTTCCTGATTGGCTGCCAAACAGATAAGTCACTTGATTTAAATAATCTTCTTTCCCTGAATAAGTCACCGATCTCCGTTTATTTCCGGTTCCTAGAAAATTGCAACCTGTTGATTTTATTTAATCATAACAAAGAAAACAAACCTTTCGTAACTGTCCACATGCATTTCGCACTTCCCTCAATCTTCAAATACAACGCTAAAGAATAAACAAATGTGAATTAACAAGTTGTTAAATGATGAAATTTCTAAAGGTTGGTTGAGCGTATTACACAAAGTTTTATTAGTCAAACGACAGAAAACTTTATTGATGAATCACGAAGCGTGATTTACAAGAAATTGCTCTTTTTTCAAAAAGCAAATTATGCTAATACTTTTAGACACAAGAGAAATTTTTATAAAGAATTAAACAAAGAAATTCGGAATGTCTAATTTCAATTAAGATGACTTCACCCACCTCGAAATTTCTTTTTTTCGGTTAATGTCAATATCACTGTTCCTGTTATCGTTTGTCCAGATTGAAATGTGGCTTTTGGATTGTTATCAAATCTTATTTCACACGATGTAACCATTTTTAAATATTAAAATAATAAAAATATGAAAAACTTTGCATCTNCGAAAAATTCTTTACTAAACGATTTTTGTTTATAATATTTATGATTACCTTTGACTTTCTTCAATGTTTCCGTCAGGCTTAATTCAACAACTCCTAGGCAATGAAATGAAGAAGAAAATTACAAATGTTTTGTTGTTAAACATATTTCTACATTTCTCTTCATTCATTTTTCTTTTTCTTTCACCTGATACACTTTGATTTGCGTAAACAACATCAAAAGGCTCGTCAAACGTGATTTTAATTAGGTTTGTCATTATTTTACGTGTTAAGAAGAAAAAGAAGAAGCACTTAAATTGTTGATTATGAGGGTGTAGCAACTACTGAGCACAACGAATGAATTTATCAACTGCGAAGTGGGAACACAAAATGTTGAAACAAGCGTGAAAATGTTGTGAAACATCAGAGAATGTTTCAATTGATGTTTGAAGTTTGAGTCTTTTTCTAGCACTGAAATTTGATATTAACCTTTGATGTTATCGAAGTCATCGTAAATATTTTGTACATATTTTTTTGAAAGAAGAAATCTACCTGATATTTTATGGCTCATTTAATTTATTACTGAGCTGCATTTCACAACAAATTTCTTTTGAATATGATGAACATAAATTTATCGATTGTCCTTTAATTAAAATGATTACAACATTTATGATGTCATATAATTCAAGTAACATTTTTGAAAAGTTATTTTGGTAATTTATGACTTCATTAATGCTTTCATATTTTTTTTAATTGTATTGTATTGTACGATGATTTCATGTTTTTTTCTTTGAACGGATCAAACCAGTTCTTAATCATACGTGAATAAATTGCAAACATACAAATTAAGTCTGCATTTTTTATAAAAGAATTTTCTTTTGTTCCATTGTCTTTTGGGAGAAGCAAAATTTATTTAAAGTAGATTCATATCGGCTTAAAGTGAAGAATATGGAAAATACTTTAAAGCTTACGTCCATAGTGTCTTGAAATGTATGTATGAATAAATAATATCTTCTTTCATTGAGAAGCATTGACATCGTTTTACATCAGAATGTGAGGTCAACTAGCGTAGGAAAGTGATTGTCTTTATATTCTTGGAGTGAATGCCCCCATAACACTTCTAAGTCAATATTATTAAATATGTAAAAATATTTTTGAAATATTCTTCACTTTAACAAAGGCTTGGTGTCATCTCCCATTTCTTTCGTTTACAAACACTTTGCGTCATTTTCTACAATGCCCTTAAAGATTTGAAGAGATACAAAAGACAATAATTGGATGTGTACAAACATCTTATTCGATATGCTTCGATAGTTTTTTTTCTAAACATACATACATATTTCAATGTAGCCTTGAATTTTGAATTGATGTTTTAAAGAGGTTTTCAATTCTGTATGAATGATTAATACGATTCTTTGTTATGTTTTAATATTCTAGTCATTATATTCATCAGATTCAACTCAGTCTTGTTACCTCTTATACATTTTTAACTTCTTCATTCAATGTCAATATCGCGGAAGAAGCAAAACTACAAAGTTAATCATCTACACATAGAATCATTGATTGATCTCTTACATCATTGTTCTTTAATAATCATTTAAACACACTTCTTATGATTGATTAATTCATTTCATTTATCACCATTCTATTAGAAAATGAAAACGAAAGAATTATCTCAAGCTAACAATCTCATTTGGAATGATTTGCTTAGAAATAAATTAGAATTTCGTTGTCATGCTGAATAATTGCTAAATTGCTTCTCATCTTTTTTTCTTCTCTTTGTAAGAATGTACGAAGAACATTAAAAAGATTAGAGAGAAATGCTTTAATATTCATAAAATATTGATTTTTATAGTTTGGCACGTTCCAAATACTTAGTCTTTCCGTTTCATTTAATTCGAGACAAAAATTTGTAGACATTCAAAAAGCAAGTAGAAAGTTAATATGTGTCAATACTTGGCGCCACAAATTCCACACAATTTCCTATCAAAGAAGCGCATGTCTAACATTAATCAGCAATTCACAATGGAAAACGCAACAATTGTTTGTTATCAATTTTGAACTAAAACAATGAACATGTTTGATAAAGTTTTTAATTTTATTCTTTTAAAAAATATATTAAAAAAATACATTCGATTCGATACATAAGTTTAAAGCTCTTTGAGCAATTTTTTGATTTAATTTTCTCTTATCATTTAGAGAGGAGTACATGACAGAGATTCTTAGAGAACTACCTAAATGTTAATTAGATGACGTCATTCAAATTGCTATGAAATGAGTAAATACATTGCTTTCTTAATTTAAGGCACTTTACTTGGCGATGTCGTTGCTGATGGTGGTTGAGAACTTCCAAAGTTCCAAACCGGGTATAAAGGATTAAAAACACTTACATCGTGATTATTTTCTGTCATTTCAGGCACAATTCTCATAGCTTCTTCGTAACTTGGTGGTGGCAAATTGAAGTTTCTTGGAGCTGATGGATGGCTACTTGATGAAGCAATTGAATTATTCATAACTGCATCATAATGTGGCGCTTGAACTGATGACCTTAGAGGAATCGTTCCGATTGTTATTGGAATGTTTAAATGTGGATTTTTGTGAGCACCCGAAGCTTTAGCGAGGACTTTAAGTTGATAACTTGTTGTGAGAACACTGCAGTAATCCATATTAGTGGGAGCAAGTGGAGGAAGTGGAAGAAGAATTTTGAATTCACCAAGTCCACAAGCACGCATTCCGGTACCGAAAATTTCACAAACTGTTAAACTTTCGAAGCGAATCTTCTTTCTTGGAGCTTGACTGATGTATTGAATGCCACGTTCCAATGAAACTTTTGTTCCTTCAATATCAATATTTGATTGATTGTTCATGTGAATGGTAACTTCAATTTTTTGTCCCGGAACGTAGCCAGTGAATGGAATGCTTACACACATTTGAAATGGCTTTGACTTGAAACAGCAGCAGTAAAATCGACGAATAATTTCTGACTTTGCCGGAAGAAACAAGCTCGGCGTTACCAAATTCAAATCTTCTGCTTTGATAACAGTAAATGAGAGTCTGAACTCTTTGTCAGACTTCCATGGACGATCCAGAACTGCTTTGCAACTGTATCTGATATTTCCATATTTTCCCTCAACTGATGACGGAATTTGTTGCGGAAGTATACAAGCGAATGAGTATGTTGTGGTTCCAGCTGGAATCTGAACGGGTGTTGTTCCTGATTGGCTGCCAAACAGATAAGTCACTTGATTTAAGTAATCTTCTTTCCCTGAATAAGTCACCGATCTCCGTTTATTTCCGGTTCCTAGAAAATTGCAACCTGTTGATTTTATTTAATCATAACAAAGAAAACAAACCTTTCGTAACTGTCCACATGCATTTCGCACTTCCCTCAATCTTCAAATACAACGCTAAAGAATAAACAAATGTGAATTAACAAGTTGTTAAATGATGAAATTTCTAAAGGTTGGTTGAGCATATTACACAAAGTTTTATTAGTCAAACGACAGAAAAGTTTATTGATGAATCACGAATCGTGATTTACAAGAAATTGCTCTGTTTTCAAAAAGCAAATTATGCTAATACTTTTAGACACAAGAGAAATTTTTATAAAGAATTAAACAAAGAAATTCGGAATGTCTAATTTCAATTAAGATGACTTCACCCACCTCGAAATTTCTTTTTTTCGGTTAATGTCAATATCACTGTTCCTGTTATCGTTTGTCCAGATTGAAATGTGGCTTTTGGATTGTTATCAAATCTTATTTCACACGATGTAACCATTTTTAAATATTAAAATAATAGAAATATAAAAAACTTTGCATCTCTTAAGCCGTTGATGACAAGAAGTGTTAACAAAAGTGTTGCCTGATGAAAAATGTTGTAAAATGAGAGAATTTTAGTTGCAAGTTGCAACACTTTTCGTTCATAAAACTAAAGTTCGTTTACTTTAGTTTGTTGACTTCTGATAAAATTTTGTGTTAAGCTAAAATATTCCTTTAATTACATCACCATGGATTTCAAATGGTATAGATTGAATGTTCATTTACACTTTTTTATGATATAAAGTTAACCGGCTTATTTTTGCTACAGGAAATGCTTGAAATTTGAACGTAATGATGTGATAAAAATTCCGAAATTGCAAAATTGTAATTTCGATCATCCACTGAAAGATCAAAAAGTGATGGTAAGTTAAAAGCAAATTTTAAGAAAAGTTTAAATGAGATTGAATAAATTTACTATTCTTAGATGTTTGACAGCAAAGGAACAAGAAATCGTCTTTCTATGCTTTCATCTGTATCTTCATCGAAATCTTCACTGGATCCTTTATCATCTCTAGATGGCTTAGATGATCCTTTGAGTCAATTTGCCCGTCAGGAAATTGACCCGTTGTCACAAATGGCTGCTGAACTTGAGGCCACTTCTATCTCAAACAATTCAAAACAAAGAGTGAAATTGGAACCTTCAATTGAATCTTGGAGTTCAAGACGTGCAGTCATTTTGAACAAATACACAACTTCCGAGCGATTATCAATTGCTACAAGTTTCTTGGGAGGGGAAAATGTCATAAAGAATCAAAGTACAGTTGAGAAAGTGAAACATCGACTGGAACAACTTGACGACTTTCAAGACATTCATTACATGCAAAATCTGACACAACAAGAATACATGGCGAAAATTCAACTTTTAAACTCTGAACTTGTTGCTGCTTGGAGAACTGATCAAAGAGTGAAATCACTTAAAATTGCCATACAGTGTTCGAAGCTTCTCGCCGATCCGTCTTCAGTTATGCAATTTTATCCATCAAAGTTTGTTCTCATCACTGACATTCTCGACATATTTGGTAAACTTGTTTATGATCGACTGAAATCTAAGTCAGAAAATGAGTAAGTGATGATATTTACAGTTAAGCAATATTTTAATAATTTCCTTTTCTCGCAGAAAATCGTTACCAGAAAACTTTTCACCCGACATGATTCCAGAGTCTGCGAAGGAAACTTGTCTCAATTGGTTTTATAAAATTGCCTCAATTCGTGAATTACTGCCACGACTCTACGTTGAAATGTGTCTGATTCGATGCTACAAATTCATCAATCCAAAGTTTGTTTAGTAAAAGTTCTTGCTTATTTTACTTTAATTAAATTATTTTAAATATTCACAGAGAAATTGATCAGTCGCTTCAAAGAATTTCAAAAATGATTCGTGGAGTTGGCGATCCATTAGTTGCTGCTTATGCCAGATGTTATTTGATAAGAATTGGAATTTCTGTTAGCAATAATCGAGAATATATGAAAGAAACTTTTGTCGATTTTCTAGCAACTTATCAGACGGTAAATTTTTAATTCAGAAAATCTTTTAACGTTTTACTAAATTTCTTTTTTATAAAGATTTTCATAACAGGGATTAGAGCTGAACTTTTAAAACAAAATATGAGTTTAAGTGTTTACCTTTCACTTTACACTCCAGCTCTTGATTGGATTGTTCAAAACTTCTCATCGAATGCCAGTGACATAACACTTGAGGATATTTTAAATCAATGTAGTGAAAAAAAGAATAATTCACTGCTTTTAATGACAATCTTGCATTCATTTCGACCAGAGTTCTTATCATTTCATTCGATTGAACTCGTTGGAATTTTAGCTGATGCTACGAATGAAGGCATTAGTCGAGGTGCTTTATTTCGTCAATTGGGAAATATTTTGAGTTTATTTCCACCGCCTCTCGATCAACGCTTAATGGTATTGAATGAAGCATGGAAGACAATCAACACAATTACAAACATCTCCGATTACATTTCATGTGTTGAGCTTTGGTCGCAATACGTCGCTGCCAATTTCGATACAGAAATCATTAATAAATTTCTCGGTGATATTTTAATTCGAGTGACGCAGAAACGAGCTTTTGAGAGATATTACGCAGAATTACAAGGAATTGTTGATAAGATTGTGACAAATGTTAGAGATTTCGAAGGACTCATGGTGATGGTAAGAATAATTTAATAAATCAATTCAACAATAAATTCAAATGTCGTTTTCCAAAGGACAATTTCCTTCCACTCATTGATCTGTTTCAAAAAGAATCAATCAAAATTGATGTTTGTAAAAACATTCTTCAAAAGTATAAAATGTTTTGCGGAAATGAAGAATTTGATGTGTCAACATCGATTAACGATCCAGTCATTATCAACGCTTTCATGTGTGTCACTAAAGTTTTAAATGATGGCGTAAAGTAAGTTCATTAATGGATTATTTTTTTAAATATTCTAACAATTAATTTCTCCAGCGCTTTAACAACGGAAGATGAAAGACGATTCATCAGCAATCTCATAAGTTTCTTTATTCTTCGTGTCAATTATGGTCGTGATTTTGAACAGCAACTTTCATTTTATGTTGATGCCCGAGCATCATTTCCAAATCTCGATAGTGTTCTCTTTACTCTTGTTAATTGCGTTAATAAGCTTTCAATGGATACTCGAACAATTGTCAAAGGAAATCATACAAGAAAAACTGGACCTTTTGTAAAAGCTTGTGTTGCTTACAGTTTCATAACAATTCCAACAATAATTTCAACGATGCAACGATTAGATCTTTATTTGTTAACTGGTGAGGTTGCTTTAGCGAATATGTGTCTTGGACAAGCAGATGCATGTCTTGAAGCAGCCTTAAATCTCATACCGGAAATGCCAAAAACACTTGAAGTCGATGGAAGGCCGAGAAGTTCAGAATTTTATCTTCAAAGTTATGTTACGAAGTTCCTTTCACTTCTGCTTGTTGTGCCGGTACATTTTTTAAATTTTTCACATTAAAATTCTTTATTTTATTCTTCTTTTTACATAGGATTCACCTGAACAAGGCGTTCTTTATCTCTTAAGACTTTTACTAGAAAAAATCAAAGAATTTCAATTTGAAAGTGTGCAAGGAAGTTTAGCGTTTATCTACATCAACGTTCTTGACGTGCTTTGTTGGTGTGCACAGGGAAGTTATCCTTATCACTTCCACAATGTCGTGTCGAATGATCAACTTTATGGAAGTGATCCAAAATTTATCAATGAGATAAATGAAATATCAACAGAAATTGTTGACGAATTGTTGGTCATCATGAAATCTTACAGCGATAAAGTTAAACTTCAAAGTTCCATTTCTTTAGAATTATTCGAGCGTGTCTCAGTCAAAGCCGATTTGAATGATGACAAAATATTCCAATTAGCGTTAAATTTATGGAATTTATCAATAAAACATCGTCAGACACTCGATCCAAAAGCTCACATGAAAATGATTCAACATTTGATGAATGTGAAGGCGTCAACAAGGAATAAAGATTATTGTCATCGAATGGACGAGTTAATAAATCGAATAAAAAGTAAATTATGAGATTGTGTTCATTATGTAACAAACATTAATATTAAAACATTCCAAATTAAATTTTATGATGTCACGAGATTCTTGAAGCAATGTTTATGAATTTATTTATTTTTCTTTATTCAGCAAATAAAAATGTATGATTTGAATGAAGCTGCTTTATAAATGAAATGCATAATGAAAATGGGTTTAAATTTCCATAGGAATCTAAAATCTTCTTTTTCAGACTTTTCCTTGTTCTTGTCTTAACAAGGACATAAGACAACATAAAAAGTAATTAAGATTTGCCCAAGTCGATTGCTTCATCAACATTCACACTAATGAAAACCAAAATCCCATCTCAAATCTCCGCACATGGTTAAGCTCCAATCCAAACTCAATTACGTATTTATTTGTTTATTAAGGAAAATAATTCGCAAAGTTGAAACAATTTTTTGTTCTCTCTTAAAAAAATTCTTTGATTGTGGAAGTTAAGAACATTTTTTCTCTCTGTCTCTCTTTCTTATTGTTGAATACATAAACTGCCAATTAGCGGTCAGATTAGGTCAGATAATTATTCTGTTAACTAACACATGAGATTTGACTACTCTGCGTGATGATAAGAAAGCATTTTTTTTCGTGATCAGGTTTATTTATTTATTTTTATTTCTCAAGTTCTGACTTCATTGACGTATGTTCACAACTCGTTTCAGTGTAAATCCGTACGGGAAGTGTTGAAGATGTACATTCTCTCAAATTGTTCAAATTATATTTATTACGAATCATCATTTGACACTTTAGTGAATAGAAATATGAAAAGTGAACCATCATTTATCGCGAGTGAATTTGATATTACATCCAACTACAATTGTTCAAAGCCAATGTCAAACGATGTTGCACCGGAGGTTAATATTTTATACATCGTCATGGAGATTTTAGTTGCAATCTTTGGTGTGTTGGGAAATTCTTTGGTCATCATCGTGTTTTGTACGACAAGAAAACTTCGACGTCGAACGAATTTTTACATCATTTCATTAGCCTTTGCCGACTTCTTAGCAGCATCAATAGGAATACCTGCAGCTATCCTTGTTAGTTAATTATTCAATCACTCAATTTCAATTATATAATTAAGAAAGTTAACTTCAGATTTCCGTTGGCATACCACATAATTGCAACATGTGCTTGTTGATGATTTCATCACTTTTATCTTTCTTCACAATTTCCATCTTCAGTCTGGTTTTAGTTTCTTGCGATCGTTTCATGGTGAGACATATTTCGTAAATATTTGTTCAATAAATTAAGAAATTTGTTCTATTTTAGTCGATTATCTTTCCATTGAAGTATTGTGAAGAGAAGAAAAACCACATAATCTTTGAGATTGTTGGATGTTGGCTACTTGGCTTTTTTATCGGTTTTCTTCCTTACATATGGCATAAAAAATTACCAGTTAATCGTTGCTTGTATCAAAATGTCATCACTGAGGGACTTCAATTGTTTAGATTTATCGTCGTGATAATAATTCCCATGCTTATCATCTTCGTGATATATGCGATGATATACCGAGTTGTGCTTCATCAGGTTTGCGTGATTTCGTTGAATTTTATGTCGTCACAAAATATTAGATAAAAACTTTTTTCTTTTCTTTCTTCTCAACAGCTTAAACATGAAAATTTCTTGAAGAAGTCTTTTTGTTGCAGTTCCAAGTCACTGGACGCTCATTCAAGTACTAGCATTTCAACAAAGCGAGACATCAAGGTCACGTTAAATGTTTTCACAATTGTTCTTTTCTTCATGATTTGCTGGCTTCCATTAAACATTCTGAAAAGTATAAAAATCCTTTGCACATCATGCACGATTCCCGATGACTTCATCACGTACAGTATTATCTTAACTCACTTCAATTCAGCCATCAATCCTTTGCTTTATGCGTATCACCTTAAAGATTTTCGTCAGTCCATTGTCAAATTGTTTGGATGTTTTTCGAGAGAGTCAGCAACGATTTGACTAAGCCATGGACGAAGCAAAGAAGGAGAGAGAAAAAAAGAAGACCGAGAGAAATAAACATAAACAAAAGTTCGTGTTAAGCACATGGCAATACACGAACATATAATCCGAAGAGAAAATAAAGCTTCGGAGGAGAAAAGCTTCAAGTCGTTATCAGCAGCGAGTCACTGCGGGTGGCAGTGTAACTTCATCATTCGTTGTGTTCGGTTGAACGGTTTGAAAGCTGAAAGTTCATTGATAATTCTTAATTTCTTTTACTGTTTAATGGTGCAATAAATAAAGTTTGAAAAGTGAAATTATTCATTCAATGACATGAAAAGTCAGACAAAATGCGTACATGTTGAAATTTAAAAAAAGGATTAGCAATAAATTTCAGCATCATATTGATTGACGATCCCGTTTTTACAATTTCATCAAATGTGTAAACGTTACGTCGTATGTGTCGATTGTTTAAGTCATAAATTAATTTAATTAATTAATTAAAATTTACCAATATTCTTCTCTCAACATTGTAATTGGTTAATTTCCGTTGACGGGTTTTTTTGTTTGAACTTTCGAAGAGCAGGATAATGATTAATAATCGAGATATCAATAATAATAATTATAAAACTTATAAATAGACAATTTTCACTTCAGATTAGCTATCAACACTTGAAATCTTGTTTATTATTGTGTCAAAACTCGAAACGTAAAAGGTTAAAATCATTAATAAACCCGCTTTCTACGTTATCAGATAATCATCGATTATTAATAGATTTCAGTGTGTATTTTATATCTGATAATTTCATAATCAAACTCATGATGAACTCACGTATAATTGAAATTTTTTCCTGCTCTTATCTCAACTTTTCACATGGAAAATTCTCAAGTTTTCCCTCCAATTGAACTTTGTGATGAAACTTATGTTTTAAATGCTGATAAAAATTTCAGTGGGACCTTGAAAGAAAGTTATAAGGATAATGTCACTGTGATACATCAAAAACATTTTAAATAATTAATAATCTTAAACTTTTCAACTAAAAGCTTTCGACCCGAAATTGTTGCTTTTACTGCAGCTAACAAATTCTCATGGGATGATGAAAATTGAATTTATAACTTTTTATAACACAATTTCCTAAAAGCTCTGAAATCTTTATTATCCCAAACGCACATTGCCGCAAACAAATGCTATTGAACGTGAGAAATTTGTTTAATTTCATCCTTTCAACATTGCATTAATCACTCCAACCTGTCGTTGTTTATGTAAAACTTTTCTTTTTCCACTGAAGCTACTGAAGATTAATTGAATATCAAGAAACAACGAAACTTTACCTACGACGCATCAACGCCTAGTGAGTTAGATTATAAATCTTTGTAATTCTGGATTCTTCGTTACTAGAAGTGTTCAAGTAGAAAAATCTCATTTTCGCAACCTTTGTCACATACAATGCAATTTGATGCGGCATTTTAAGCATAACCAAGGATTTTCTTAGATTCACCGATTAATCCCAAGATGAATGTTTATTTTTAGAACACGTAACTTGACATTTTACTAGCAATAAGTTTCATTGCTTTTACTTTCTTCCCTTATGAGTCGTGTAAATAAGAAAAGTCATCTGTAATCTTTTAAATTCTCCCAAGATCACTTTCTTCACTTGACTTTGCTGTTTTCATATCATTAAATGTCAAGACCACTGAAAACAAAAGTGGAAACATTCTCATCAAATCTAATCTAATTCACCAATTGTCGTTTTTATTAAATCGTTCATTGAATCATTTTCTTTAAATATATTTACTGCGTTTCAACGTAAATTGAGACTCGCTAAGGTCCCCAAAATAAATGTATTAAAATTTATTTCTTTTCCTTAAGAGAATTTTTCTATGTGGGTGTGAGGAAAAGACGTCATTAAAATGGAGATGTTGGAAATCGCAATTCACTTGAGAAAGGGACAATCTTTTAATTATATCTGAATAATTCTGTTGATTTATTCTTGTTATTTCTGAAAATAGTTCACATCCTACAGATTGCATAGTCATTCAATCATAATCATGAGTTTGATAGAATATCACGAGCGATTCATATGTTTAGATCCTTGCCAATTAACATTTGTTAATAACTATTAATTAGTTTTCTTATTTTGGAAAAACCAAGTCAAGAAGCGGCGTCATTCATTTGATGAAATTGTAATCTTAATGGGCAATGTAGGTTTCCGATATCAGTGAAGGTCTTGTCTTGTTCGACTGACTCACATTACATTTATTAAAAATCGATAAAAAAAGTAACCGGAGAGCGAGTAAAAAACTTCAAAATTTATGTGCGGAAATAATCATGAACGAACAATTGAGCATTGTCATAATAATAATATCAATTTTTTATGGATAATCAAGTGATGAAAATTGAGTTAAATAAATGTTGAACTTGGAAAATTTGACATCGTGGAATGAAACAAATTACGAGTTATCAACACCGGAAGATGATTTCCCGCTCTTCACAAACTCGTCAACTCTATCAAATATTACGAACATCACGAAATCTTTACCAGATGACGATGTAGAAGTGGAACCACATCTCAATGTCCCTTATGCAATTATGGAAACCTTAGTAGCTGTTGTGGCTGTAATCGGCAATGCTTTGGTTATCATTGTGTTCTATCGGGAAAGGAGATTAAGAAGACGAACCAATTATTATATTATCTCATTAGCATTGGCCGACTTTCTTGTTGGCCTTTTGGGAATTCCTTTTGCAATTCTGGTAGGTGATGATGAAATAAAAAACTTGAGAAGTGTTAATTAGAGAAATGAGAATTCAATTACTGGCTTCGTTTATCAATTAAGTGACAGCTTAGCAAACTATTTTTTTTTCTTCTCTGTAAAACGTGATTGAACTTCATCACAATGTCTTTAACGTCACTCCAAATCAATGTCACAAAAAACTGATTTTAATAGAAAAGTTTTAATCTGTAAATAAATAAATTTCTGTCAATTCTCGTCGTATCAGGCGTCTGTTGGATTACCAAAAAATCTTTATGCTTGCTTATTCACGACGTCGTCTTTGGTTGTTTTGTGCACAATATCGATATTCTGCCTCGTTGCTGTGTCCATCGATCGATATTGGGTGAGTGGTTGATTTACAATGCAAAATTTTTATTTTTTGACATCATGACATCATTTTAAATGACTTTTTTTATTCTTATTTCAGGCGATTCTCCATCCTTTGGCTTACTCACGCAATGTTCGAACAAAAACTGCGATAGGTCAGTTCAATTGATTATCAAGCTTGTGCTTCTTCCCACAGAAATTTCTTCTTCTTACTTTAATCAATCACATAGGAAATTTTACACCATCAGAATTCATAATCAGACAGTTTCACATTGCAACATCATAATCCAAGTTATGGTGGAAAAACAACAAAAACCTTCTGATTAAATTCATGGTCACATAGTTGTCATCAATTTACTCTTTTTCATACACACACTCAGACATAGAATGTTTTGAAAGAATAAACTTTCACTTTTTATTTCTCGACATTTAAAGATGTACAAAGAAAGTTTCCTTTTCCTTTGTTCATGAAGAAAAATTATCTTTCTACTGACTTATTTCCTTAATTAATTTATTTCTTTTTCTTTTCTTAAAAAGGAATTATCAGTTTGTGTTGGGTTTTCGGATCTGTAATTGGATTTCTACCGGTCTTTGGATGGCACAATGGAACCGAAGACGAACAATGTTTCTTTACTGAAATTATGGATTACAATTATCTCGTTTTTCTGTATTTCACAACAATCATCACACCGAGCATCATTTTGGCAGTTTTTTATGGCTTAATTTATCGTGTTATCTTAAAACAGGTGGGAGTTAATTTAATTGTATTTTAGAAAAGAGTATGAGACACTTGATTGGAATTTTTTGACATTTTATGCTACCTACTAGGTCAATAAAACGTCTTCATCATTACGATTATCATCGACGGGATTAGACAGCAAAGTCAGCACTATGAAACATTCTTCAAGTGAAACGCATGTGCTTCGTTTGCTTAATTCAGCAGCGCAAAAACGTGAAGTCAAAGCAACACAGAATCTCTCAATTATTGTAGCATTCTTCATGATCTGCTGGATTCCACTATACACAATTAATTGCATTAATGCTTTTTGTCAGGAATGTGTTCGAAACGCATCGATAACTTACTTCGGAATTATTTTATCTCATTTGAATTCAGCGATTAACCCGCTACTTTACGCTTACCATTTGAAAGACTTTCGTGGTGCTTTAATCAGATTGTTCACATGCAACAATGTCGATACACATTATCGACCATCATTCATAAGTCAACAACAACAAAGAATCACATCACAAATGAATCAGAGACGATCATATCAACCAAGAACGTACATCGATTCTCCTGTTTATAAACGACAACAATATCAGATGAAAACAATTACAGAAGGCAATTCACACATTCCAAACAATGGAGATTTAAATTTCTTTAGAGACACCGATCTCTCGATTTCAGCAATCGAATCTTCACCACAATTACGTCGAATCACCTCTAGTCAATCAAATAGAATTTATATTATAAGTGATAATCACGAGAAAAATCATACTGTCGAGCCACAGCCAAGTTCACTCTACAACAACATTGTCAATAGATGTAATCAAGAAAAGGATAAAGAATAATTTTTATCCTTTATTTTCCTTCCTTTTAAATAATAAAAGATGTTTAATTCTCATTGTGAACAAAGAAAAGTTTTTTAATGTTTTCTTTTAAAGTATTATTTCATTGAAAATGTAATATATAAAAAAAGAATTTAATTAAATTTATTCTTTTGATTTAAGTGGAATTACGAGAATGACATTTTTGCCATCTTTAAGCTTCCACCATCGACCCAATCGATGTTCTTGACCGATTCCAGCAATGAGTTTACTTCCATCACTTGTAAATGTGAGAGAATTCACGAATCCCCTCACAGGAATTTCAAATTTGAGTTTTATCTCACGAAAATTCTTTTCAAGTTTCCACACACGAATGAAACCATCGCATGACCCCGAAGCAATTAAATCTGTGTTAACTAAAGTTCCAATGGCGCTAATCCAATTGGCGATGCCTGTTGATGATGTGCCATGTGCAAGTTTTTGTTCCGCAATTGGTTTCTTTTTTCCAACATTCCAAAGACATAATGATCCGTCATCGCCACTGGAGAGAAAGAATTCTTCAGTAATGAATTTCACACAATCGATGCTTCCAGAATGTCCATTATAAACCAATTGTGATTCGTCAACGATCTTCCACAAGCGTATTGTTCCATCAGCACCACCTGATGTTAAAGCACGTTCCTTACTTAAAGCATCGACAGATGTTATTTGATTTTGATGACCAAATCTAAATAAAATAAATAAAAATATCACAAATTTTAAGAAGAAATCATGCAATAACTTACAACGTCTCAACATAAACCATTTCATCTAATGACCATACTTTCACTGAACGATCATCACTACATGAGAACATTTGATGTGAATCTTTACGGAAGACTAAACCAGTAACAATTCCGCGATGACCATCAAATGTGTGAATTTTCTTGAGCGTTGATGGATTGTAAATGAAAATTTTGTTACTTTTATCACTCACAGCGAGGAATTCATTATCAGAACTAAGAGCTATACATATAACTGATGAATCTAAACTAATGCATCCAATTTGTTTTTTGTCTTTGATGTTCCATTTGAGGATTTTTCCAGTTTTGCTTCCACTAAACAAAATGTTATTATCCGAAGAAAGACACAGACATGTAATTGGTTGATTTTGTAGTTTATGCTTCAGTGTCACTAGATTTTCTTCATCTATTCCTAAAATATTTTCAGCAAGCTGTTTCTTCAACTTTCCTATGCTATCGAGATAGTCCAACTTCAGCTTTTTACTGACATGTTCGTCTTCGTCATCAGATTTCTTGATTTCATCAAGATACTTTTTTGCAAGACGCAGACGTTTCGCATCTGGTGTTTCTGTATCTTCTTCATCTGATATTTCAGGATGTGACTTGTGATCACCGTTGATCTCCTCGTTTTCACTATCAAGTTCTTCGTCTTGATCTTGTTTATTTTCTACAGGCTTTTTTATACTTGAAAACTGAAGAAATAAAATTAATTTCAATATTTTCCAATATATTCTTATGCATACCTTTTTCGTTTTTCTCGATATCGTTTTTTCTCTTACGAAAAACGACATTTTCTTTATAAACTTGTATAAAAATATTTTTTATTGTTAAAAACGTGTGTTTTGTTATTGTTTGGTGAATTTCTTTTTCATTCCCCTTGTGTGGTGAAATTTTTGAAATGTAATGTTCAAATAGAAACCGTTAAATGTTCAGTGCAAAACTTCATTAAAAATTCAATTCACCACTGAAATGTGAAAAACAGAAATGTCCGTTGATTAACTTAATAACATTTTATGGATATTTATAAACACATAGCACAAGTTAATTAAAAGAAGAATTTCCAAAACTTTTTCATCTTTAACTTCTAAATTTCAAATCTAAGTATTCTAAGCAATTCCAATATCGAATTTATTTGACATTTCACATTGATCTTAGCGATCATTTCTCATTATTACGCTTGAATGGAAAAATATTCAATTTGCTTTCTCCTTATTTTTTTCTCGCCACCCTTGCTTAACCGAGCATGCTTTAGAAAAGGAAGAAAAAGCATTTTGTTAAAGCGCAATTCAATCGTTTGTGAACCGTAGACGAAATAACATGTGTTTGCAGTAAGCTAAGAAATTCAGTATTATTCAATAATTTGAAGTGAACTTTTTCTAGTCTAAAGAAGGAAAAAATCCTGTGAATTAAAAATGATAATTGGTGAGAGTGATCAACGATTAAATGAGAGCAATTATTATGAATCGCCGCAAAAATTTGAAGTTTTGAAAAGGAAATTTTCATCTGAATGCGAGAATGTTCATGAAATGAGTACTTTCAGTGAACAACCAGTTTCGAGTAACTTCGAGAACAAAGTAAATGTTGAAATGCATTATATTGATAATAATGTGATAAGTGAACAGTATCAAACATACCAGGCATCCGAGATTCATCAGGATGGAGAACAGAGTTACATAAATCTTACAGTTTTAACACCCACGCTTCTGCCTTATGACAAAAATCAAACGAACCATCATCAGCAGATGATTAATTTTGCCAACAATATTCAGCACGAAGAAAGTAATAAGCCGACGGTTTCGAGTAGCACCAACAAGTATGAAGTTAAAAATTATCAGCAACAGAATGAAACGGGTAAGCAAAATATGTGACGATTGACCAACAACTACGTGATAAACGATCAAAAACTCATTTCGCATGTTTACACACGCTGTTAATTTATTTGAATAATTTATGTTATTTATTATAAACTGCAATTACGTCCCTTTTCATTGACCGTCTTTTATGAACAATTTCACGCTTCATGGATCACAAATATTGTTTCAAAAAATTAGAAAAATAAATAAAAATTTTCTTATTCCTACAACTTTTATGCAGATAATATCGAGGATAATGAAGACAAGAACTTGTCATGGTTGTTTAACTTTAAGCTCGATGATATCGCCAATTTGTCACCGGAAATCAAAAGAAAGCGAACTAATAACAATCAATATCAACAACAGCAAGCTTCAGAGAATCATCAACAACAAACAAGCTTCTTTAATCCAAACACGACTCAAAAGCAACAATTTGATGATTCAAATCATCAAAGATCATCTAAAGATCCTTGCATTGAAGACGATCTAAATGTTGCTGAAAATATAATAATCAGTAATGCTCCTACTTCATACTCCTTCCACACGTAAATTAATTAAAATTATGTTTTTGTATACGTCATCATTATAATCAAATAAATATTCTTTATTTAGACCAAAAAAGCCGCCATTTACGTACACGGAACTAATCGAATATGCGCTTGAGGATAAAGGCGAGTTGACTGTGTCTGGAATTTATCAATGGATCTCGTAAGTTTACCAACCATTCCCACTACGTAGTTACTCAGTTTAGCAACAAATCTGCATTTAACATGTTGATATTTGTTTATTTAAAAAAGGAAGGATCCTAAACACAAACAATAGAAAAGAAAAGTTTTCTTTTTCATTTTTCAATCGCTTATTTTCGGGTTCATAAATTTCTCTGTGCTTCATGATTAACATAGAAAATCTATCAAAGAATAAAAACGAACGAAAGAAACAACAACAAAAAATAAACCCCGCTCGGCAGGTGCCCATTTTGGGGGTAGACTTCCCAAGCTTCACTTTTATATCTTTTCTTTTATTTTATTCCACCCCTTGCCTTGACTTGAGTGTGAACTTTCATATCGTCTCGATTGGACCTGCTTAAATATGAACTGCTGTGAATGCTTCGCTATGGTTGGAAAGAAGAAAATCGATAGCGATGATGATTCTTTCGGTGCCAAGCACGACTTAGTACGAGCAGAGTGAATGAAAGAGCATTGAGAGAGTCCCATTGGTAAATGTCCTGGAAGTACAAGAAAAGAAAAATGAGAAATTAACTAAATTCTATTTTTTGGTGCTGTGTCTTGTCTTTTTTATTGTTTTGTATAATGAATGAATGAATGACTCGGGATCAGGACATTAAAATGTTCAATTGTTTTCATTCGATTTCAAGCATGAATAGTTTCATTCCACCTTGTATCGAATTGAAACCTTTCTGGCCACTTTTAATTCAAATAAATTATGATACGATCGTTGATAGATTCACCTGATGGACACGGGGCGCACACGACATTCGTAATAACATTTTCTTTATTTCCATTTTATTTTTCATTTCCTGTTCGAAATTTATTTTCAAATTGAAATGTGGGGGCGGAAAAATGATTGAAATTTTTTCTTCTTTTTTCTCTCGATATTGGTAAACGTGTAGGTTTGTGTAATATGAAAATTTATTGGCTTTTGTCAGGTGCTGGTGATTTAAGGCCATTAATTTCATGTCGTGAACTTTCAATGGTTATCGCAAGAAGTGATGCAATTCATTATCGATTTTCGCTCTCTATCAATAACCACAAGAACAGCACATTCACATTTCGATGAAATTGTGATATCTTGAATAAGTTTCAATATCCAATAGAAGCTTTTTGTCAAATATTCGTAACAAGAATAAAGAAAAATGTTGATTTACTGTCAAACATTAAATGCTTCATTCAAATTTTCCTTATCCATATTCAAATTAGATTCAAAAGAAGACAAAATAAAGGAAACGAATGAATAGAATAAAAGTGTATGCGAACGATAAATAATTGGAAATCATTGATCCGTGTAAAAGGTGCAACTATTGAAAGACCAGCGACAGCAGTAAAACTTTACAATTTATTTTATTTTTTTGTCTGTCCATTGATGCAATTCAGGATGAAATATTTTTGCTTTAAATTCTTTTTATCGCGTGGCAAATTCGCAAGCTTGCAATTCAAACTTTAAATTGTGATTTGTGTGTGGGAAAATATTTTCCAAGTTCATTCGACTTTAATGTTGCACCATTTTTAATGTGCATAACAGAAAACTCGCTTCCCATTGGTCAACTGCTTACTGCTTGAAAATTCTTTTTTAAAAATGTTCATAAATCGCATGCTCAGAACAAGCATTGTACATGATTACGTGAAGTCACGCAATGTTGGACATCTAAAGGATATTGAAGCATAATAAAATGACGTGTGACATAATTTATGAATTCTTATTTTATGTAATAATCCCGCCCACAATTTTTTATTATATTTTGTGGCTTTTATATTAACAAAGTGAAATATTACTTAAAGGATAATTTACTTGATTTCTTTACAGTGACCGCTTTCCTTACTACAAATCTAATGATGACCGTTGGAAGAATTCTGTTCGTCATAACTTATCGATTAATCCACATTTTCGTAAAGGGAACAAAGCAAAAGCTGGCGCAGGTCATTTGTGGAAGATTTCAAGTCGTGAATCAGAAGCAAATTTCTTAGCGTGGGAACATGTAAGTTGAATTGTTAGTAGTCGAGTTGAAGTGTCAATCTAAATCTCTAATATTATTCGACTTAGAAGAAACAACGACTGGAACTGTTCTTTAAAATGGAAGCCGCCAATCAATTGAAGCGCCAAGAAGCAAGTCAAAAGTCGTCAATTGATATGAATCTAAAAGCCATGAATTCTCCATCGTATGATGCTGAGCTTTCTGCAGCAACAGCTTCCATCATAAGTCTACCTGTTGATACATCGTCGCCAATTATCACAACGCATTGTGAAGTAAAACTAAAATCTTTGATAAAATATTTTCAAATCCAACTAAATCTGTTAAATCTTTTCAGTCTGATTCTCCGGTGAATGGTCAACTGTATCAATTTCATGAAATTCATCCAGTTAATAATCCAAATGAAGATCTCCGAAGAACTGCTGGTGAAATTCTCAATGGTGTACGAAGAAATGTCGAAGTTCAAATTATGCATCCAAATGAGCTTCAATCGTATTCGATTTTGAATTCCGGTGAGAAATTTCTTTGTAAATATTTTGAAATCTTTTTAAATAAAATTTAAATTTAATAGAAGATTATCTTAATCCAATATCGAAAGAAGAAATTATGCAAGAAAGTGGTTTGGGACGTCGTTATGATGAATTTTATCTCATCGACTCCGGAATCAACATGACAACCGCCAATGGAAGTGAAGAATCAACAGAAGTCTTTGAGATCTTCCACGAAGATTTTAATCTCAATTACTTTGGAAACAACAACATCATTGCATGACAGAGAGCAGATGATGGAACACAAAGCAGCAAGCAAGTGTTTGTTAAAATTAATTAAAATTGTGTTGTGGGTTGTTGCTGATGTTTCGAGTGAGTTTTACAAAAAATCAAAAAATTTCTTTCAATAAATTTAATCAAATAGAAAATTTTTCATGTGAAAGTTGGAATAAAACTTACAAAAGAATTGAAAGATTTTTTTTCTTTTCATGTGAGAAGATTTCTTACTCAAACATATTTAAGATTATCTTTAAAAAAAAGTAAACTGAAATTGTAGAGAATTTAAAAAAAATTAATTAATTTATTGTGTAATTTTAAGCTTGTGCAATTTTTCTATAATTCATCACAAATACTCAGTAATGAGAGCGCAATAAAATTTAAATCTGATCTGGTCAAACGTCTCATTTTATAATATTAAATGTAAGAATAAGAAGATAAACTGCAGCAAGTGCCAGATAAGAATATCCATAAATTTGATATTGACCACTTGGTGGCAACATAAATCCATTTGAAACAACTGAGAGTGTGACAATTGTTTGTACAGTTAAAGCTACAAGCGTGTTGAAGCCAAAAATCAACCCGTAAGTGTCATCAGCGAGATTCTTCGCAATTTCTGTCGCACAAATTGTGATACTAAAAGCGTAAGCCACACCAAATGATATATAAAATGCATAACATGAGATTAATGTTGTGCTTGTTGCTGCGAGAAGAACAAAACATCCTTGCAAGCTCGACATGACAATCAACACCAATAATCTTTGTTTCTGCTTTTTCAAGAAATTAATTTGAATTTTTCCAGCAAAGATTGTAGCCAAAGCTCCAAGGAGTGTCAGAATTGCTTCAACATCTCCATTGAATATTTCTCCTTCCTTTTCTTCGTTGATTTCAATCCAAAGAACTTGAATGTAAGACGTGATTTGTAGATAAAAACACATCGCAATTGCATAGAAAAAGCTCCACATCAACACTGTCTTGTTACTGTAAGAAGACTTGAAGTGCATCCAAATAAGATAAAATGCGTCGGTCATTCGATTATGTTTGAATGTTTCAGGAAGATTTCCATCATTCTTATCTCGATTGAAATATAAACTTGTCTCAACACGAGGGATGAAGAAAGCCCAGATGAGTGCCAACACCAAATCTAGAAGTAACAAAGATATCTACGTCACGTGTACAATCAGATTTTCATTGCAACAAACTTATTAAAGTGAGGTAGTTGAGTTGCCGATAGTCCATTAAACCGAAGTACACGAGCCTTTGTGCTGTGACAGCTGCAAGAAATCTTCCTATAAAAATTGCAGCTCTTGTATGTGATGTCACCGCCTGATAATGTTGCTTGTCAGTCTTTGCGTAAATATAACTAAAGTAAGCAATCTCTGTCGCACAAAATGTGCCATAAATGACTTCAACGATTTGTAGACTGAGAACGGAATTTGTCCATAAAAGCATGCTCCATATTGCGACCCCCGACGATGCCAATAAGATTATTAATGGCTTGTACCGCAACAAATCAGTCGCTAAAAATATGACGACGAGTTGTGCGAGATAAGAATAAGTTCCGATTGGAAAAATGTCTTGATTAACTTGTTCAACTGTGATGTTCTTGAACTTCACGATGAATTCAGTGATGAAAGGTTCTGATGGTCGCGTTTCCTTTAATAATCCGAAAGTGCTGAGAATCAGCGAAAGTTTTAAATATTCTTGCATATCGATTCCCTTTTTTTTGCCACAACAACCTAGCCGTACATCTGAGTAGCTCTGTTAATCTCAATAAACTAATACTTTCAATTGCCTTTATCTATAGCAATTCAATGTGTGAATTGAAGTTTTTAATGAGTGTTCAATACAAACTTCTATTATTTGTGATTGTTTGTTATTTATGATGGAAAAATAAAACTAATGACTTAATAAACATTGATTAAATATTAAGATAATTTAAAATTTTGATTTATGAGCTTTCGATGAATTTTTTGTGAAGGTGTTTGATGCACCAGTACAAGCTTAATTTAAGTGAAGGTGTTTGATGCACTAGCACAAAGTAAAGAAATTAAAACGTCATTATTATGCCAGATGTTGTTGAAAATTGAGAATTCATAAATTACTTTATAATATTTTACGCATATTCGCGATAGGTGATATCTGTCTCTAAACTCCACGAGAAGCTTTAATCAAATTTATCGTCAATCTTTGTTGATATTTACAATTAGAGTGAGTGATTTCACTTCAAAAGTGTCAATTACAGGAATCTCACGAACGTAGTAGAAATTTAATCGAATTAAGTGTGACACTTTACTTCGTTCAGTTGAGATTATACTTAATCATCAAAAAAAAGGAGTTTTGGATATCTGGTGGCGTGTTGTTTACTTGAAACTTCGCTTAATAGTCTCATTTTAACATTTGACTTGATTAAACCAAGTTCAGGTTTTGTTTTTTAAAAATTTTAAAGCTTACGCATTTTAACGTCAACATTCAGGTTTTCTAAAATGAATTATGATGAAGTTCTTCCGCATTTGTCGAGAGGCAATTTCGGGAAATATCAAACGAAAATTTACATTTTACTTTGCTTACCGTCTTTGATAATTGCTTTTCATAACATGAGTGGTGTGTTTATTCTTGCTGTGCCAGATCATAGATGCAAATTAGATGGAGAATTGTCAAATGCGTCTTTTAAATTACCTGACGACATTCTAAATTATTCAATTCCGTTCGACAACTCAAAACAAGAATATTCAAAGTGTGAATACTTTAGAGCAGATTCAAGCGAAGCAGTAAAATGTTCAGAATTTATTTGGGATGAAAGTAAAGTAGAAAGTTCAGCAGTGAAATCATTTGCATTAGTTTGTGATCGTGGAATTTTAAAAGCGACAGCCGAAGCAATTTACATGTTTGGAATTTTGATGGGATGTTATTGCTTTGGAAGCTTTTCAGATAAGTTTGGAAGACGACCAGCTTTTATGCTTGCAATGCTTATTCAAATTTTGTTTGGATTTTTAACTGCTTTCGCACCTGAATATCTGTCGTTTGTGATATTTAATATGGTAAGACATGATAGGGTTTCAAAGCTTCCAGCAATAAAAACATTTTCTTGATTGTTCTAAGATTGTCGGAACAACAACAAGTGGAGCGTTCTTATCAGCTTATTGCTTATCTCTTGAGATGGTTCGCAAGGAATCCAGGAATTATGCTGGGACTATCATCTTGATGTTCTTCTCTACTGGTTACATGTTGGTTGGAGCATTTGCCTATTTTATCCATAATTGGAGATGGCTTAAGATCTCCTTAACACTCCCCAGCCTGCTTTTCCTTTCATATTGGTGGTTTATTCCCGAATCAAATCGTTGGCTTTTAGTAAACAATCAAAAAGGCAGAGCATTCGCACAAATCGAGAAGATTGCAAAAACCAACAAGGTCAATATACCTAAAGATATATTAAATAAGCTCGTAGCTGAAGAGGATGACAATAAAAACCAAAAAAAATCGCTTTTTGGACTCTTCAAGTCTCCAAAATTACGTATCAAATCACTTCTTATCTTTTTTTATTGGTTTGTCATTTGTGGCGCGTATTATGGATTATCATGGAATACCAGCAATTTGGGTGGAAATGAGATTATAAATTTCGTAATAAGCGGAGCTGTTGAACTTCCAGCAAATTTCTTTCTTTTATTTGCACTTAATCGATTGGGCCGAAAACCAATTTTAATGGGAGGTATGATAAGTGCGGGTGGATTATTTTTAATTTCAATCTTCTTTCAACAATCACATACATGGATATTCATTTCTCTAATAATGTTGGGAAAGATGACAATTACAGCAAGCTTCACAACAGTTTACATTTTCTCAGCTGAACAATTCCCAACAGTCATTAGAAATGTTGCAATTGGAGCTGCAAGCATGTCAGCAAGATTTGGTGGAATGATCACGCCTTACGTCTTTTATTTATCCAATTATTGGCAACCAGCACCTTTTTTGATTTATGGCATTGCAGTATCAATTGCAGGAATTTCTGCAAGTTTTCTCAGCGAAACTGTCAACAGACAACTGCCAGAAACACTTGCCGACGGCGATGAATTGTAATTTCAATGCATTTATAAATAAAAGTAGTTCTCTTAAATGAAAACTATAAATGGCTACAAAGTTTTGCTTGCTTTTCTTGTGAAAATGTTATCAAATAACTTTTCAAGTAATTTATTTATTCTAATTTCATTTAATAAAATTGTTTTAAGTAAACTTTGATGATGAGTCAATGTTGAGCTCGAAAGAAGTCAATCGAAGAAATAAATGCAACAAAGTATCGATAAGGAAGTTTGTTGACTTTTAGGTATTCAGCAATAGCAGATAACGCAGATTATTTAATTTCGTAATCTTCTGATTACTGACCTTTTTGTTCTTAACAACCTTTCTGATTCCACTCAATCTTCAAACACAAATAAACGAAATTAAAAAAAATTTGTAAGAAATTTTCTTTATTGCAAATCGAAAATTTTATTTTGAATTTTTTTATAATTCAGATTGTAAGCAGAGATATTTTAAGTAATGTAACATGATCAAAAGCATTCGATGCCTTTAAGTCTAATTTTTAATTTAATTTACTTACTTCTAACATTAATTTATGAAAATTTACTAATGCTATTTAAAAAAAGTGTCATCTTTGAGTCACCAAAACAATTCAACAAATGTGGAAGTCAGAATAATTTATGAGCTTATAAAACTTGGACAATTCCCTGGTAGTTTCTTTTTTTTTATTTTCCTAATTCATTAACTTATTCAAAAGCTTAAGGAAAAAAGTGTTTCTATATTGTACAACGTGCAATCAAAGTTTAATGGACGTTTTTCCTGTGACAATTTCTTTAAATTCAAAACGATAAATATTCATGCATCTTTACAGTCTTATATCCTTATCTAACTTGAAAAAAAATGATCTGTAATCAGTCGATTAGAATAAGTATTTATTTTCTTACTGAAAGATTAAAAAACTTAATTTTATAATCTCAATTGATAGTTAAAATTTGATCACTTCTCCTCTATTCATCATTGTAAATATTTAAATAATATTTGAGCTTACTTTCACCGTCATTCAGATGATGTTGTTGATATTCCTGTGTTGACACGACCTCCCATCATAACATCATCAACGTTGTTATCTTTGGAAGCATTTTCATGACGTGTAAAAGCTTTTACAACCAATCCCGAAGGAAGTGAATCTCTCATTGCATGTTCGTGAAAGATTGCACGAATTGCATGGTTTTTATTTTGATATGTGGTGCTTAAGATGATTGGCTGTGATGTTGGAGTAGGAATTGATGACACAATGTTACTCACAGGTGTACTCACCGTGCCAGATGGCAAAATTATCTGTTGAATAGATTCAGGTGGAACTAATTGTGCATCCAACTAATTAACATTCATTTTTATTTTTTGATCATTAAAATTTCCTGATTGTCAATAAATTTTAATATCTTTTACCTGTTGAATCGGTTGTGGAGCTCTTAAAACAAACTGAGAACGTGAAATGTTTGCCGTTGTAGTTGCAATTGAAGTTGAAACTTCAGCATTTCCTTGTTTATTATTTTGAGTGTCATTTGCAGAATTTTTCTACAAGAAAATTAAGAAAAATGTCAAAATTGAACTCAATTAATCGACGAAATCGTACATTTGTGCAATATTTTTGATGAAGTTGCCAATGTGTTTTCTGACATTGTTGACCACAATAACTTGTATTCCAACAACAATAAAATCGAGCTTCTTTTGTACAGTTTGAACACCAAGTCGTCTTTTTTGTTTCTTTTCTCGTAATTTCAATGGCACGTTGCTTTTCATTCTCACATTGATGACGAATATCATTAACAAGACGAATCTTTTCTTGTTCCATTGTGAGTTGTAATGAAGTTACTCTGTCATCTGGTAACAGAACATTAAAGTAATAAAAAATTGATCGGAAAACAATTTAAAATGAACTCACCATAAGTCTTCTTAATTGTTTCAATTTCTTCTTGATGTTCACGTCGTATTTCTTGCATTTTATATTGAAATTCTGATTTTAATGTTGCCATTTCGAACTGCAATTTTTCAATTTCTTTTCTTAACATTAAATTTTCAGCTGCTGGTATTTCAGGTGCAAACGACGTTACAGTATCAACGAGAACATTACGAAAGAAGTCTGTGACTCGATGAGCATTATCAGTAAACATTCGAGATATTGGTCCAATGTCACGATGAAAATGATTTCCTTCAGAACTAAGAACGCTTCCGCGTCCCAATGGAGCAAGTCTTGGCAAGTCCATTCTCTGTTGGTTGTTGTTATTCATTGATAACCTTTGACCATTCACTAAATTTGGTGAATTCATTTGTGTTGAACTTTGTCGATTATTCATGTTGTCAATATGATGGGGAATTGCAGACACAAAATTTGGGATGAACGAGCGATTTGAATTACTGTTGTTGGAATTTGTTCTTGAAGTTCCCGATCGGAGTTGTGAGATGGAAACATGTGAATCGGTTGCAGGAGTTGATCGATTTGATGATGAAGGTGATGGCATATTGGATGCATTTGATGGTCCATTTGTTGACGTTACAGTTTGAGGAATACTTACCATCCACCCGTCACCATTTTGGGCTCCCTGCTCAGCTTGTCGGAGATTGAAATTATTTGGAAAAGTTTTTCTTGCTCTTCCGCTTTGACTTGAAGATGGAAGATTATTATCAATTCTTTCACTGTTTGTCGTTATCACAATGACTTTCTTCTTTCCACTTTTGTCTTGTGTTAAATTTGGTATGTCACTGATTCTTAAACTATTTTTTAATATTTCTTCACGAACTTCGTGATCGGATATTGGCTCATCTTTAATCACCAAATTTGGATCGTACAGGACTTCATCAGATGGTTTTTCTGCTGTCGGTGTTGTCGTTGGTTTTTCATGTGTGGAAGCGTCACGACGCTTTTTGATGCTTTCAGCTTTCTTCTCTGGTACTGGAACTGAGATTGACAATCTTAAAGGTGTTTCAGTTTCTTTGGCCTTTTCCCCTCCTGTGGATTTTGCACGATTTAACTTTCGACTTTTTGATTGACTTTGTTCCTTTGTTGAATGGTTTTCATTTTTCTCTCGAACAGTTTGAGCTTCATTTGTTGTAATTAAAGTGGTTGGAACTGGGACAAGTAAAGGTTCGTCAGCTTTAGGAAACAAACTTTTCAATCTTGACCGTCTTGTTGCTCTTTGAACAGTTGAATTATCTGATAACTTCTGTGAATCGTCAGTTGTTGAGATCTTTTGTTTCGTTTTCTTTTGTGGAACTTCAGAATGTGAAATTTCTTTTTCATCTGTTTTAGAGGAATTCTTGTGTTTTGATAGCTCATGTGGAACTTTTCGTTTTGCTAATTTCCCACTCATCACATTTGAATTGTTTTCGGAAGATTCTGTTGTGTTGTCTGTGACAATTTTTGGTCGTTTTGCTTTTTCATCGTCTTGTTCAACATTCGACTTTCTCTTGATAATCATTTTCTGTAGCTTTCCCGAAGCTTCTATATCTGTGTTGTCATCATTCTGGCTGAGAATTTTGTAAAATTTTGGACGATCTTTTGCTGGTGGAGTTTTATTTGATTGTGCTGATTGTCTCAACTCACCGGGTTTCAGTTCAACTTGATAATCACAAGATTGATTTTTAATAATTTTCAAAGTAAGCTTCTTCGTTTGAACACCATCAGATATTTCTCTTTCGGTCTTTTGTCCATTTAATCCGGGTAACATAAAATTTAATTGTCCTTGAAGATTATTCGGATCAAATTGTTGACGAAATGGCGAATATCTGAATCCATATTTTTCACGAAGGTTTTCAATGTAAATATCTTTCTCTTTCATAGCATCAAGTATTCCTTTCTGAGGCTTACTGGCATTTTTAGCATTGGTTGGTGTCGATCCTTTAGTTTTATTTGGATCTTTCTCACTTATCAACATGCAGTGCGCTGCAGGCACCCAAGCTCTGTCATGAGCACCAAAGAATCGAACATCAACTTGTTGTCGATTGTCCACTGACATGACTTTTGCTGGCCAATAAGGATACTAAATGAGAACGAAAATTGATTAGAAATGAGAAAGAAAACGCATTTTATGCAAGTTATTAAAGGTCTTAGGTTTAAGTTCAATTCGCTTTGAATTCGCTCCAAAGTTCAAATCAAAGTTCAATTTGAAACGTTTTGTCAATAAAATTATTAATACCTAACAATATTATTCTAGATGGAAAGTAGATTAAAAATATTATTAAGACCAAATTGACCTTTAGCTACGAAAACAATTTACTGTTAATTTTACTTATATGCGTATCAAGTTTTAAACTTACACCTTTCAGCTTCGCCCATATAAGTAAATGAGTTCGTTTACATGGTTGAACGAACCAATCAGTCTTCACAAATGATTGCTCATAGCAAAACACACAAGCTTCAAGTTCATAAATCTCCGAGCTGACATTCTTTACAATATTTTTAAGTATCTTTGATTTACTTCGATCAACAATGTTCCAATTATGTTCAAGCTGTTTAAAATCGTGTATGAAGACCTCTGTTGTCTTGTAATAATGATTTTTGATCCGCGTGTCGATGATTTTCAATGAGATTGGAGTAACAATCAGCTGTTGATTTGTATCTTTCGATGTCTTCACAACAACATCATTTTCAAAATGTTCCCGTCCAGGAAGTAATCGAATTTCTTCCAAAATTATTGCAAGCATATCAGCAAGTGTATTTGTATCAATTCTCTCATGACCACATTTATTCACGTTTGAACTTTCAGCTACTTCAATTTCACGACATTCAGGACAAATAAATTCATCAGCATTTTTGGGAATTGGATTTGGGCGGACGCAATGTCGATGATAAGAACATTTACACTTTGAACATGCGAGTGTAAGCATTCTCATGTCTGTGTGACATTTGAAGCAGAATGAATCCCATCCAGGCTACAAAATAAATTTTAAATATTAAAAATTAAGAAAAGAATTTTTTTAAAAGTTTTACTTTTGGTGGTGGATTCACCGTTCGTCCTTCAATTGAACGAATTGTTGTAAACGAATTTTCACTAATTTGATCATCATCATCGTCGTCTTCCTCTAGTTGTGGTTCTTCTTTATCACTCATCATTGAAAGTTCATCATTCATTAACCGTGCGATTGATTTCTTTCTTCCACGCGTTGCGTTGACTGTTCGACCTCTGGATCTTGATAAAGATTTCCGTCGATTAGCTGTTGGTGGTTCCATTTGATTTGTTGCATCACTATGATAATGATCTTCGTTTCGTGAATCTCTTGTTGAAGTGTCTTCTTCTTCAGGTTCGTCAGCAATTGAAGAATTTTCATCAACAACTGGTACTGATGTTAATTTTTTATTCTTTAAAGAGTCTTCAAGCAATTCTGACTCCTCATTTGGTGGTAAAGTTTCTTCGCGTTCCTTGGTCTTACTTCGATTTCGACTACGACTGCGACTTTCATTTGTTGTGTTTAGATAATCAGAAAGAATCCTTGAGTCGTTTGTTGACTTTCGTAGATTTCTCATTTCACGTATCGGTTTTGGCGAGTCTACATTTTCATCAAACTTTTCTGAATATTCTCTTGACGAATCAATATTTGATGAACTGATCAGTTCAATGCCGATTGGATCTAAGCCATTGTCGATTGCTTCTTCGTCGTTTTCTTCTGATATTTCATAAGAGTGTAGAATAGCTGGTGGTGACATTTCTACATGCTTCTCTTCACTTCTTCCTCTTTCAGCAATTTCAAAGTTCATTTGCTTTGTTGGATTATCAATAGATTGTCGAATCGTGATTTTTCCAATTGGCGATGTTCGATCAATACTCGTGACTCGAATTATCGCTCTGGGAACTTTCATTTCGATTATTTCTTCATCAATTTCTCTCGTATCTTCCATGGTTGTCTGATACCTTTATTTAGTGTCTCCTTTTAACTTCACTCAACCTAAAAGTCAGATAAAATAAAAAGAAATCTGATCAAAATATAGAAAACGTGTTAGCACAAAAATTCACTGGAAGTAAATGATTTTTTAGCGATAACAAATGAACTTTTTTTTCGACCTCCTTCTGTTCTATGATGTTATCAATTCAAATAATTTAATAGAATGGCGCTCGATGGAAATTTGCTCACAATATGACTGAAAGTTGAGGAGAATCTTGAGATGATCTTGAGGATTACGAAACAATTTTTTCTTCACTGTTTAGTTTTTTTTTTCTTTCTTTCTTTAATATCTCACAAACGCACTTGTGGAGGTGGAAGAAGATGATATTTGCGTTTGTTCATAAAGTTGGCTCAGGTGTTGATTTTCAGCAAAAACACAAGTTTTGAGTTCATATTGAAATTAAAGGAAACTTTTTCTTGATTCCACTGATAAATTTGTAAAACTTTGAATATTTGTAACCTACTTTACTTTTAACCTTGAGAAGGATTATCAACTGTTTCAACTATGAAATTATTTTATTATCTTTAGCTTTCTTAAAAAAATGCCTTCAAACAAAGATCTGGGATTGAAAACCTTGAGAAGTGACAAACCTTTGTGAATTTTCTTTGAAATTCAATACAAAACGAAGAAAATAACTGAATATCGATTGATACAAGTATGAAAAGTAAACATTTGTTTGGAAATGTATCAAAATATGTAATAAAATAGAATAATATCGACAGGAACATTTTGTGATCCCGGGCATGAGCAAAAGCATCAAAAATTTTGACAAACGTGGTGCATTGTTATGCGTCAAATGATTCTTAGGCCAAGTATTCAATGAAAAAGATTATGTTGTTGCTTGAAAATATCTTGGATGTCAACCAAAATCTTTGTTTACACTTTTCATAGCTTGTATCCAGTGTAAAATCATATAATGAGGAAAATTTCTGACCTTTAGCTAAAATACAGACAAAATTCTTTGAAACTGGAATTAAAGTAAGAAAATTTTATTCAATTGACTTCTCACCAATGTTATCATTCTTATAAATGTTTTGTTTGCTGTTTAACGTAAAATAACCTTTTAATTTAGTTTCTTTCCTTTAATTTTCTTCGTGAAATAACTTCAACTTTCGTGATGATGATTGATCACTAACACTACCAAATGCTTCTCTAAAAACGTAAAATTAGGCAACGTCGCACGGTTATACAAAATTATCAAAAATTAACCAATAGGAAAATATTTTTAAGGAAATGTGTTGAAATAAGACATTGTTGATAATCGAAACTATTTGTTTTTAAGTTATATCATAAATTTATCAACATTACGTTGTCAATGATCGATCGATGGATCATGCAATGTTGCCAATTATCCATCTCGCATTGTACTGTAGATAGAAATTCCAGAAGATAACGCAAAGAGTTATATGAAACTAATATCCAAGCAGTAAGAATGTCAATAAACTTCAACGAAAACCTTGCTTACAGAAAAGAGACTGCAGAAACCTGTTTACACAACGTTCTTATACAGTTCCGCAATGTTAGGCAATGAACAAGTGTAAACAATAGTTTAATAATTCCATATGAAATAAATGCTAATTGTTCAATTTTTGATATCTTAAAGATAAATAAAGACAAATATTCAATGACAAAAACAGGCTTTTCTTTTATTCTTTAAGCTGATTCCATTCAATGACAAATAAGAGAAGAAAAAATTAATAAAAAACTACAAACTTAAATAAGTTACCTGAAATAAGAAAAGAAAAAGTCAATCAGCGAACTGCGCAATGACAAATGTCTTTGAAAGATAACGAAACATTGTTGACTCTTTTCTTCTTGTTTTCGGTAAAAAATAGAAATCTACGCTGATTGTATATATTTAATGTTTGCTTACGATAAGCGAAATGACGAAGATGTTTATCGAGTGCGAGTTACAATAAAACAAATAATTTTTAACTGGAAAATTCTATCAATAAATTTTCATCGTCATTTCATGAACTTCAATCACAGTTCCTTAAATTTCATTTCAACGAGTTTTTTTCCATTTTTAAATTCAGTCTTTTAACAAATTATTCGCGACGCGATATGATGAAATTTAAGCAAATGTGTTCAAATCTGTTTTTATCATTCTAATTAATCATTTTCAGGTTGAATATTTTTGCTTTTAGATGATTTCAGCTTTTGAATACATTCGTCAACTTTTGCTTTAAAAGCATTTGCAATATCTTCATTCTTAAATCGAATTGCAAGTTGTTCAGTTTCACCCGATGAACTTTCAGCATAATTCATTCCAGCCCATAAGAAGGCTTTCGGTGAGTTATTGAATGGTGTCATAAGGAAATCATTTGTTATCAATTGATTTAAAACGAGTTTAAAAATTTGTTCACGTCTTTGTAGTAATCGATAAGTTCCATTTGCCCCATGATGTAAAATTTTTATCTCACCAACTCCTACGATAAAGAAAATAGGAAATTAACAAACTTAATTAATTCTATCATTAAAATTTTCTCACCTCTCTCTTTCCATTCCTTTTCTTTTGAGTCATAACGGAAGAGTTTTGCACGTTCTCCAAACAACTTTTCTTCCTCTTCTTCACCGGTACTAACGTTAATCTCATCAGGTAATTGAATAATTGGATCATAATGCGGATCGTAGTTATCATCATTTGTATCATTCCCGTCGTTATTACCTGAATCAGCTGCTGTTCCGGAATTATTCAAATTCTTGCTGAAGAAATCTTCTTTGACTGTAAGTCCATAAAAGCCACCAGCGGGACTGTTGTTTGCTGAACCCCATCCTTGATTATTTGTTGCTGCTGCTGCCAATGCTGCAAATCCACCGCCATCGCTGTTCTTTTGAATAAAATCAGGAACAACTGCGTCATTTGTCTTATTCGATTCCAACTCTTTAGCAGCATCAGCGAAGCTAAATGAAGATTTAAACTCTGAACCGAAAATATTTCCTGTTGGTTCTGTATTAACTTTATTATCTGAAGATATTGACGCAAAGGTTGGAGTATTTGAAAATGCTGTTTCAACTCCATTTTCTTTATTCATACCACTGTTAAAAATGTTGTTGGTCTTATCGCCACTTCCAAATGTAAAATTTGTTTTGTTTCCAAACAATCCACTGCCAGAGAATGTTTCTGTCGTCTTGGTGCCGAATGTTATGCTTGTATCAGCTGTTGGTGTTGCAGGCGTTGTGTTAAGTGACGAAGAGAAGATCGAGTTCGTTGTTGATGGAAAACTGTTCGTCGTTCCAAACACTGAAGACGTGCCGAAAAGTGTAGACGTTTGTGACGGCGGATTTTCGGCATTGAACGTTGCAAAGATGTTCGTTGATCCTTCTGACTTCTTAATCCCACCAAACAATGATGCAATCTCTTTGACATTACCCGACCCCATCATTGGTTTACTGTCGTTGCTGTTCTCTTCATCAATTTTAAATGAAACATGTTTGTCAACACTTTGTCTTCGTGGTTTGGGATTTGGTTTAATCGATGGGGATTGTAATGAAATTTCTGACAATGAATTAACATTTTCAGATGTCTTCGGGGAAGTGTAATCATCAGGATTGCAACCAATGCATCCAGGACAATCTTGAGCGTTGATGTAATCGAAGAATCCTTCTGGCAACATCAACTTCTTCACAAGCTCCGATTTCTCATCAGCTTCTCCATCTTGCTTCTCACCCATATCAGTCGTCGAACTAGCCAATGCATCATCAATCGCTTTTCTAAATTCTTCAGCAATTTCCTTCGTCTTAAATCGTATAGCAAACAATGTTGGTTCAAATTCACCTTCCGAGAAATCATTTGCACCAAATGACCATGAATTGTCATTCTTACGTTTCAATTCAATCTCATCGGTGAGGAAGAAGTTTAAGCAAATTTTGAAAATTTGTTCTCGTCGCATGACAACTCTGTAAAGTAAATTTACTTAATTAAAATATTTAAATGAATTAATGAAAAAAGATTATTTACCTCAACTTTCCAGTTTCCTTGTGCTTTAAGATTTTAATATCGCCAAGTCCACGTTCTTTCCATTCCTTATCAGCGGTGTCTTGTGAGAATCGATACAACTTTGCACGATGACAATAAAGAACTTCTTCATTCTCCTCGCCCGTTACAATTTCAACTTTTTCGGGTAAAGGAATAACTGGAGTGAAGTAAGTTTGATTCTCTTCTTCATGATAATCGTCGCCATCTTCATCATCACCCCCTCCACTATTGACACTGTCATTACGTGACTTTCCTGGTGATTTTGACTTCACTGGTGACTTTGATTTAAAAACAAAATTAAAACTTGGGTGGTTACTCAGTGACGGAGATGAAGTTGAAGTATCAACAACAGCAGAAGTTGAATCTGGCTTTGGAACACCAAACGAGAAAGATTTCAAAGCGTCAAGTGGGAAATTGTTTGATGAAGTTGAATCGGCGGCATTTTGAGATGCAGTTGTGGTTGCTGGTGATGAAAATCCAAAACTTATTGGTTGTTGTTGTTGTGAAGTTGTTGCGGAAGTTGTTGTAACAGCCGCTGGCATTCCAAAACTGAAGCCTGAAGCTGTTGGCATTCCGAAACTGAATTTAGGAGCATCAGCTGAGGAAGCTAAGACTGATTTGGCTTCTTTCTTTGGTACTGTGTTGTCTTTAGGAGATTCGCATGCAACACAATAAAGAGTTTCAGGTTTGTTTGTTATGTAACAAGCTTCACATGACCATGAACCGGCTTTAGCTTTAAATTGATCACCGAATCCTTTAACTTCAGTTTTCTTTTCTGTTTCTTTCTTTTCCGTTGTTACTTTCACTCCATCCAAATTTTTCTGAACATCACGAACCGATTCGAGAAACTTTTCAACTATTTCTGATGTTTTAAACTTTATCGCAAACTTCTCTGTCATCATTTCATTCTCACTGAAATCTTGTCCGCCAAACGAGTAAGTCGTGGCATTCATTTTCATGAATTTCAAATCTTTCGTGATGATCATGTTGCAACATAACTTCAGAACTTGTTCACGTCTCATCAACAAACGTGCTTTGCTTTGATTTTCTTTATTGACGAGAACTTTCATCTCACCAATTCCACGTTCTTTCCATTCCTTAAGTGAGGTGTCGTAACGAAGAAGTTTTCCACGATGTGTAAACTTCACATTCTCATCTTCTTCACCTGTCTTCATATCAACGAGATCAGGTAATGGAATTACTGGCTCAAATTGTGCTGTTGGCTCGTAATGGTCAACATCTTCCTCATTCGATTTATTCAAAGTTGACACAGCTGCTGGTTGTTCTGTTTGTGGTGCAAACAATGACGTTGATGACGATAAATCAGATTTCGGTGTTGTTGAAATACTTCCGAATAACTCCGAGAATGATTTATTTGTTGATCCTTGACCAAATGTGAAATTAGCAAAAGGACTTGGCTGTGTTGAGTTCTTTGTCGCATCCGAAATATTTTTTGTAGGTGTCGATGAGAATGTTGTGGAAATTGGTTGCTTTTGTGCTCCACCAAATGTAAACGTTGAGTTTATTGCAGGAGAATTAAATGAAGGTTGTTTTACCTTTGAAAATGAATTAAATGAATTAAATTACATAAAAGAATTAATTTTCATACCTTTTCATTAGTATCCTGAACCTTCAATGCTTCTTTACTCTTCTCCTGAATCACATCTTTTGGTGTCATCTTCTTAGCATCTTCAAATGCATCTTTAAATCGTTTTGCATTTTCAGCAGTTTTGAATCGAATTAAAAATTGTTCAAGTTGCATTTGGCCATCGCTGTAATCATTTGCGCCCCACATAAATTGAGTTTCCTTCATTGGCTTGAGTTCCATTTCAGATGTTATAACATGATTTGCACAAACTTTATGTATCTGATCACGTCGCATAAGAATTCGATGCTTTCCTGTGTCTTTGTTCTTCAGAATTTTAACAATTCCGATTCCACGTTCTTTCCATTCCTTCTCAAAATGACGGAACAATTTACAACGATCTGATGTAAACAAAACATCTTCATTCTCTTCATGCGTCTTAACTTCAACTTCTTCAGGCAATGGAATGATTGGCACAAAGTCAGGACGTGGGTCATAATCAGCTGGCTCTTCTAAATATTCACTCGTGTCGGTATTTTTAACTGGTGAAATATTTTCATATTGTGGTGCGCTGACGACATTTGTTGCTACAGGTGTTGTTTTTGTTGTTGGATGTGGAGCATGCTTAATATGTTGAGGTGGAATTTTCACACTTAGCATTGGCTGGGAAATGAATGAATTTTGTGGTGGTAATGGATCTGAATTTGTAATTACGACATTTATTGGTGGCGCTTTCTCAACGACTTTATTTTGAATCACAGATGTCGCTACTGATGGCGGTGGTGTTTGGAAGTTTGTTGCTGGTGTCGATGGTACTGTTGGATTGTTTGTATTATTCCATGTGTTATTCCATGTACTAAGGACTGATGGTGTATTCAATGCATCAATTAATGACGTAGGTTTAGGTTGCTGTCCACCAATAACATTCGGCATTGTCATTGGATTCATAATTAAGTTTTGACCCAAAGCATCATAAGCTGGAATCTTTGGATGAACAATTGGCGATGGTTGATGCATATTTGGTGTTGGGTATTGCATTGTTGGATACATTGAATAAGCTGTGTTAAGCATTTGATTATATTGTTGTTGCAAAATGGTTTGTGAAGAAGGATAACGTTGAGCGGAAGGTGTCTGATGAGGTTGAAGAACAGCAGCAGCTGCAGTCGCTGGAGACATTAAATCCATCATGTAAACAACACTGCAATTAAGATCATCAATTGTTTTCTTGACATCAGCAAATGACTTTGTTGTAACAGCATTAGAATTAACATTTGCGTCAGCAACATCACCACGACAATTCATCACTTCTTCACGTAATTCCGAAATGTCATTACGAACACATAAAATATCATCTTTAACACTCATAACAAGATCTGTTAACTTCTTCATCATAGTTTCAATATCCGAAAACTTTTCATTGTAATTTATTGTTGGAACTTCACTGCGACGTCCGCGAAAAGATGTTGCTGACGCATTGTGAAACATTTCATCATCAACATTCCCATTTTGCGATGAATTATGCAAATCAAAATCATTATTGAACGGTGTTGTCATGTGGTAATTGTATTCCATCTTTTTAAGCTCTTTTTCAACTCGCATTCTTAATGGATTCGTTTTTTCAGCTGTTGCATTGTTATCGAGATGCACCAAAGTTTCGATTAAATTCTCGCGAGCTTTTTCAGCATAAAGTTTTTTATTCTTTCTCGGTGTTTTGTTTGAATCTTCTAATCTTCGATATGCTTCAGCGAGGAAGTAAAAAGCCCAAGGATTTTGTAGGCCAGTGAAATCTTCAATGAATTCTTTATATTCTTCACGTTTAAAGTAAATGCTTGACAAATGACCGATGGCAATTCCAGATAATTGTTCAATTTCACGATCAACATCGAAATTTGTTGTCAAGAATTTAAAGAGACGACGCATGTTGTCACCTTCACTACTTCTCATCATCCTTAATGCAATTTTGTAGACAAACTCAACACGAAGTTCACAATGACGTCGTTCATCGGATTTCTCACTTGAATTGGCGCGGCCAAGAAGAATATCGCCAAGCTTAAGTAAAATAATTACATCAACTTTCGGTGTATCAATTCCTCTTACAGCTTCAATTCCAAACTGCAATGTCGCTTTTAATTGAGCTAAATTTTCTCCAGTAATGTTTTTATAGATTTTAAAAGCTGAAAGCCACCACTCATTTTGTTCTTCACTGCACAAACCTTCAATCATATTAGCAGCTGGAAGAATTAAAGGCTTTTCATTTGGCTTGTTGTTGAAAGTCTCATAACAATCTTTTTCAGCTTCTAATCGACGTTTTGCTTGAATAATTGAGCAATAAAGGAAAGAATCGATGTCAATTCGATTGATTGTTTCCGGGCTGCAATTGATTAAGTTTGGTGTTGATAAGTTGAGTCCATTGAATGTGTAGCTCTTGTAATTGAACAAATCTTTTCTTCCAAGTCCCAGATAGACATGATGCTCAAGAGATGAAGGATAAAGATGTTGTGCAACATCCTCATACATTTCAATATCATTAAATGAAAGAAGTTCATAACTCGGCTCTTGAAAGTATGAATTTTGAACAAAATATGATGTCGAAATTTTTGTTTGTTGATCAGCATTTGCAAACAAATAGCGATAAATGTTCTTTCGCCAATTAAGATCGGCGCAAACTTCACGAACGTGATTGAAAATGTCTTCAATGGATGTCATACTTTTAAAATTACGAATGTTCATTGACAGTTCTTCACTTCCAGTTGACTTACAAGCAATGATTGTTCGTCCTGCTTGTGCACATCGGAATGAACCTTCACGTTTTAAATGAATGAATAAATGGCGAATTGTTTCGTTGTTGTTCTTCATCCAGAAAGCTTCGGTATTGACGGTTGATGATTGAAAAGCAAACAATAAAAATGGCAAACATTTCTTTGTTGTTTCTCGCCATTGATCATTGTTTGAAACATTTTGTTTCTGGAACATTAACGAAGCTATGTTCAATGACAGTTGTCCACGAAAATGATTGATAAGCTCATCGGCCACATCCTTTATTTGAACTAATGAAGAAAGAGCATCAGCGGCTTTCTTTAATATTTGATCAAAATCAAAGATCATGTTGGTGATGTCTTTGATAGTCGATTGTTTAATTGATTGTAAGGGGAGATCTCGTTTAAGCGTAAGGAAGATTTTCTTATCCATAGAGATAAGCAGTAAGCACCAATAATTGAATGAATCGGTTGATGTTTGTTGAGCAAGAACAGACGACACGGTTGCGTACCAGTCGATGGAAAGCAAGAAAATTTCCATAAATTTCATCTCAAGATCAAAACAATACTTAAATGCTTCAGCAATACGTTTCTCATCAAGAAGAAAGTTAACAAGTCGAATTCTTAATCCAATATCATGAGGACGTCCCGCTATCTCCTTTAAAATCATTTCTTCGACTGGCTTTCCTCCGTTTTTCTTGTCTTTGTTTAACATCTGAAGACGAAGACTGAGGACATTGTCATCACGAACGTTTTCATTTTCAGCAAGCTCACACCAATACTTTGCTTTTCCTGGACTTGACGACCAACCGTTGTTGACTAAGAATAAGCGACAAACTGAAATTCAAATTAATATTAAGAAAGTTTTCGAGAATTTAATCTTATGAAACTCACTGTTTTTAATCAGATCATTCTGCTTTGAATTGATGCCATATGAGCGTTGGAGTGATGTGATAGCTTGCTCAGGTTTCTTCAAATGTTCGTAAATTTCGCCCATTAACTTATGAGCCGCGGCATCTTCTGTTCGAATATCCAAATATCGCTGTAACCAATCGCGAGCAAGCTCAAATTCGGATACTTTGACATAACTCTTTGCTATTGCATATCCACGACTTGAACGCTGAAATATAGAAGTTTTTAATAAAATTTTGTTTTTGCCGCCGCCGGAAGATTTTTCATAACCTAAATTATGACCAACTTTGAAATTGTAAAAGCAACAAACTTATCGGTAATTTTAGTTTATGAGAAAGATCTATAACTTAATTTTTTAATCATCTTCTATGAAATAGAAAGGAAGCAGCGATAAGATAAGAAAATGGGAGTTGCGTTCAATGACGAAATGTTCAAACCAACAACAAAAAAGGAAAATCCTTGAAAAATGAAAATCTCATTCATCTTGAATAACTTATCAATTAACCATTTTAAAATGCTTTTAATTATTATTAAAAGCTTGTACCATCTTTCAGAAAGCGAAAACAATAGCTTGCTTGTCCAAGAAGAAGAAATTTTTAAAGAACCACGCATAGATCCAAACTTTTATAATTTACCTCACTTTCGCTGAGATTTTTTGTCATTTGCGACACATGTCGATCGACGTCGCGTTTGCTGGTAAATTTTAACATTTTAATACGGTCTTCTATCTAATATTTCAATTTTTATTATTCTTTTTCTCTGGCTTTATATGTTTAAGAATTTTTTTTTGAATTTTTTTGGTGTGTTCAGAAATTATTCCAAGGGGTAAGTGATGGAAATTTGAGTCTCTCATCCCCCTGCAATACGTAAACATTCGTCAGATATAGGATTTATTTTATTATATTTAAATAAACATATTCCAATTAAAAGCAATAGTTATTTATGTTTAATTTATTTTTGGTGTTTTCATAACATGGGTGAGTTTTGTTTGTAAACAAATTGAAGATAAATTATTGTGAACATTTGAAACACGAAAAAAATCTGTGAAAAACAACCCGAAAAGAAGAAAAAATGTTGTCACAAATATTACGAAATGGAAAATTGATAAATACACGGCTGATTTCTCCAGTAATGTTTAGTACAACACGCAACTTCAGATCATCAGGTGTGTGGATTAAATGAGAATAAAATGTTTTATTGATCGTTCAAGTGAATCTCGTGCAATTTCGTTTCTTAGACTCGTTTATTTAAGAAATCGAATTGAGGTCAAATCGCAAGTTCAGAATTCTGCTGTTTCACCTTGATTCATTTTTCTTAGATCCTTTACATTTTTATCTTCACAGATTATTTTTTTGTGTGTAAATTCAAGATAACACGACAGTGTCTGAGTTAATCAAACAATTAATAATGAAAATCATTTTTGAATGATCCACAAATCAACTTATGAAAATTTCGAGAAAAAAAGCAATTATTAAGATGATCTATAAATAGTTATTTTCTCTCTCTTTGTGTTTATGTCATGCATCGTTTGTCGTGTTCAAATTAAAGCGAGGAAAATCTCAAATCAATAAAACGAATGCAAAAAATCCGCAACGAATTTCTAAAAAGTTAAATGATTTAATCAAATTCTCCACGCTTGTTAGTCATTAAGAAAATATCAAATAATCCAATTGTTGTTTGAAGCATATCTCATTGAAGGCAATAAATCTTCCACAGCATCGGATAACAAGAAAAACTCAAATATGAGCGATGAGTTCAAGAACAATCTTAAGGAAAGATTAACACCATTACAGTATCATGTAACTCAAGAAGCTGGGACAGAGAGACCTTATTCAGGTGAAAGTTCTTTTTTCAAAGAATAAAAATGAAGATTTTAATTTTTGCAAATCATCATAGGAAAATATAACAAATTTTACGAGACAGGAACTTATGTCTGTGTAGTTTGTAAGCAAGAATTGTTCAGTTCCGACACAAAATACGACTCAGGTTGCGGATGGCCAGCATTTTATGATGTACTTGAAAAAGGCAGGGTAACACTTCACAACGACCCTTCATTAGGTAAGAGTGACAATCATTTTTAACGATAATGAAAAGTGTTTCTTTGGTGTGGATAAATGACCCGAATTAAAACGATATTAACACAATTGCATTTTCCCTTGATTTTCTAACATTTCCTTATCAACATTTCATGTAACAATTTACAATCTCAATACCCAGCATTATTATATAATCAGCTGTAATTTATGCTTTTTAATTCAATTCTCTTTGTTCATCAGAATCAATCAGCTCATTAAAAAGCAGAAACACATTCGAGTAATCGAATAAGTATTTCACAATTCATTGCTTTAATCAATCTTTGATTTATCATTAATCAATTTTTATCACTCAATGTAATCAGGTGACGGTTTTCTAATTTAATTTTTTTTCTTCTTTTTTTCTCTTTTTTTAAATGCTGCTCAACTTCGTCAAATTCCAATTTGAAAAAATCATTCAATGATATTTTAATTTTAATTTCTTGCTATACGAACATGTTTTGAATTTCTTTTCCATTCATTTAATTTATTTTCTCCATATTCATGTCGTTATTTTGTAAATATGATTTGCATTTTCGATTTTTTTTATGGTTTCATACATTTTTTTCTCTGGTGAAAATTTATTTATGTGGTAAAGCTGGAGGAAATATTTTACTATTAATAACTCGTCCAGGTATAAAAGACTTTAATTACTTTACTTTCGTCCTCCAACATATTTTCCTTTCCTCCATTTAAATTCCTATTGGGATGTCTTAAACGTCTTCTTTAAATACAATGCTTTATGCTACATAAATAGGTATGGCTAAAACGGAAGGGAGGGGCTCGAAAATGTTCAGCTCATATGGGTAAGATTGACATCATCATTATTTGTGACGCTTGACTAAATTTAGATTGTTTTACATCATGTCAAGGTCATGTATTTGGAGACGGGCCTAAGCCAACCGGCAAACGATTTTGCATCAACTCAGCATCGATTGAATTCATGGAAGCAGGAAGTGAACGTCATGATAACTAATTTGTTACTCAGCAACATCTGTAAAATCATCACAATTTTCAATTCTTTTCCCATTTCCACACTCTTTTATATTGCATGGTAAAAAACGATTAAAATGTTTAAGAGATTTTGCTTCTTTTCTGTTTATTTTTCCTCCTGAACAAGAGAGTTGAAAATTATTTTTACTTTATCGACTCAGTTTTCATTCAGATTTTCAGTGTCAAAGAAGATTTTCCCTGTGTTTTCCGCCTCTTCTTTCCTTTCAACACGAAGAGCATTTCCTTTTTCTTTAATTTGTGAATGATTTTTTAGTTAATTTAACAAGTTGAGACTAGTCGAGTCAAAAGCGCTATGAAAAGATTTTTATTAACTTGAACATAATATCTAATTGTAAAAATATTTTTGGTACATATCTACCGTATTTATTGAATGAAACATTAAAATACCAATTTAAATAAAAGCAAAAGTGGGTAAAAAATTTAACAGAAATAATTTATTTGAAAATTTTGCTCCTCCTTGAAAAACTCACACTTCCCTTCCCCGTGGTTGATAAAAATTCGTTGGTTCGTTTGTTTTATTTTGAAATGGAAATTTAATTTAAATTAAAATTATTTATTGTGAACTACTAAAGAATACACTTCAGTGGTAATTCCGATACTTAAGATTTTCTAACAATGTCAGAAAAGGCTGCCCAACTTCAACAGTATAATCAGGATCTGGTGAAATGTAAGAGAAATGTTTACGACAAAATTTTACGCAATTAGACATTTCCTCGGGTAAACGATCTTTTTTATTATCTTTAGATATAGAAGTACTGAAGAAAAAGAAAATGAAAATTGAGATAGAAATTGCTACAGATGAGAAAAACAAAGAGACAATAGGTAATCAAATACGACTCTTATCAGAAAAACTTCAGGAGATTGAGCACAAACAGAACATAAAGAAACATGAACTTGCGAAAATTGACGATACTCTCACGCAAAGTGAAATAGGTAAAAGTAATGAACTTTTCAAATGGCATTAAAAAAATTTATTTTCAAGGATATTCGAAAATTATTGACTCGCTTCAAGTTCTGCTGAACTTTGCAGCATCAAAGACTGAAACTGAAATAGAGATGAAACGTGATCCACGCCATTAGAACAAATTTAACACAATTTATGCTTGTGAGAAAATTCAACTACAAAAACACTTTTATTGTGAATTATTTGAATTTGGTTTTGCTAATAAATTTTGAGAAAATCCATTAGCCCGAAAAAATCTTTTGTATTTCTTATTTAATTTTAAAAGACAACTTATGAGCTTCTTGAAGCTCTTCTAAAGTTTCAAATATGATAAAACTTGCAATTGAAATTTGAAAATTTTCCTAATAACTCACTAATAATATCAAAGAGAATGTCAACGTCATCTTACTAGTTTAAGCAAATCCATTAGCCCGAACTTCACTCCATACACGAGTCATTTCTTTTGGATCGTCATAACCATGAGCTGCTAGAACGTAGCGGTAAGATGCTGGTCCAGTGTATGTGTGTTGATAAAAATGAAATTCTTCGGAATGAATTGGTTCAATTCCAGCTTTGTGTGCAACAATGCCAAGAAAAACGTCATCGAACCTTAAAAAGGATTAAAAATTAATCTCAAAAATCGATAAATTAATTCAATGTTGACTCACCGAAACAGTTTCGTGTATAGGCTGTAACAATAAATTTCTTGTAAGGCTTCACGCGATAACAAGAAAGCTCCAGCCGTCACATAAGTTGGCCACTTGTCATATTTGTATTCTTTCAGCGACACAAACCATTTACTACTCTTATGTCGATGAGGTGTAGTATCAAATACAAAACCAGCAAATAGCTTGACATCAGGTGGCAATTCCATATTAAGATAAAGGAGATTTCTCGTTTCAACTTTCACTGTCTCATTTTGATTAATTCCGTGGATTTTTCTTTGGTTAATTTTTCTTAAATCTTCTTTATGCTCTTCTAAGTATTCGGGATAATATGTTGGATAGCGTAAAAATGCAAGAATATTCTTCACACTGACATAAAAGTCATCATCAACAAAGAAGAAGAATTTGCTTCGAATGCAGTTTTCCTTGCACCATCGAATTCCATTTATTGTTTTCAGGGTGTTGTTGAAATATTCGTCAATAAAATTGAACTGAAAGTATCAGATATGGTTAAAAATCTTAAATGTTTAATTGCGATTGATAGAAGAACTCACCTGAATAATATCCTGATACTTTTCAGCTTCTAAATCAACAAGTTTCTGTGTTTCTGAAGGCAAACCGTCGTGAGTTTCACGATCAATTCCCAATGAAAAAACTGTTTTTATTAACACATCCGAGAATCGTCGTTCAAAGCCCCAACTATTTCTTATGGCATTCCTCTTCTCAAAGTTATCTAGCTTTGACTTCACAATTATGACAAGATGAGGGTTTAAAGGTGACTGGCCGAATTCATCTTTGCACTTCCGTTCGTTGTTGTGCCGATATGAGAATGTTTGATTATTGATTGGATCAACTTCAGGTTTATTTCCATGTCTTAACAAAAAGCACTGATTACGAATATCACCGTCATATGGATATTGGAAGTTATCAAAACTTTCCTCATATAAATGAGTCATGACACCGAAATAATTGATGATAAAACAAATGAAAATAAATGAGCAGCCATAGCGTATGAGAAGCTTCACAAACAAATGATTCCGGGGAAACATCCCTTGAGTATAATGGAATTAAATAATGCAAATCATGATAATACTTAATAATGCATTTCTAACAAAATATTTCACTGACTGATACTTTTTTAATTATTGATGTCTGTAAACAGATATGGGTTGAGAGCCGAAAACCTGCCACCAGATGTCGCAAACATCAAATTTCTAAACACATTCAAACAATGATAGGGGCCGAGTAGACCGAATTCAATTTCATAACATTGAATGCCAGCATTTGTAAAAGTGAGAATAAAAAATGGATCAAATCAAGCTCAATTCACTTCAACAACTTATGGAGTTGTATGAAGAAGAACTATATACAAATGTTAGCATATTGGCACAATTTTATTTGTCAAATCCTTCACACTTTCATTTAAATCAACATGAAATCTTTTGTGTTTATGTTTTGAATGGAAATAGGTAAAACAAAATATGCAATAATGCAGAATCAGATCAATTATTCAATCTTTCTTTCAGTTTATGGGAAGTTAAGAATTATAGTGAAGCCCAGAAGCAGTATGAAGCAGCAATTCTTTTTAGGAGACAACTTTCAAAAGAACCAAAATTTCCTCAAAGTTTGATAGAAATTTTCGAAAGATTCTCAGAAATTGAATTGAAGTTTAAGATTGCAAAATGTATGGTAGAAAACCAACAATTCAAAGAAGCTGCTTCTATTCTTCAAGCTATTCCTCTCAAGCACCGACCACCAAAAATAAATATGTTGCTGGTGAAAATTCAACACGGAGAGTCGGGAACTGACAAACATTTAATTGCAAATTACAAAGAAGTTTTAAGAAAATTGCCTCTTGCTTTTGAGTGCATAGATGGTTTGATAAACTTAGGAGTGAAAGGGACTGAAGTCAACTCTTTAATTATTGATGGTAAGAAATTGCAATTATTTATAATTTTTATAAGTTAAAAAGATTTTATTTTCCTATTCAGTTTCTTCAACCGAATGTTTTGAATGGATCCATTCATACATTCGTGCTGCTTCAGAAATGCACAATCGAAAATACGCAGAATGTGTCATGACACTTGTAACAATCGATTCTTTCAAAAGCAACTCTAAAATTCTGGCTATGATGGGCGAAGCTTTTTATTTCAGTGGTGACTATGAGAGAGCCAACACATATCTGCGAAGAGCTTATGAGATTAATCCTTTTATGAAGCATGGTATTCAGAAATATGCAATGCTTTGTGATATGTTTAAGAAGACTCGAGATTTAGAGCAAATTCTTAGGCCATCATCGACTCATCCTTACGAGTACACGTCGGAAAATTGGTTTGTTATGGCACTTTATCTTTACTCTTGTATGAAATATGAGAAAGCCCAGTATTTCATTAATCGTGTCATCTTACAACATCAACATCGAAACGTTGACGCTTTAATTCTCAACGCAAAAATTCTTCATGCAACAAAGAAATCGAATGAAGCTCTTATAAGTCTTCGGCAAGCTTTAAAATATGAACCGCATCGATTCGAAGTTCATCGTTGGATTATAGAAATTTTATTAAACACTGACCGGGGTAGAGATGCTCAGAATCAAGCAACGAAGAGTTTGAAACTCCTTGGAGAGACACCGAGAACGTTGACACTTACAGCATCGACATTCTTGAAGAATCCAATCAGTAAAGACAAAGCCAAAATGTTACTTCAAAAGGCTCTGGAAATCAACGAGTTTTACACCAAAGCAGTTTTCTTTCTTGCCCAAATACTTATCGATGATAAAGAACATAAAGCTGCCATTAAGTTACTGGAGAAGACGTCAGCTGTTGTTTCAAACATTAAGATTTCTTTAATGCTCGCCGATTTATATGCGAAAAGCAAAAATCTCTCATTGGCTTTAGAATATTACACAAAAGTGTTGAATCAAGACACGACAAATCGACATGCATTGAACGGATTGATGGCACTCGAATCAACTAATAATACACTCGACAAGGCACTTGAAGTGTCGTCAACAACATGCGGTGAAAACGACGATTCGTCAGCTGAAGTCGATCAAAATGGAGAAAATTCCAATCGAATGAAAGATGACGATGATAGTGAATTGGTTTGGTCGGATGAAGAGATGGATGCTTCATGAGTTTCAAATGACTTTTTTTAATGTTAAAATTTATGCAAATTTAATTAAATGAGAATAAAAAATTTAAAGAAAATTGTTTTCTCGCGAAGTTGTTAAGGGTATAGGGTGAGTTCTTGTAATTTCTCAATAGGGTTAAAGACTTTTTTCTAACCGTGCAAAATTCAAAAAATCATCTACAAAAAATGTAAACAAACTCGTCGGTGAAATTTATATCAACAAATTGGTAATAGTAAAATCTTTTAAGTTACAATGGATATTGAAATAGGTGAATCAAGTAAGGAAGCATCAAAAGAAGCAAAGAAGATGGAGGATTCTGATGATGAAAATTGTTTAAAAGAAATTATACAAATTGATGAAATTGTTCACCATTCGGGAATTGAAAGTGCAAAAATGTTGGAATTTGAACGCCAAATGTTTCTCGATTGCGTGTACAATGATGGTTTAGTGATATGTGGAAAGTAAAGTGATTTTTAATTAAAAATAAAAGAATTGTGAGAGTAAAACTTTTGAAAATTTTTCAGGGGAATTTCGTATGAGAAAGTTTTGTTAAATCTTTTTAAAGTTTACGTCGATCCTTCGAATCTTGTGTTTGTTTTGAATAGCGACGAATATGAAGAAAAATATTATACAAAACTCCTCGACTCTCCACATGTTCATCAAGCATCAAGCAACAGTAACGAACGAGAAAAAGTTTATTTATCTGGTGGAATTCAATTCATCTCAACACAAGTTTTAGTTCTTGATCTTTTGAAAAATCGAGTTCCAACTGAACTTATTACAGGAATATTTGTTCTTAGAGCTCATCAAATCATTGAATCATGTCAAGAAGCATTTGCATTGCGACTTTATCGACAGAAAAACAAAACGGGATTCATTAAAGCGTTTACAATGTCAGCTGAAGCTTTTACTTACGGCTATGGACATGTTGTGAGTAATTTTCAAGTAAACTTTATTCAAATTTAATAAAATTATATTCATAGGAAAAAGTGATGAGGAATCTTTTCGTTCGTGAACTTTATTTGTGGCCACGATTTCATGCTTTAATTCAGAAGAACTTGAAAGCTTTCGAACCAACGTCAATTGAGTTTCACATTC